CTTGTCAAGGAAGCCCCTGCTTTGGAAGCTCCACCGGAAGAGGCTGCTGAAGCCCCTGCTGAAGAAGTGCCTGCTGAAACTGCAGCTGAGGACGTCCCGGCTGAAGCTGCACCAGCCGAGGAAACTCCAGAAGAAGTTCCAGCGACGGAGGCCACCGGCGACAGTGCTGTTGTTGATTCGATTCAGGATAGTTCAGAAAACCAGACAACCTTACCTGAGAGTTCGCGAAGAAGAAGGCGACGTACTTCTGGTTGGACACGTGAGCGGCGCCTCTCGAAGAGCTCATCGGAGAGCCATCATGGCTATTTGGAGCGTCCCAAGAACGAACGAGGACTGTTCAAGAATCGGTGGGCTATGGCCCTTGAAGAGGCCCGACGACAACAGGAAGCAAAGCAACGACGAGAGGCCAAGCTCAAGCTGGAACGAAGTAAGCTGGAGCAGCAAAGGAGAGACGAGGAAGCGTCTAGAGAGAGACGTTCAACCGAGAAAGCAAAGCATTCTCGGAGGCGAGATGTGATCTCTGATGAGAAATCAAGACGTCAGTCTTCGGAGTATTCCTCGAGCCACGACCGAAGGAGAAGGCGAGATTCTTCCCCGAAACCATCTTCAGACCTTACTAGCTGGCATCGAAATCTGGTCAAGTATATGACCACGGGGGAATCCGACGCGAATGGCCCATTTATTCGGGTAAATACCCCCGAGAAACCAAAGCGGTCTTCCACGAGTCACTCGCATTCGCATTCCCATCATAGTCGTCATTCTCGCGAAGAAAGAGACTCTAGCCGGTCGGCATATGAACGAGAAGAGAGTTTTGGACGAGAACAACGAAGAGATCGGAGAAGACACGACGATGAGAGACGAAGAGCGAGGGACAGCTATGATGAGAGCGCTGCGGAGACTCGGCCACGTCACCACAGGCGGAAACAGGAGGAAGAAGCGCCACCTCCGCAGTCTCGTTTTAAGGCATTTCTCAAGGCCGCCATTCCTGTTCACTAGGTGACTACACTTCTTGTTTGTGTTGTTTTTCGGCTTTTTTTTTTCTTTTCCTGTTTCAATACATTTCGGCCTGTGGTTCATCTGGAAACGAAACGGATATACTGTACTGCCATAAACTTACTACTACCGGAACAGGTACAGGGACTTCCAATAATTTCCAAGGAACACGGGACAGTTATGTATGAATCGACGAGAGATGACGAGAGATGTATGTACGAAATGACAATGGCATGTCTTTTATTTTATTTAATGTATGGGAGATGAAGAATTGCTTTTTTTTTGCCTCAGCGATAACTCTTTGTATTCTTCTCATTTGTCTTGTCAATTTCGAGTTTTGTCAAGTTCTTTGTTTCTTTGTTTTCTTTTCTTTTTTTTTTTTCGGTTGTTGTATTTTTTGCTGTTACTATTTTTTGAGTTGCTTTTCGACTTATTATACACATCTTTCTAATCTACGTACTTTGTTCCAACTTCCATGATCCTCTTGTCAATCAATCATTAATTCACTAATTAATTAATTCATTTTAAATCTAAAATTCCAGTCAAATACTTGCTCCATGTTACTTACTCTTGGAAAAAAAAGAAGAAGAAATTAGGGGAAAAAACAAGTATGATATCGATACAATCTACCCACCTAACCTGCTTACCTAATGTAGAAAGGAATCAGGGTTACTAGTTAAGTTCGGTAATATCCGATTTTTTGTTCTTTTTTGCTTCCTGTTTTTTTTTCTCCAGTGATGTAGTTAATGAAGAATTAAATCGATTAATTGCACGATGTACTGTTCATACAGCGTTGGCAACTGATAGGGTTGTGGATGATCCACGTGATTGATTGATTTTATTCACGACGTTGCTGCTGCTGTTGTGGACGCTCCCTATGTCTGCCACGACAGCAGCAACTACATGTAAACTCTTCCATTCGCGAAGGACTCAGCAAGTCAGAAGCAAGTACGATCGATTCTTTAGGCTACATTTGTTTTTTGCTTTCCTTGACTGACTTGTTTGAAATGCGTGGTATTTCTGACTGAACAATGCAAACTCTGCAACACACTGAATAACGATAACAGTCATAATCAATAGAAGTCGTCATCGTCATGTTTCTTATTCCCAAAATCGTCACATCACCAGGTGCCGGACCCGAATCATGACCATTGACTTCTGCAGAAACGACGAGGAAAAAAAAAGGCCACATCCTCTATTTCCAAGTTCATAACCCATGCCCTAAAGAAAAGCAAGCATAATGCAGACCGATGTTCCCCACATGTCTGCGTGTGACCAAGGATGCAAGCGTACTATATACGTGCATAATAATATGATACAACGAAAGTCACTTCGAGCGGTCCATCAACTCCCTCCACCGAGGGCCCATCTTCCGCATGATTAAGATAACCGACCCGCTCACGAATCCGAGCAATCCAAGAATCGTAAAGAGCCATCCATTGCCTATCGCATGGATGATCGGAGAAGCAACGACAGCGCCAACGCAAGAGAAGATGTTACGCACGAAGTTATTGAGCGCCACACCAGCGGATGACTTCTTAGGCATGAACTCGGTCAACATGGTTGTTGCCATGCCGAAAATAAGCATCGATCCAATGCCAAAGAAGAAGTTTGCGACTATCTGTTTTCCGTGTTAGGTTCAGATCCCTCGGGTGGAAAGGTGGAAAAAGGTGTAACATACCGGAACGAACCAATAGACACCTTTTTGCACGGCCCAGCCATACCATAATAATGCCGCTGGATAGAGTATTGCCCCAAGAAAGGCATTCTCGCGCATACGGTCTTCGGGCCGATAAATCAACTTTCCCTTGTCGTCATATCTGTTGGCCTTCTTGGCTTCCCGATGCATGATCCTATCCATCCAACGGCCGCCAAAGAAACTGGTAATCACATATCCCAATGAGTTCGGGATGTATAACAAGCCAACGAGAAGTGTGGAAAAGTTGTAAGGCGGGGCCCCAAAGCTCTCTTGAATGCTGACATTCAGCACATATAAGCAGCCAAAGGTGATGCTTGCATAGTAGACTGTCACTAAGACAGGTGGATACCGCAGGTACAGAATGATTTTCAACGGATCCAGAAAGGCTATTCGCAGGAACTTTAACCACTTGGCAGTATTGCGAATCATCTGGGAAGAGACCCGACTTGAGGTACGGTCCAGGGGTGTTGCTGCTTGTTCAGCTTCCACCAGAGGCTTTTTCCGGGCCGCTAGGGTCTCTGGAAGGGCCAGGAAGATGAACAAGACGGTAAGACCGCCAAATACCACCATAAACCACAACGTACTCCTCCAGCCCCATCGGTTGGCCAGCGCACCACCAATGATGGGAGCAAATAGGGGGCCACAGAGAGGTCCCAAGTAGAAGATACCCATGGCCCTCCCCCGTTCACGGACGTCCCAAAGATCTGCAATCGTCCCTGCACCCACAGCTTGGACCGATGCAGAAGCCCCGCCACTCAACATCCGCATTACGACAAGCATGGCTATCGAACTTGAAATCGCGCACAGGACATTGAATACCGAGAAGAGAACAAAAGACACGAGGTAAATTGTCCGCCGGCCTAGCGTTTCGCTGAAAGAGGACCACCAGAGGGGAAATATGGACATACTGAGCATGTACAGGGCGACAGACAGATTCGTAACAGTTGGGGTAGCATTCAAATCGCGTGCCACTTGCGATAGTGATGCTGGCAGTAATTCTTCATAAGCCAGTGTTTCATTGACGCATATGGGCAGGAAGCTGACTTACGGAAGAAGATGGCGCTACCCATAGGAGCTGCCACAGCGGCCATAGCGACTACAAAAGTGAGAAACCACTTAATCTTTCGGCTGTACGTCTTTGGGTTCTCCACTTCTGCGATCAGAGTGAATTGGCCAAACAACCCTCGACGCTTTCGTCGAGGCACGGGCACTGGGGGCCCAAGCTCCGTTGAGACACGCTGAACAGCAGCGGCATCCTCGATACTTTTATCCTCGGTAACGGCGGGGAGACTAGGGTTTGGAGAGATGGGATGGCTGTCTTCTCCATTGGCAGTAGGTTCATCCTTTGATTGAGAGGCTGATTCGGAATCATCCTCTGCGGTTGTTCTTTGGGGAGACTCGTCCGACCCAGTGGCCTTTTCTTCGTCAAAAACTTCGGTCTGCATCTCTCACTGACGGCCCTGCCGGAGAGGGAAGTCAAGTTATTTCAATGAAGAAGTGGCCGTAACAATGCCTCGGGAAGCGGCAACGGCTGAACGACAATGAAATCTGCTTTCTTGCGGAATAACCCTCCTAATATTCCTGGATGAAGAGAACACTGAGACTGAGAAGCGAATATCTCTATTGAGTCACATGAGCCGGTAGCAATAGCAAGCAGCCTGCAAAAGAGGTGCAGTACAGCGACGGTTGGTAGCGCGGTATATACCAGTGCGACATGCAGGGAACGTATAAGCCAGAACGAAGAGGAGATAAACACTGCAGAGGCAACCAAAAAAAAAAAAGATAGGTATACAAAGCGCCGTCCAGGCAATCAGACGGTCGTGACAGGAAGAGAAGAGAAAAAAAGACGGGCGTGGTGGAGAACTGGACGTTTTGAATGCTACTAGAAACAGCTCCGTAAGAGGCAGGCGCGGGCCATAATAGTATAGCTTGCCATCGTCGCGACTAAAACAGGCGCGAATTATCCACATTGGGCGCAACAGCATGGCTCCCATTACCGACTACCCCTCCCGGGCCATGGCTGAAGCTCGAGCCTGCTCCAAGCTTCCAGAGATCGGGGCCCGAGCCCGAGGCCGGCACGATTCTTCCGTCTGGCTCTGCATCCTTGTGGAGAATACCGTTGTATCGGCAGCACCTGTATCTGGCCGCCTCTCGATCCTCGTGCCGTCCTCGCATTGCTATCCAGCGAGCCAGGAGGCGTGATAAGAGCGGGGCCTGGATCAGAGCCCTGATCAGAATCGGGTCGCGAGAATACTGCCGTCCGTGATGGTCGCATCCGTTCTCCAGACCGCCGGGGGTTGTTCGCGGTGGCATCGGGCGGGTCAATGCCTAGCCAGTCACGCTCGGCCGTCGCCGTGCCGTGATTTCCGATTCCGCCAGACTAACCGTCGCGCCATCATCTCTAATCCTCCGTGTGCTTTCTTCCTGTCAAGATTAATAATATTATGAGTGTCTGGATGAGATCAGCAGAATGCCAGGAAGTGATTGGCCTTTGCGACAAGTACGGAGTAATCCGCTCAACTAAGCGCGGATCTCCAGGTTGCACGTGGACATCTTTCCCGGGCATTGACGTAAACCGGGGTAATGGAGAACTAGGTCACTACAATCCAATTAATTATAGTGATTCTGGCGAAATGTTTTCATGGTGTTTACGAATAATTCTTGTCAGCAATGCAGTTCATTCAATATCTTGAGCCATCGTCGCTAATAGTTACAACGTCAACCTTGCCGAATCCGGTAAACCAGCCAGTTCCAATGTCCCCTCAAAAAACAAATGAGGGAATAATAATATCGACAGTAATTAATTTTTACGAGTGGATGCAAATTCTACCTGTCTGACAGGCTGATATTATTGATTTGGAATGGTTGTGTCAGACTTCTTTTATCTCCGATAATGCAGCTCATGAGACTGGTTTCTTTTTCTTATATGTATATATATATATATATTTTCACCGACCATGTGCATCTGTGGCGAGGTTATCTAGCGTGGGCGATGCAGACTCAACCACGAATGACGCTCACATTGAGTTTGCATGAGAGGTACCTAGTACAAACGTGCTGGAGACGACTACATGCCAATCACCATGCATAAATTGTTGGAAGGAAAGGTTTACTCCAGACTTTATCTACACAATCATGGATCGCCATCCTCAAAGCCAAGAAAACATAGAAGCTTACTGCAACAGTTTCAGCTTTGTCCTTGAAGATGATGAAAATTGGCTATCGCACAGACCCTTTCTTGAAGATCACTGATCGCTCTCTGGCCTTTGCGTGTTGCTTCAGTCGAAGATCGACATACTATGTAGATACCTTGTAACCTGGCCTGCGTGTTCCCACCTAACTTTTTTTTTTGTAAACGAGTCCTCCGCTGCATCGCCTCTTATCAACAGTTTAATTGCGCTTGGCATTCATCCATTGCTCTTCTGGAGTGATGATTTGCCCTTTGTGGTGTTGGGATCTCACCCTCGCACGGTGCATATACCGTACCCGATATAGGTCTGCGGGCGCATCCGCGCTATGTTGTTACATCGGCGGCCCCACGTTGTTTCACCTTCTCGAAACTGCTGTCCATGAGCTTTGCTCTCAAACAAAATACGGAGCACGGAATTACTGACTACTCCGTAGTGGCGAGAATGTCCCTGCCTAGTGGACGATAAACAGTGGTGATCTACAATGCAGATGGAGCCGTCGTTTCCAGCACGCATGGTCAGTCGCATTTACGAGGTTGCAGCAGATAACAGAATACAGAGCCATCTACAGAGCACTCTACACGTATTATTCTGTGCTCTGTGCCTGGTCAATTCCACCATCCGTATTGCCTCAACGAGTTTAGAAACGGAGATCCCGCTGTGCCCGGGAATGACAGAAGTGGGGCGCATACAGATTCGGAAGTTGAAGTAGATCGAACCGGGAACATCTACGGCGTGCGCGAGTTTTTCCTTCATGTTCCTTTGCTTTCGCCACATGTGCACAGCCTACCAGGTGGTTCGAGCTCGTCTCCTTTTCTTCGAGCGTCGCGCAGACGAGATCAACAGACGGTCCTTTGCTCGACAGTCCACACTAATCAAGTCCTTCGCTTGCATCGCGCGATACCACGCGGGATCCTTGGCTAAACCGCATCTACTAAACCCATTGAAGTCATCTGGAGTTGCATCATTCGCTGCCAGAAGGAACGCGATCTGCAGGAGCCTCAGGACATCATCATCCGCGATGGCGGCAGCTGCACAGCAAACAGACAACAACCGCAGCTTCCTGCAGGAGCACATGTCCCGGTACCCAGGCGACAAATACGTAGAAGGCTGGGCGACCCTATGGAAGAATAAAGGCGACGAGCCGCTCCCCTGGGATCGAGGATGTCCCAACCCCGCCCTGGAAGATACGCTCGTCCAGAAAAGAGCGTTCATTGGGGGCCCTCTTCTGGAACAGGACGGCCAGACAAGGAGAAAGAGGGCCCTGGTCCCTGGTTGCGGCAGTGGTTATGACGTCTTCCTCCTCGCCAGCTTCGGTTACGACGCATACGGTCTCGACCTCAGCCATGAGGCTATCGAGTTTTGCAAGCAGGAGGAGGCCAGGAACGCGGCTGACAAGTACCCTGTCCGGGACCCCGCAGTCGGACGCGGCAAGGTGACGTTCGTGCAGGGCGACTTTTTCAAGGACGACTGGCTGGAAAAGCTCGGTCTGCAGCGGAATAGCTTCGACTTGATTTATGATTACACGGTACGTCCCTTTTTCCTGTCATTTTTTTCTCTTTGCCTTCTTCCCGATATTGCAAAAGTTACCTATTTTACGCTATGGCTTTTTTTTTCAATTGTTATCCTTGATGGTCTTTCAGACCACCCGAAAATTGGAAAGGATCTATTACTGACACTGTTTTTGCTGGGCTATACAGTTCTTCTGCGCACTGCAACCATCCCTGCGTTCAAAATGGGCTCTTCGTCAAACCCAACTCCTCTCTCCTTCGCCTATCGGCAACCTGATCTGCCTTGAGTTCCCAACCACGAAAGACCCTCTGGCCGGAGGCCCGCCATATGCAGCACCATCGACTGCGTACATGGAACATCTGAGTTACCCTGGCGAGGACATCCCATACGACACCAAAGGAAATGTCATTTCGAACCCTTTGCGCCCGGCGAGCGATATTGGCCTGGAGCGGGTAGCGCACTGGCAGCCAGAGCGCACGCATGAGGTAGGTAAGGACGAAAACGGTGTGGTTCAAGATCGGGTCTCGGTGTGGCGTCGACGCTAGATGTCGAACAAGCTCAAAATCTGGCAGAAAACTGCCTCCACGATCCATTCCTCCCCATTTGAAGGATGGGAGGCTCTCAACTGCTATGTTAGAAGAAATCTCTTTGCCAATCGAAAAGCGTAATTCATTGCCATCCAATCAAGACCTGTCAAGATTTCTGCGTAAGAGCGTTGTAATGTTCACCCAGACCATAGGTATGTCTATAATAGGCCAGCCAGATTCGTCGCTTGCTCTTCTCGTCGTCATCCAACTCCTCGACGTCGTCGCCGGGCTCGATCTTCTCTATCCTGCCATCGCCCTGTAAGATGTTGATCTCTACTCCGTATGCCCTAGCGATCGCCTGCAGTTCCAACTGTCCTCCCCACTCAGCGGTCAATCGGACCTTTCTGGTATACTCCTCCAAGGGTTCCTCCATGAACGGGGCAAAGTCTTCCTGGTGCTCAAGTATGAAGTCTGCAGTCACCGCCCGCACAGCCCGGTATCCATCATGTTTCGGGGAGGCCACTGTTTCCACCCGCGATAATGTTGTCGGCGAGAGAGTAATCCTGCGCGGATCAGGCCTCAAGCCGAGCCCCAGCTCGTCCAGCTGGCACGCGATGGCGGAATACAGGCAGTGTCCATCAGGGTTGATCTCGATCTCCTTCAGCCCCAACCGCTTGAATGCAGCGTCCATCACCTCTTTCTCATTTCCTCGATGATCGGTCTGGTTGGCGGCTTCCTCGGCGGCGCGAGCGGACTGCGCAGCTCGCTCAGCCGCACGACGGGCAAGGCGGGCTTTCTGACGATTCGGTTTCTTGGCTCGAGGAGCGGGAGCAGAAGCGGGGTCAGAATTCGAGGAGGGCGAGGGTGAGGGTGAGGGCGAAGCAGTTGCGTTGGAAGAGCCGGTTTTCACTTCCCCGTCTGCGGGGACGTCTGCAGCCGTGCCATTTATTTTGTCACCATCAATATCATCAAGACTCAAATGCTCTAAGACATCGGCAGCAGTGTCCGTCGTCTCTCCATTTAACTCTGCTATTTCTCTCTGATGTTTCTCATTTAGTTCTCGTTGAAGCCTTTCGCATTCATCGTTGATTCCTTTGCGGGTCTTCTTCGTCGCGTTCTTTTTCTTCTGCGTAATTCGTGCTTGAAGATCTCGCTGCTCTTTGCGATGTCTTGCTAATAGTTCCTCCATCAGGTCCAGAAAGAATCCTATAACTCTATAATTATTATGGAAAAAAAAGTGATCTATTTGAAGAGAAAAGCGAGGGGCTGCTGGAGAGTGTCCCACTATTCGAACCGAGATAAATCTTCTCTGGAAATACACCCGGACAAATTGTAATCATCCGCGTCTATGATTGGTCAGGTTACCTTAGTCAGCATCCGCTGCAGTGTTATGTAAGCTCCGTGGCTGTTCTACAACTCGCTGTACTCCGGAGTATTAATGCCTGCTTGTGTTGGCACCCTTATAGGCTTTATATTGGCACCCTATAGGTGCCCCTATAGGCTTGTAAATTTGATGAGTAAATTAGTTTATAGCATAGCAAGAGCAAATAAAAACTAGAATAGTAATGGCAATAAGGCCAACCTAGATAAGAGCTAAAATCAACAAGGTAACAAGACAGTGTGTCCGAGTGGTTAAGGAGAGAGATTAGAAATCCTGTCGCTGTCGTCATTCTTTTTTTCCTACCCTTACCTTAAAGGTAATAGCTAGTAGTTGTGAGGTAATCTTGGGCATTTTTCTTCCCTTTTTCCCAACTACCATGGGAACAAGCAAAGCGAGTACAAGACTACAAGTAGTACTCCGTTGACCCGCCACCCCGCAAAACCCTAATCCACATGCCCTAACTCTGCTCAGATAGGAATGCACCTCCTGTCGGGCAACACCGAGCCTCGGTATCTATCCCCGGACTTGGGCTCAGCCGTGTAGCAGCTTAGCGTCGTATTCAAGATGGCTCCTTGGTCATCTCCATCGATGGCTCATCTTCCATATTTCTTTTCTTATTTTTCCGAGTCTGCTCTCCCTCCGACCTAGAGAAGAAAGGCAGGATGGATATTCAAAACCTTTTCAATGTCAAGGTTGGACGTCCAAGCCGCCTCCCTTCTTCCAGGTATCTCAGGTTACATAGATCCGATGCTAACCGCTTATTTGTGATTTCTTCTAGGGCAAAGTCGTCCTGGTGACTGGCGGAGCCAAGGGAATTGGTCGAATGATCTCAGAGGGATATGTGACAAACGGTGCTACGGTCTATATTTCCTCGCGTGATGAGAAGGCCCTCGAGAAGGCTGTGAACGAGCTCAACGCCCTGGGCAAGGGCAAAGCCTACGCCATCCCCGCCAATTTCTACAAAGAGGAGGACTGCCAGAAGTTGGTGGAGGAATTAAAGAAGCGAGAGAGCAGTACGTCTGCCCCTTTACTACGTTGTCGGCTTCAGGAGAACCGTCTGACAAGATTACTTCCACCTTGCAGAACTCCATGTCCTCGTCAACAACTCAGGATCCAACTGGGGTGCGCCCTATGACGAGTATCCGTCCTCAGCGTGGACCAGGGTCCTTACGTTAAATCTTCACCGTGTCTTTGATCTCACCCGACTCTTGACGCCGCTCCTCGAGAAAGGAGCCAGTCCTGGAGACCCAGCTCGGATCATCAATATTGGCAGTATTGACGGACTTCGTGTCCCCGCTCTGGAGACGTTTGCCTATAGTGCCAGCAAAGCCGGATTGCACCATCTGAGTCGAGTGCTGGCGAACCACCTCGGAAAGAGAAACATCACGTTCGTGTCCCAATCCTAATGTACTCTGTATGTGAGATCGACTAACGTTGTCCTCGCTCCACAGATCGAACACACTTGCTTGTGGTCCTTTCCAAAGTAAGATGATGGCAGCCACCCTTGAGAAGTACCGGGATGTGATCGAGGCAGGAATTCCACTGGGCCGAATTGGTACGCCGGAGGACGTGGCAGGTGCATGCTTGTTCTTAAGCAGTCGAGCAGGGGCCTATGTGAACGGAGCAACAATCACTGTTGATGGCGGCTGCGTCGTTGCTTCTAAACTGTAAAATGTCGTGTGCAACCTGGGTTTCGCCTGTACCCCCTGGAATGATTGGAATCTCATGTGACCATTGATTCCGTCCCCCTTCTCGAATTTGCCCAATCCTAAGAGGATAGGGGTAAAGTTTCCCGCCCAATAGTTCTGAAAATGTGGGCACAGTACGGAGATATATAAACGCCACAATCTGACAGAGGACCCATTTTGAATGTCGATTAGGGAGCTGACGGGCACATTGACTTCTGCAGGTTTGGACGTACATTGTAAATGATATGTAGATTATCTGAGCAATTTATTGCATTGGGATACTGGGGTGCCAACGTGATCACAGCCACTGTAAGAGAAACGCTGCATTGTTGAGCAATACATTGGGGTGTAATGCGTGTTTGTCGGGTGGGTACCGATGCATTTATTGGGTCTCGGTCCGGTGGAGCATGCAACATCATCGAGTTTCGTCACCGCCAACACGGAAGGCCTGACGCTCATGATGACCATTTTCAGTGCTGGAGGCAAAGCTGGCCGAGCGGGCGCTTGAACTCCTTTCCTTTTGTACGACTCTATTGTTCTGTGTTCTTTTCTCGGTATATATATAACTTTGTGCATATTTCCGACTTTTGTTAACGTTTGTGATAGAGCAGTGCTCTAGATTGCGCCACAGATCAACTAGTTGTTTTTTTTTTCAGGGACAACCTCACCGCCAGTGCCATAGTACAAACATTTCAATACCCGTGACAACGATTTATTTGGGGTCGCTGAGCTCCTTATTGATACTCATTTGACAACTCCCTGTGGTTCTCAGTACCCTTGCTTGCCTCCTCTGATTGCTCCTACGCCGACCAAGTCACCATACAATGAGTTCGTCAGATGGGCGTGAACAGGCGGTTTCGAATTCGGACCCGTTCTCCGAACCCGACGTCTACTATGGCGATGATGATAAGATGAAAGGCAAAGAGCACCGGCGCGCCTTTTCATCTGTATGCAGTGACCCCCGACCGATTCTCTCTGCGTCCCTCTACGATGCGCAATGACTGATCCGTTTCCGCCCTTCCACAGAACATCAAGTCGTTCAACCGCCAGGATATTACGGAGTATTTGGGGAAAATACCGATCCGCAGGGGTAGTCATGGTGAGTGGCGAGTCTGAGGGCATTTTGGCTTTCAGAACAAAGGGAGATGCTGATCATTATTTCTCCCAAACAGATGAGGCATCGCTCCTCCCCCGTAAGTTCCTTATCGACGTCGACGACACGCTGGAAGCCTTGTTGGAAAGGGAGGATACGGATAAGAACATGCAGATCACAATCGAGGATGCGGGGCCGAAGGTGAGACTCAGTCTGGTCTCGTGAGACCATCAGCCCTGTTGCTGACTGTCCCAGGTCCTGCCAGTTGGAACGGCTGCTTCCTCTGGATACCGCAAGTTTGATGTGCGGGGGACGTACATGCTCTCCAATCTTCTCCAGGAGCTCACGATCGCTAAAGACTACGGACGCAAACGAATCGTTCTGGATGAAGACCGCCTGAGCGAGAATCCCGTCAACCGACTCTCGCGGTTTATTAAGAAGTCTTTCTGGAACGCTCTGACTCGCCGGATTGACGGATCGAACATTGCTGTCGCGGGGAGAGACCCAAAGGATTGGACCGACGATCCACGACCTCGTATCTATGTGCCGCCGGGAGCGCCGGAACAGTACGAATACTATAAGCGGATCGCGGAGAAGCATCCAGAGCTGCGCTTGGATGTGCAGATGTTGGAGGCGAACATCACCCCTGAATACGTTAAGAATCTCAACAGCAAACCAGGTCTGCTGGCTCTAGAGATGGAGGAGTATATCAACCCAGAGACGGGGGAGAAGGACTTGCGGGGCGTGCCATTCGTTGTACCAGGAGGCCGATTCAACGAGCTCTATGGGTGGGATAGTTACATGGAGTCGCTTGGCCTGATCGTTAGCGATCGGGTGGATCTTGCAAAGGCTATGGTGACCAATTTCTGTTTCTGCATAAAGCATTATGGCAAGATTCTCAACGCCAATCGATCCTACTACCTGTTGCGATCCCAGCCGCCGTTCCTAACCGACATGGCCCTGCGTGTGTACGACAAGATAAAGTCGGAACCCGATGCGTTAGAGTTCCTTCGCAAGGCGATCCTTTCTGCGATCAAGGAGTACTACAGCGTTTGGATGGCAGAACCGCGCTACGACAAGGTCACTGGCTTGTCGCGATACCGCCCGGAAGGTCTTGGTGTTCCGCCAGAGACGGAAGCAACTCACTTCTTGCAGCTCCTCATGCCCTATGCGGAGAAACATGGTCTGAGCTTCAAGGAATTTGTCCAGGCCTACAATGATGGAGTGATCAAGGAACCGGAACTCGACGAATACTTCCTCCACGATCGGGCCGTCCGTGAATCTGGGCACGACACCACGTATCGGCTGGAAAGGATCTGCGCCAATCTTGCAACTATTGATCTGAATTCCCTTTTGTACAAGTATGAGGTGGACATCTCGCGAACGATCCGTACCTACTTCAACGACAAGCTGGAGATCCCACCCGAGTACCGCACTCCGGCGACAGAGAACGTCGAGTTTGAGACATCAGCAGCATGGGACCGACGTGCGAGGAAGAGGAAGATAGCCATCGATAAGTATCTATGGAACGAGGAAGAGGGAATGTTCTTCGATTATGACACCGTCAAGCAAGAGCAAAAGTCTTATGAGAGTTGCACCACCTTCTGGGCGATGTGGGCCGGACTGGCATCCCCGGCACAAGCGGCCAAGCTGGTCGAGAAGGCGCTCCCGCGATTTGAGTGCTATGGTGGTCTGGTGTCAGGAACGGAGGAATCGCGAGGTCCCATCAGCCTGACTCGTCCCAATCGGCAATGGGACTACCCCTATGGCTGGGCGCCTCAGCAGATGCTTGCGTGGACTGGCTTGATGCGGTACGGGTATCAGGAAGAGGCCGAGAGGCTCGCCTATAAGTGGCTGTTCATGATCACGAAGGCTTTCGTGGACTTTAACGGCGTGGTGGTCGAGAAGTATGACGTGACTCGGCCAATCGACCCTCACCGGGTCGATGCTGAGTACGGCAACCAGGGCGTCGACTTCAAGGGTGTTCCACGGGAAGGGTAAGTGATTCTAGAGGAACACTGGCGACAAGAAACCGGAATACTGATGATTGTGGCTGCAGATTCGGGTGGGTCAATGCCAGCTATGTATATGGACTGGAGATCCTCAATGCCCATATGAGACGGGCTCTCGGGGCTATCACTCCATATGAAACATACAGCCGGGCTGTTGATTTGCAGTATCCTTACTGAATGGTCGCCGTGTCATTGTCACGAAGTTGACGACGCTAGACTCAGTTGCATGGGCGTTGAATTAGATTGGTTTTAGGTCTTTTTTTTTGTTTGTTTAGCGTGATTTTTTGGACTAAGTTGAAGATGCAAAGAGGGGAAGGAGTCTTGTGACCGTCTATAATCTTTTTAATACTATAATTATGGGAGCGAAGGCGCTTTTCGTCGGGAGACTAGATGGATGATTGACAATGGACCACGAACGACGATAATGCGGAGTCCTTTGCTGTTGCAGCTGTTTCTGTTGAATTATCCCTGTTATATTCTTTTCTTCTCGGTCAAGTTCCGCAATAAGAAACATATCCTATCCTGGTTGAATGCATGTGCATGTCACCCAGTAGCAGTCACGAATGAGAGAGTAAACATGGGGTTCATCTGCGACTACGGAATGCTGTATACTTGTGACAATGGAGGTGGGGGAGGAAGAAACGATTCCGACATCCGCCGAAAGGAAGAGAGATGGAGTCAAGGTCAAACAGTTTACCCCTGCCAGGATTTTCGTAAGAATGTTGGCAAGCTTTCCGGTTTCTGGCCGTGAGAAGAGATTGTCTACCTCAGGCTTCTACCCGGATGTTCTCCCTGATTGGCTGGTTTTGCATAATAGCCATGAGCCGAGGCTTAACTGATTAATTAATTGAAAACAGCACGGGGGACGTAGCTAGGAATGCTAATTTAGAATCTCTATCTCTTGGAATGCTAAGACTATGAAGAAACATCATTTCCTGATATTAATTTAATATTAACTGACAGATGTAACCTTGGTGGTTTTTGTTTTTCACAACAGCATAGAATGTAGGATTGAGCTTCAAGAGGTAAATGCTTGCGACAAACTGATGTTGTGGTGGATAGCAAAGCTAGGACCCTTCATTGATTAGATTGATCTGCAGCCGTGAGTCAGCAGTCCAGATTAGACTTCTCTTAGCCTTCGTTCACATGGAAGACGCTTGTAATTTATTAGTGACTCCGTGCAGGTAGTTAGGTAATCGCCGTAAATTATTTTACTAGCCTTGAATTCCGAAAACCGGGGTTGAGAACAGCAGACCAGTCATGATGAACTCCAGAGTCCAAAAACAAGTCGAAATTTGTTCTGCTACCCCTCTCAAGAGTCTTGCTGAATTGAATCCTAGATCGTAGCTATCACGCGGTGACTCACAAGAGAAGAATCTTTTAGTAAAAATTGAAATCGACCAGCATGGACAGCACATGCCAGACAGACGTCTATGTAACTACTGCCGCTTTTGCATACCCATGATGCAATCGACCTTGCCCCAGCCTTCGGTCCGGGCTCGGGATCTAGTCTGTACTGTATATCTATACGGAGGATAGTATATACAAACCCCGGACCGTTCTTGAACGCAATTGTTGCAATGAATTTCCAGCAGAATCGCCTGCAGTTCTAGAAGAAGAAAAAGAAAGAAAATATTCTCTTCTCGTCAACAACAGTCCTGTCTTGATGTACGTCGTGAGCCGTGGCTGCTTGCGGCAGGGGCAAGATGAGTCAGCCGCGGGATGCCAATCAGATGCAAGTCCATTAGACCGAGGATCAACTCAACCATCCATCCACTCTCCCGAAGACCAATCCAGCCCTGCAATTCGCCTCTGCGGAGAACAGGTTCATGTCAAGGCCGGTTGCCAGAGGGTCTTCCCGTACGGAGTACAGCAAAGCATGACGATACCGGCCCGTATCGTCGCTGTCCTTTACGTCTTTTCCCGCTGAGCCGAGCCTTTACCGGGGAACTGGCCCTTGTGACGCATAGCCATGGCTCGTGAAAGCGTCATAAATACCAATCCCATGCTTTTTTTTGTCTTAATTGCTTGTGATCTAGCTTGAGGAGCTGGTCTTTTTTCTTCTTTCAGCGATCTTGTGTATTTTCTTTTCTCAATTCTCCGTTCCGAAAAACGAAACGGATTCTCTTTTGTATATATACAAGAAGACCAGGAGGATATATTATTAATAATCTAGAACAGAATACCTCCTTTTTTTCGGCTCCATTGGCTTGATTAGATTGATCGCCTTCTTCGGATCAATCGATAATCACTAGTGGCATTGAATCTATAATCAGCCTGATTATATCCAATTCTTGTCATAGTATCTTGCAGCCAACATGAGCGCCCACGACCTGGATCTGGAAGACCAGAAATACTGGGATGATGTCAACGCCGTCAAGGAATGGTGGAAGGACTCGCGATGGCGATACACGAAACGCCCCTTCACCGCGGAGCAGATTGTCGCCAAGCGCGGAAACCTGAAGATCGAATACCCGTCCAATGCGCAGGCTAAGAAGTTGTGGAAGATCCTCGAGGAGCACTTCAAGGTCGGCTTCATCTTATGCGTATGCACGATGATAAGTACTCGCTGACATCTGATGCTTAGAACAAAACCGCCAGCTTCACCTATGGCTGTCTTGAGCCGACGATGCTCACCCAGATGGCCAAGTACCTGGAAACCGTCTATGTGTCTGGCTGGCAGAGCTCATCCACTGCTTCGTCCACCGATGAGCCTTCTCCCGACCTGGCAGACTACCCCATGGTACGTTGAGAGCGGGGGAAAAGTTGTCCTCGCAGCACTGGGCTGACAATATACCACCTAGAACACCGTGCCCAACAAGGTCAACCAGCTCTTCATGGCCCAGCTCTTCCACGACCGGAAGCAGCGTGAGGAGCGCATCACCACCCCTAAGGACCAGCGTCACAAGGTGGCCAACATTGACTACCTCCGACCTATCATCGCGGATGCCGACACTGGCCACGGTGGTCTGACTGCTGTCATGAAACTGACCAAACTTTTCATCGAGAGAGGCGCTGCCGGTATCCACATTGAGGACCAGGCTCCCGGCACGAAGAAGTGCGGGCACATGGCTGGTAAAGTGCTGGTGCCCATCAGTGAGCACATCAACCGTCTGGTCGCCATCCGCGCCCAGGCCGACATCATGGGTGAGTGGGATCAAGTCAGAGGTACCATGAAATGACTTGCTGATTGCAATCAGGAACCGATCTTCTCGCCATCGCCAGAACTGACTCTGAGGCTGCCACCCTGATCACCTCGACCATCGATTACCGGGACCACCCGTTCATTCTCGGGTCGACCAACCCGAACCTCCAGCCGCTCAACGACCTGATGGTGGCCGCTGAGCAGGCTGGCAAGACCGGAAGCGACCTCCAAGCCATCGAAGACCAGTGGCTGGCGCAGGCTGGCTTGAAGAAGTTCGACGATGCGGTGATCGACACCATCAACGCTAGCTCGTTCGCCAACAAGAAGGCCCTCATTGACGAGTACCTGCAAGCCGCCAAGGGCAAGAGCAACAGCGAAGCGCGTGCCATCGCCAAGCGCATCACTGGCGTGGACATCTACTGGGACTGGGACGCCCCGCGCACCCGGGAGGGCTACTACCGCTACCAGGGTGGAACGCAGTGTGCCATCAACCGCGCGATTGCCTATGCGCCCTTCGCCGACCTGATCTGGATGGAGACCAAGCTGCCGGACTATGCGCAGGCGAAGGAGTTTGCCGACGGGGTGCACGCAGTGTGGCCTGAGCAGAAGTAAGTCTCATAAATATCTGCCCGTCTTTTCATTGTGTGATGGATGATGCTGACAGGCGACCTAGACTGGCCTACAACCTGTCGCCATCCTTCAACTGGAAGAAGGCCATGCCTCGGGAGGAGCAGGAGACGTATATCGAGCGCCTGGGCAAGCTGGGCTACTGCTGGCAGTTCATCACGCTGGCCGGTCTGCACACGACGGCGCTGATCTCGGATCAGTTCGCGCAGGCGTACGCCAAGCAAGGCATGCGGGCGTACGGCGAGCTGGTCCAGGAGCCCGAGATGGAGCGCAAGATCGACGTGGTGACGCACCAGAAATGGAGTGGTGCCAACTACGTGGACAACCTGCTGAAGATGGTGACCGGAGGTATCAGCAGCACCAGTGCGATGGGCAAGGGAGTGACGGAGGAGCAATTCAAATGAGCACGGGTTTTCGTTTGAGAAAGTTTTCGTTTTTCCTGTATCTACCTGTATTTCATATCATATGCATGTATGTACTTGATCCATAACGAGCTATCGTCGACTGGCCTATATAGCGTTGAGTCTGGTCCATTATTATTTGATTTCAACATGATATGCTTGTCAAAGCAGTTTCAGGATGTCCGTCTTGCTGACTGCCGAGGCATGCCGGCCGCCAGTCATGTGTCGCCCGCCGTGATTGGCCCGGCCCGGCTGATCAGCGTCTCCCGCGTCTCCGCACGAGCTTCTCGTCGTGGAACTCGGCGCATGCACTGCTGCAACCTGCTGCGAGTCCTGGGGAGACTCGATTATCCTTATTTAGCTCTCCTCCCCCTCTCCTGCTGGCCGGCATTTATTCTATCTACACTGTTGACTCAAATGTGAAGTTGGATTGTGTTCTCGGACCATCTGTCCAGCTACGCCGGATTTCCTAGGATCTCGAGATCGACTCTAGATAACCCCCCCTTTTCTTTAATTAATTAATTAATAGCTGCCTCACCATGGGTGCCCCCATCGACATTCCTCCCCTTCAGCCCACGCCCGTCGACGACATCCGCGCCCGGGTCGCCAAGGTGCGCGCCTCGTTTTTCGAGCAGAAAACCCGTCCCGTGCAATTCCGTCTCGTCCAGCTGCGCAAACTCTACTGGGCGTAAGTTGCTATCACTTGGCATGGTCGCCGATGAATCCGTGCTGATGTTGTTTCAACGATCGCAGACTGAAGGACAATGAAGACCGCATGGTCGAAGCGCTCCGCCGCGATCTGGGCAAGCCCGTGTTCGAGTCGTACATTTCGGAGATCGGATGGGTTCAGAATGACATCGTGTTTGTCAACCGTCATCTCGAGAAGTGGGTCAAGGATGAGCCGGCCCCGGACATCAGCTTCATGTTCAAGTTTATGAGTCCCAAGATCCGGAAAGATCCCCTGGGCTGCGTCCTGGTGATCGGCGCCTTCAACTATCCCTTCCAGTTGACGCTGGGCCCCGTCATCGGGGCCATTGCCGCCGGCAACACCGTCGTCATCAAGCCCAGTGAGGGTGCTCCGCACAGCGCCGTCGTCATGCAGGAGATCCTCGAGGCCGCTCTCGACCCGTCGTGCTATACTGTTGTGCAGGGTTCGGTCCCGGAAGTGCAAGCACTTCTTGCAGAGCGCTGGGACAAGATCTTCTTCACCGGCAGTGCCAATGTCGGACGTATTGTCGCACAGGCTGCTGCACCAACCCTCACCCCCGTTGTGCTCGAGCTGGGTGGCATGAACCCGTCCATTGTGACTCGGAATGCGAATCCCCGGCTCGTGGCCCGGCGGATGCTGTGGCCCAAGGTCATGAACGCGGGTCAAGTCTGCACGTCGCAGAATTACCTGCTGGTCGAGAAGCCGATCCTGCCGGCGGTGATTGAAGAATTCAAAAAGGCCTACAAGGAGTTCTATCCCAACGGTACCAAGAACTCCCCGGACTATTCGCGGATCGCCAACGAGCGGGCCTTCCGTCGGATCAAAGCCATGATCGACAACAGCAAAGGCAAGATCTTGCTGGGAGGCACCATGGACGAAAAGGAGCTCTACATCGAACCCACCATCGTCCAGATTGACTCCCCGGAGGATTCGATGGTGGCGGAAGAAAGCTTTGGCCCTCTGATTCCCATCCTGCCGGTTGACAGTCTGGATGAGGCGATCAAGATCGCCAATAAGATTCAAGACACGACGCTGGGCGTCTACGCTTTCGGAACGAAGGAAGAGACTGAGAAAGGTATGCGATCCAGTTCTCTGCGTATGCACTCATATTGAGATACTAAACATGTCGTCTAGTCCTTGCGTCCACCCGCTCGGGAAATGCTGCCCTCAACGATGCCCTTTTGCACATCCCCACTCTGCCCTTTGGTGGTGTAGGGGAGAGCGGTGTCGGTGCATACCGCGGAAGAGCCAGTTTCGACACGTTTGTGCATCGCCGGCCTGTCACCAACACGCCTTCCTGGTTGGAGGGTCTGCTTTCCATTCGGTATCCACCATACGCGGGCAAGCTGGCCAAGTACAACGCGTCGTTCAATCTCGCGCCGGATTTCGACCGCGAGGGGCGCAAGAGCCGGCTCACCTGGTTGCGATGCCTGCTGACGCTGGGTGGAGGGACACCCAAAGCGGCGGCTGCTCGGGCTACTGCTGTTGCAGTTGGTGAGTAGCATTTCCTTATCTATTATGCTTTCCTTTTTTTTTGCCTTTCTTGTTGTTATGCACATCTCTACTATGCACATCTCTACTATATCTGTTCTCAAGTTGTTCAAATTTCTTACTGTCCTTTCGTCAGACAAAGACAAGTGAGAGATGGAGTCGAAGTCGGTCACGAAGGCTGGTCGTTATCTTGAGCGGTGGATTTATCTTCACGGGTACCCAGTTGATTATCTTTTTTTTTTTGACATCTTACCCCTACTATTCCCCCTTAATTTTTTCTTTTTGGTCAAGAGCAGAGATACCCATACCGATACCCATTGCCCAGCTCTTCTTGGTGCACTTTTTATATACCCTATTTGTTGAGTCCAAGCACTTTCAAACGAACCTTGGATTTTTGTTGCCCCCTTCTACTTTTCGACTTTTTTCTAACGACATCTCTTCAACCTCCACTTCAGTTCTCTTCCTCGTGAAACGATACCTGGAACACCGCCAGTCGAAGCTGTGATTGGTCTGTGATCTATAATCTAACACCCGCCCGCTGCTTAAGCGCTCTTTCTTGATGGAATGTCATATGTAAAATATCGGACAAATCAAATAAAAAGAATCATATCATTCATCATCAGAGAAGATATGTGATTACCTTCCCCCCCCCCTTTTCTGGATAATAATAATAATAACGGATGGATGGATGGATGTTAGATTAGATGTTAGGTATATTATATTATATTGTGCAGTACTCGATGGAATAAATGAATGGCTCCCCCCCCTCCCTCCTTTAAAAAAAAGGAAATTTTTGTGAAACTACGTCAGAATGGATTGGAATTGACGGTCACGGTCGTAGTCATCATCATCATTATCATCATCCATCGTCATTATTATTTTATCTAATTTAGATAGCATAGTCAAAACCGTACATTACATACATACATGCGTACATGCGTACAGTACATGCGTACAGTACATGCGTACAGTACATGCGTACAGTACATGCGTACAGTACATGCGTACAGTACATGCGTACAGTACATGCGTAAGTACTGCGTACAGCAAACATCCAAGTCCAATAATGACCAGCTAACACCGCCTTTCGACCCCCTTCCGGCTCACGCACAGATATTTCACCCCCTTGTACGGCCGCACTCCCTCGCCTAAACCGCGGCTCCGGCGCGGGTCGATGATCAGACTCTCGACCCGGATCCCTGAGGGTAGCCAGCCGCGGACGGAGAACGAGACGGTCGCCGAGGTGGGCATCAGCGACGCCTTTAGCTGCGCTTTGCGTGAAGAGTCATTCTTCGACGGTGCAGAAGGCGGTTGTGGTGGTGGCGTGGGCGATGGAGAAGGCTCTTCAGCCGCGTCTGGTGCAGCAGCGGAAGACGAAGCCTTTTTGGAGCGGGATTTCTTCGATTTGGAGGATTTCGTTTTGGATGACTTGGACTTGCGTTGTTTGGTCGGCTTTTCATTCGGATACGATGATGATGTGTAGGTCGTCGGGTCCTGCTGGTAGGACTCGGCGTCGTAGTAACCCTGCAGCATGTTCGCGTTGGCGGTCATTTCTGCTTCCGTCTCGTCGAAGACGTCTTCCTGGTGGCCGACGACAGTGCAACGTAACGTTGCTGTCCCGGAAATCGACCCTGCATCCTTGGTCGGCACCCGCCATTCCAGAAATTCATCTCCTGGCGAGTAGTTGGCTTCACCCCGGCTCGGGCGCATATCGGTGATATTGCGGACCGCCTTGGGGATGGGGACATGCACGACGACTTCGTCGAGAGCGGGAGCAGAAGAACTGCCGCTGGTCGAGCTTCCACCTAGGAACGACGGCGTAGACGTGCCGGATCCGCTGCGTCCTGTGCCGTGTCGGAACGACGCAGTACTGCCGGGAAAGTTGGTATTCAGAGTCAAGCGAACTTCAAAATCCGTCCCATTTGGCCCCAGCATCTTCTGCACATCGACAAATGCTGGTAGGAATAATTTCTCCATGTGAGTCGGGGGCTTGTCCAGGCCCGGATCTATTGGAAGGAGGTCGGTTTCGTAACCCGCGAGGATGAATCGGCCGTCCGGAGGCACAAAGCTAAGCTCACCTGGCCGCTCTCGCCATCGCGCGAGACGCACGCAGGGATGAAAGACAGGAAGTTCCATCTTGCGGGAGATTCCTTGCTGGCCTGCCGGAGTGGTCAACGTCAGGACCAGATCTGGCACCCCTGATATTTTTGCAGTGAATGCGATCGTGCCCGACGCCAAAGCGGAAATAATTCTTCCTGACGGTGCAATCGTCACGGATAGCGATTCAATGATATCGACGTATAGTTCATTGGAGGTATGGCGTACACCTGGCCGTCGCCATGGAATTGCCGGCCCGGAAGCCACATTGGCCGCCGGAGATAACGATTGTTTTAGCGGATTCGACGGTGCGAGAGCTGGCGATGAAGTCCTGAAATGATGCGTCAATACGACTGCCTTTGACTACGCGCAATCTCGTATACGTATGCGAATAGCATATATACTGACCCTGACAATCCTACCCCGCCGAGCAACTTGTCCACCCATCCCGGAACCTCCACGTTTTCTTGCAGAGCATTAATCTCCGTGTTACACACCAGCCCCGCATCGCACATCTCCGTGAGCAGCTGCGCGACGACATCATAGTTGGCCTGCAGCTTGGTCGAGAGCAAGGGCGCACCGATAAACTCCTCCAGCACGTCGATCACCCGGTGCAGGAACTCGAGGACGAGCAGCGGGTCGGCGTCCACATCGCTGGGAGACAGGAAGAGGAGGTTGGAGTGCGTAATGGAGAATACCGTGACCGGCGGAGAGGCGCCGGGCAGGTAGAGCAGCGAGGGACGCGGCTCAGGGTGGGCGAGATAGAGTGGGATGAGGGACGATGCGGAGGGCGGCCGGGAGCGGTACACATGTTCTAGGATCGGGACACTACGTTGAGGTCAACAAGGATGCGCTTCGGAGGTTATGTACATGGGACATTCGTACTTGTGCTCGTCATAGATGTAGAGCGCCTCGACAGCGCCGCTCATGGTGGCGGTTGGATGGAGTCCACGAAGTCGGCGTGGAGTCGTCTGTTCATGACGGCGGCCAGCTCGAGCACGAGACACGCATTCTGCCGCTCTCGCCCGCCTCCGCCCGATCGCCCAATACGATCGCAGCACAGACCATGGATCCAACGCTCCGGATACTCTCGAGGCATTTGTTTATAGACGAGGGCTCTACTCGCGGTCGCCCGAGGGAGCCAACTAACCGGCTCTGGGAAGTCAATAGGTCCAGGGCTCCCTTGTTTCTATCGCGGTAGCCGACCAGTTCATCGCGTTGCTCCGGCTTCCGCCTTCCTTCATCCGACCAGCCACAATACAGCCATGGTACCCCCGAAGGACAGCGCCCCCTGGCAGATGAAGCCAGAGGAGGTGGAGAAGGCGCTGGCGGGGGAACAGTTTGATGACTGCATGGCTTGCAGAGTGACCGGTATGCGTTTCCCGAAGCTTTCGAGCCATCAGATATCCTGACCAGAGTTTCTTTCTCTTCCAGGCTCTGTGGCATTCATTGGACTCGGAGTTTACAGCTACGTTACCGGCATGCGGAACCTACGACGGCAAGAAAAGGCCATCATGCAGAGCCCGACCAAGTACAAGATGGGCTCGCGACGGCTGGGCATCGCGACGATCTCCGCTTCGTTGATCGGAATGGGTCTCTGGAGGGCTTTCAACTGAGCGGGCATTCCGTTCGCTACTGTCTTTATGATCTCTTGTAACATAGGCATATACGATTTTCTATTAGATTTTCTATTATTTACAGAAGAAACTCCACTGTACTACGAAGGACTCAGAAGACATGGCAAAAGAGTGCAAAACAGCACGATGCATCACTGCCACTCGGGTATCATGCCATTGTATATATCGGAGTAGTCTATCGGTATAATGATAAAAAGATAGCAAAATAGAGAATGCCATAAAAATGCGAAAAAAAAAGATCATGAGACGTAATCCCCCAACGATGACGCTAACTCCCCCAAGTGCTTTAGAATTCCGACCTCCCTCCCAACCAGTATCAAGATAGCAACGTTATCGTTCCGTCATTATATCACTCTATGCGAAGCGTCCTCGCTTGCCGCCTCCGAAAAACTCGCGTCCGTTCAGCCCCGAGATGTCGAAGAAGTCAGGGAACTGAAGTTTTCGCTTCGAGCCGATAGTCGTGGATGGTTCCCTTGTCGAAGATCGCCCAGTGTGACGAGACGGGTTGTTGAGACGATTGGGAGCTCGAGAATTGCGCGGCATAACCGATACACTAACGGTCGAAGGTGCTTCCTCTTCAGATGCAGAGTTGGTGGGAGCACTGTCGGATGTTTGCATGTCGACATCCTGAGATGGAAACTGAGGAAACTGAGGCCCGGCAGTAAACGTGAAAACGGGTGGCCTGGCAAAGACGTTCGAATCGTCGGTCTGCGTCATGGCGGACTGCTGTTCTGGTTGTGGGGGCGGCTGCTGCTGCTGCTGCTGCTGCTGCGCTGGCCCCAATTCTCCTCGTGGAGGTGACGTGGACCGGGAAATCTGCCGTGAACGGTCGGCTTCAGGATGCTCTTTGCGGCTCATGATGGGAGAGGAACTCCTGGCTCGTTTATCATCGTCATCGCTGTCGCTGGCTGTGGCGGCCGTTCCGTCTGCTCGTTCCGTCGCCCATTGTCGAACCTTCCAGCCTTCCCCGTCACCCAGACCAAGATTCTCCCGATCTAGAAAGTTGAGAAGGTCCTCAATAGCCTCCTGATACCCTGCCTGCCTTGCCTGTGCTTGGTCCGCGACGGCACTCTTGTATAAGTTGGTCACCGAGAGGGCAGCTGTCTTGAACGCCTGCAGCAGCTGCTCGGGAGGCTGAGGATAGGGGGTAGAGCTCGGAAGAGAGGTGTTCAAGGATCTCATAGAATCCATGGCGGTCGAATTGGTGGTATGAAGAGAAAAAACAAACGAAGCAAGTCGATGACGTTGCTAGGAGAAGAAAATGCGGTGGTCACTCGAGGGGTGGCCACGATGGCCCGTGCCCTTAGAAAACGACAGAACCGTCGAGAGTGAGGGGCTCGAGTGGATCACAAGCAGGACAGACACAATGCAGATTGCAGCCGGACCGGAGGGCAGAGGAGAACCTCTTTAGATTAATTGCGGTTGCAGGGGTAACTAGGAAACGAAGGAACCTGGGAGCAGCGGAGGGTGCAGAAGAGCAGCGTCAGCGCAGTTCCTGGTCAGCCAGTAGTCGTTGGTCATGTGTTGCGGCAGCCCTGCGGCCCTAGAACATTTTCCTTTCGTTCGGGGCGAGTCGACGGGCTGCGTGGCATCACGTGATCACCCTCGCGCTCGGAGAAACGCTCTTTCCGCCACTGGCTGACTCAGCAGGCCCCCGCCAATCATCGCGCGTTGCGGCCACGCGCCTGGGCCTTGCCCGATTAAATTCCATTTGCCATCAGCGCGACTGTCGGAACCCTTCTCTCCTCCGCTCCCTCTCTGCTCGCCCAATCCCTCTGGATCAGTCGTTGAATCGATCCCGATCACCTCCTGGCGCGCAGTCAACGGGATCCACGGGATTCAACTACTGTATCTGTGTGACCGTTTTTGTTGTCTCTGTATATTGTTCTTCATTGAAAGGCTTATTGATCTATATCTCTATTGAGCTGTACGAGCACGTACTGCGCCTTCGCGTACACGGCGTGATCCACCGCCGAAATGGCACCCTCTCGGACTGTGGCGCCAGAGTCGAATCCGCCGTCTCAGGCGGACACTCCCATGACGGATGCAAACGCGGAGCCAGCGACCAGCATCCCGGTTGATGCGGCAGATACGTCCATGGCGGATTACCAAGATACCCCAGACTATACGGACTCCGAGACGAATCCAAACACTACAACAAGCAGCATTGCAGGCGATGTGGTGCACGCTGACGGGCGTAAAAAGAGATCAGAGGCCTCCCAGCTGCGGAAGAGCGTGCTGGGCAAGAAGCACGGGCGGCTTGATGAGTCCAAGGAAGATGATTCGATTAGAAGATTCCGTTATCTCCTTGGCTTGACAGATCTGTTCCGGCATTTCATTGAGACGAACCCCAATCCCCGGATCAAAGAGATCTTGGCTGAGATCGATCGACAGAATGCGGAGGAAGCGGCCAAAGGCAAAGGTGCCTCGCGCAAAGGAGGTGCCAGTGGGGAGCGGCGCCGCCGAACAGAGAAGGAAGAAGATGCGGAACTGTTGAATGACGAGAAGCTGGGCGGCGAAACGACGACGGTCTTCCGCGAGTCGCCCTCTTTCATCAATGGAGAGATGCGTGACTACCAGATTGCGGGTCTCAATTGGCTCGTTTCGCTCCACGAGAACGGTATTTCTGGTATTCTTGCTGATGAGATGGGTCTCGGGAAGACCCTTCAGACGATCTCCTTCCTGGGTTACCTGCGACATATATGTGGAATCACCGGACCGCACCTGATCGGTGTTCCGAAGTCCACGCTCGACAACTGGAAACGCGAGTTTGAGAAATGGACGCCCGATGTTAACGTCCTGGTCTTGCAGGGTAGCAAGGAAGAACGCCAACAGTTGATCAATGAGAGGCTCGTCGACGAGAACTTCGATGTCTGCATTACAAGTTACGAGATGATTCTGCGAGAGAAATCGCATCTTAAGAAGTTCGCGTGGGAGTATATCATCATCGACGAAGCCCATCGTATCAAGAACGAGGAGTCATCCTTAGCTCAGATCATCCGGCTCTTCCACTCTCGGAATCGTCTGCTGATCACTGGCACTCCGCTTCAGAACAACCTTCACGAATTGTGGGCCCTACTGAACTTCCTTCTCCCAGACGTCTTCGGTGATTCGGAGGCCTTCGACCAGTGGTTCTCGAGCCAGGATGCGGACCAGGATACGGTTGTGCAGCAGCTGCACCGCGTGCTGCGACCGTTCCTGCTGCGTCGGGTCAAGAGTGATGTTGAGAAAAGCTTGCCACCGAAGAAAGAAGTCAACCTTTACGTAGGCATGTCCGAGATGCAGGTGAAATGGTACCAGAAAATCCTCGAAAAGGATATCGATGCCGTTAATGGCGCTGCTGGAAAACGGGAGTCGAAGACCCGTCTGTTGAATATTGTGATGCAACTTCGCAAGTGTTGCAACCACCCATACCTTTTCGAAGGTGCTGAGCCGGGGCCTCCTTATACCACCGATGAGCACCTCATCAACAACGCTGGCAAGATGGTCGTTCTCGATAAACTGCTGAATCGCATGAAGAGACAGGGGAGTCGCGTCCTCATCTTCTCTCAGATGAGCCGTGTCCTCGATATCCTTGAGGACTACTGCGTCTTCCGAGATCATAAATATTGTCGCATCGACGGGTCGACGGCCCATGAAGATCGGATCGCTGCGATTGATGAATACAACAGGCCGGGCTCTGATAAGTTCATCTTTCTGCTGACTACCCGTGCGGGTGGTCTGGGTATCAACCTCACTACAGCGGACGTCGTAGTGCTCTATGACAGCGACTGGAATCCGCAGGCAGATCTGCAAGCCATGGACCGTGCCCATCGTATCGGCCAGACCAAGCAGGTGCATGTTTTCCGGTTCGTTACGGAGAATGCCATCGAAGAAAAGGTGTTGGAGCGTGCAGCCCAAAAGCTGCGTCTTGATCAACTCGTCATCCAGCAGGGACGCGCCCAACAGCAGACCAAGAATGCTGCGTCCAAGGAGGAGTTGCTGGGAATGATTCAGCACGGTGCTGCAGATGTCTTCAAGACAAAAGGCCCTATGGGGACATTTGCCGGGGGCAACGAGATGTCCGAAGATGATATCGATGAGATCTTGCGAAGGGGCGAAGAGCGTACGGCCGAACTCAACAAGAAATACGAGAAGTTGGGAATCGACGATCTTCAGAAGTTCACATCCGATAATGCCTACGAGTGGAATGGGGAAGATTTCACCAATCGCAAGAAGGACATTGGTCTCAACTGGATCAATCCTGCCAAACGGGAGCGCAAAGAACAATTCTATTCCATCGACAAATACTATCGACAGGCGCTCGCTACTGGGGGCCGGACTGCTGAGTCCAAGCCCAAGATGCCCCGCCCCCCGAAACAGGTTACGATTCATGACTGGCAATTCTATCCGCCCGGTCTACAGGATTTGCAGGAGAAGGAGACGGCCTGGTTCCACAAAGAAATTGGCTACAAAGCTGTCCTTCCGGACGGTCCCGAGGAAGATCTGAGCGAACGGGAGGCGGAGCGCGAGCTGGAGCAGCGGGAAATCGACAATGCGGTTCCTCTGACGGAGGAGGAACAGGCGGAGAAGGCTCGAATGGCGGAGGAGGGGTTCTCCAACTGGAACCGACGAGATTTCCAGCAGTTCATCAACGGATCTGCCAAGTTCGGCCGACACGACTACGAGGGGATTGCGACGGAGGTGGACAGCAAAACGCCCGAGGAGGTCAAGGAATATGCCAAGGTGTTCTGGAAGCGGTACACTGAGATCCAGGACTACCCCAAGTACATCCGCGTGATTGAGCAGGGAGAGGAAAAGTTGCGGAAGATGAATCACCAGCGCAAGATGCTTCGCAAGAAGATGGAGATGTACCGCGTCCCCTTGCAACAGCTCAAGATCAACTACACGGTGTCCACCACCAACAAGAAAGTGTACACGGAAGAAGAAGATCGATTCTTGCTGGTGATGCTAGACCGGTACGGCGTCGATGGCGAGGGGCTGTACGAGAAGATTCGGGATGAGATTCGTGAGAGCCCCTTGTTCCGGTTCGACTGGTTCTTCCTCAGCCGCACGCCCGCCGAGATTGGTCGTCGGTGCAACACGCTGTTGAACACGATCGCCCGCGAATTCGAGGCATCCGAGGGCAAAGCGAACGGTGACAGTGGCAAGGGTCGTGTACGTGAACGGGAGGAGGAAGATGGGGAGGACGAGGAAGTGGAGGCGCCAGCGAAGAAGAAGTCTAAAAACGGAGTAGTGGTATGTTTTTGAAATTTCACTGATCTTTTGCATTAAGTGCATCGCTAACCTCTTTCGCCACAGAACAAGAAGGTCAAGGCCGTCAAGGGGTCCAAAGGCACGTCGGCATCGGCATCCCGAGCAGCCAGCGTCTCCTCGAATGCAACGGCCTCCAAGGGCAAGGGAAGAAAGAAATAATGTAATAGATGGGCAGGAAGAAGTGAATGTTGGCCGATTTTTCTGACCCGGGTCGATGGTTACTGGTCGATGATCGTCTCTCTGTGTGTGTTGGAATGGTCTTTGGTTTCATCCGGTCTGGCGTTTAGTTGAGGTGATTAGATGCAGATATGATCTGCGGGCTGCAGCGGTTTGCTGTTTTAATTAATTCTTTTTACTATGTGTAGTTTCGATTTGTATGGATGTTTATGGGATGCGTCATGTCGGGTTGAGGGTATGATGTGACCTTTTCTGCTTTGGAATGACTTCGGGTGGTGTGATAGCCCGCGGTTGATTCGGGGTGTAGTGGCGATTATTGCTTTAATTCTCCCTAATACAATGATACGGGTTGTGGCAAGTCCCAGCTATGTCTCGTGACCACTCTCATGTGGTACTGTGTCTTATATTATTATTTGCAGCCTTCTATGCTGGCTTGTTTGCAGGAATTCCGTATACTGTATTTGGCACAGAGAACAGCGCCGTGTTACCTATGACCTTCGCCACCATCGCGAACCGGCAGCCAACCGGAAATAAGATCTCGAGACGTCCAAGACTCGAGAGCCTAGACGGTAGATAACATGAAGAATTAATTATTATCCCTGGTTTCATAGTAAGAATCCGGTTATCGCCTGCTTTAGGCTGGTAGGCTTCAAGGATGTGTCGACTTTAGTGTCACACCATACTAGGACAAAAAGGCCCAGCCAAGCCACGCAGTCTTCAGTTCTCGCTCTTTTGGTCCAGATCAGCTGTAGATGATGACTGGAAAGCTGTGATGCTTTAAAATGACAGGCCCAGATGCGCCTGGCTCATTCTGAGACTTTTGACGCGTCGCGAGGCTCTTGTGTGACGCTGATGTATTGAGTGTCGTCAGTTGTGCATCTACTCCGTATACTCTGCAGGCTGCGACAGGCTCGTCGATGCCTCCGCGCAGCGCCACGGGACGCGGTGGGGTCATCTGCAGGCACGGCGGGATCCTCGTGCCTCCATATTGCTCCTTCCCGAGAGTGACTATGTCGCATTGCCGCTGCAGGCTGACGACAGTCACCATGCCCTGGAATTCATGTGAAGCTGCTGGCTGACACGGGTCACTGTCGCCGACATCTACATAAAGCCTCGATGGACTTGCTGCTCTCTTGCTATCATTCTGGGTTCTCTTCCCTCACATCACAACTACAACCTTCCTCGCCAATCTCTGTATCCGACTGAATCTCGCACAGCAGCCATGGCGAGCAACATGGCGAGCAAGATCAAGCTGATCGCGAACCCGGCCTACAAGAGAAACGGCACCAAGTCCTACGTGCACCTGCTTCGCAAATATGGCTTCAACCCAACCCTCGAGGGCCCTTACTTCCATGCCAGCAGTGTCGTGCAGCAGGGCAAGTTTGTCACCGCCACTGGACAGGCCATTGGCGGCAGAGCCCGTGTCCATCGGCGACTGCAGAAGAAGGTAGGGGACCAGGTCGGCGATGTCCCCGCCGAGGATGTCCAGAATGATTCCTTGTACCTCGCCCAGGTGGGGATCGGAACCCCTGCACAGAACCTCAAGCTGGATTTTGATTCAGGCTCTGCAGACCTCTGGGTAAGTTCATAACCCTTGTCTCTCCGATTTTGTAGCCTTCGAACTGACATGGAGCTTCAGGTCTGGTCGACCGAGCTTCCGTCCAACATCCAATCCCAGGCAACGGGCCATACCATCTTCGACCCGTCCAAGTCCAGCACCTTCAAGGGCTCGTCAGGCGAGACCTGGCAGATCTCCTATGGTGATGGTTCCTCCGCGTCTGGTGACGTGGGGACGGATGTTCTGAACCTGGGGGGCCTGGTCATTAAGAATCAGGCCATCGAGCTTGCAGAGAACATGTCTTCCTCTTTCGTTTCGGGTCCGGGTGACGGTCTGCTCGGACTGGCGTTTGGCAACATCAACACCGTGAAGCCCAACCCGGTCAAGACCCCAATGGAGAACTTGATCGCTCAGAATGAGATCCCCCAGTCCGCGCAGCTCTTTACGGTCCACCTTGGATCGTCCAAGGAGGCCAACGATCAATCCTGGTACACGTTCGGCTATATTGATGAGGACACTGTCAAGGCGTCAGGTCAGCAGATCACGTACACCCCCGTTGATAAAAGCCAGGGTTTCTGGCAGTTCAGCTCCACCACCGCCACCGTGAACGGGAAGACTATCAACCGCTCGGGAAACACGGCCATTGCCGACACGGGCACCACCCTCGCTCTTGTCGACGACCAGACCCTCCAGGCCATCTACAGCGCCATCCCCGGTGCTACGTACGACAGCAGCGTCCAGGGCTACATCTTCCCGAGCAATATAAGCCCGGACCAGCTGCCTACCGTCACCTTTGCAGTTGGCGACAAGCAATTCGCCGTTCACAAGGACGCTTTGGCATTTGCGGAGGCCAAGTCCGGATACGTTTATGGTGGCATCCAGTCCCGTGGTGACCTGACCTTTGACATCCTGGGTGACACATTCTTGAAGGGCATCTACGCGGTAAGTGGCCATATTATCTTTTCTAAGCCCCAAGTATAATGTACTGATGATTGGTGTGTCTCGTCAGATCTTCGACGTCGGCAACACCCGTTTTGGAGCCGTGCAGAAGCCGGATCCGACCTCGTCCTCGACTTCATCTTCGTCGTAAACACTTTCCCCCTTCCTCGTCACAGACTCGTCTTCGTGTCGTTTTCTTATTCTTCCCTTTCCTGTATTTCGCTTAGTCAGACGTAATTATCAAACACGACTCATGAAGCACGAGAATGGGAATATTATTCTATCCATTTTTTCCCCCTAGCAGAATATGATGCACTACATGATATTATACACGGTATTGCACGTGGGACAGGCTTCGTAACAAACGAGTAGATATTTTACAATTCCAACGACAAACAGTCTCCAGATCGGTGTTGATGAGTTCGCGCAGGGTTGATTCAAGGTGAGATGAAATTCAATTGAACTCGAAGGTCCTTGGTGCCTCTTGGCCGGTATTCTCATCTCCTGGAGTCTCAGGGGCTGCATTCGGTGGCGGAGAGAGGTTCAAGAGGCGGAGTGGCATGCGCATGAACATCTCCATCAGCAGCGCCGCCGCGACACTCACGTTCAGGCTATCAACCCGCGCTGGATCTTCCAGGCCCAATTCGGGCCGGATGCGCGCCCCTGGGACTGAGACGAATCCGTCCGCGTGCGCCTTGAGACGCGGCATCAGGCCTGTCCCTTCGCTGCCAAGCATGAGGACGGTGGGAGCGTCCAGCAGGATGCTGCTGCCGCCGCTGCTGCTGTCGCTGATCCCGTTACTCGCGGCGATCTGGTCGATATGTCCTGGTGCTTCCGCGGCATAGAAGCGCCAGCCATTGGCGCGTGACCGACGGATGAAGTCGATCTCGTTGGTCACTTTCAATAGGGTCATGTTCTCAGCAGCGCCAGCGGAAGCTTTGATGGCGACTGGTGACAGAGGCGCAGAGTTGCGTCCTGCAAAGACGATCGCGTCCACGCCCAGGAAGTAAGCAGAGCGGATGATGGCGCCCAGGTTACCCGGATCAAGGATGCCGTCGAGGAGAATGACAAAGGGGAATCGGGGACTCTCGCTCTCGGCTGATGCTTGCGAGTTGAGACGTCCGACTATCGGAATCCGGTTGTCTGTGCCATTCACGGCCGCCTCTTCGACAGACTGTTGACCCAGGGTCACCCGGAAATGATCGTCAAACGGCGATTCGACTGGTTCCAGGCTAGTTACCGGCAGTTTGGGAAGAGGCGATGCCTCCAGGATGCACCCATTATGGGGCCGTCCGGCACTCATCTTGTCCATAAGACTGCTCCAGTCTGCGAACGCCATTTTCACCCGAACACTCTTCGAGAGCGCCAGTTTCCGGATTGACACTTTTTCGGGGCTGAGCTCCTCTCCTTGCGCTTGATATAGGTAGAGTTTGTACAGCTTGCGGCGGGTGCAGCGAAGGGCAGCGTGGACGGCTGAAGTACCGTAGATAAACTCCGACGCTGGGGTGGTATAGGGAATCGAATCTGGGACTTTCACATGCGCCTTGATCCGCTCTGGAACTGTATCGCTGTATACATGGTCTTTGCCTCTCTTCTTCTTTCTCATGTGGGGGTTCCGAGGCTCGTCATCAGAATTCTTGCCATCTGCAAGCTCCTTCTGGCTTTTGGAATTGCCATTTGCAGAGTTCTGGTCCTTTTGGTATTTGCGAGGAAGCCCGCGGAAAGTGCCCGTCTTCATGAATTCATCTTCGTCGAAATCAAGCTCCGGGTCCCAACCATCGTCGAGTTCGGTATCACGGCTGCCATTGGTGTTTCGAGGTTCATTTTTGTTATTCCTCGCTTCTGCAGCTGCTTCAGCGGCTCGAGACTTGCGAATGCCTCTGTCTATGGCAGAAGTCAGGGAGGCGCATCGGACGCTAGGTAACCGAGCGGCGACAGGTGCCGCCCTGGGGACGAGTTGCAGGCATGCCCACAGGGGACGGCGGAGGTACATGGACATTACCTTTGATAATGCATGAAAAGTAGAGCTGTAGCAAGAAATCTTCGGGTTTTATTGCATGCCCCTGGCGGAGATCGAGACAGTAAATTTCCCGTCCGCGATAAGATAACTTCGGCCCGATGATATTCCGGCACGCGTCTCATCCGCGTCTCCGTCCGATATTTTGCTTCTTTGGGTCATTAGTCTCGCTACGTGAATCTGTTTGGTCTTTCTGGACTCGTGCCTCGTTTTTGGTCTTTCTTTTAATTGTATTATATTTTATTTTTTGTCCCTTCTCTTGGTCTTATGTGAATTGCTTCCCGAATTTTCCGTGTGCTGTACGGCGTCTATTGCTACATCGATGAGACTCCAACGATGTCAATATGCGGTCTGATAGAGAGTTCTCGTCGGCATCTGATGATGCAGATGCCCTGGTGGCGGACCTGCTACAGCAGTTTTCTTCTACAGATCACAAAGCGCCACAGCAGCCATTAGCGACAAGTTCACATTCGCGTTCAGAACCCGCGGCTGAACCCACCACCGCCATACCTTCCCCAAAGGTTGCATCTGAAGAAAAAGCTTATGCAGTAGAGGTTCCTGCCATTTCGGACGCCGATGAATACGAGTTCCTTCCCGGCCATTTTGTAGTGCGCGAAATTCTAGAGAAGAAGCAGACAGCCGAAGGACCGCGTTACAAGGTGGAACTGGAAAGTTCAGATAAGGAATGGGTGAGTAGATATCTGAAGTGATATTTTGGACAAGACCTTCCAAACTCAACTTCTGCTTTCGATATCATTTGGCAACATCCTTATTTCTGTATAGATGCCCCCGTCGCACATCGAGACCCTCACAAACGGACCTGAAGCTCTGTCACATTTCAAATCACGAGGCAAACGGAAGCCCGAGGAGATGTTGACCGACGGCCGCCACCGCAAGGTGCAAAGACCAGAGGGCTTTGTGAGCTCCGAAACTCTCATTTTCTCTGACGACGATGACGATGAGCCTGTCGTGTCCGCCACTGCTACAAGATCAACTCAGAGAGACCGTCCGCCACTTCGTCTTACTATGAAGCGCCAACAGCCTTCAGACGAGGAAGGATATTACTCGTCCTCATCATCTACAAATGAGTCTGATGTGCGTCCCACACGCCGCTCGACGCGTGCTGCGACCCAGCGCTATACGTTTGAATCAAGTGAAGAAGCGTCAAGTGATGATCTCCTCGGTTCTTCCACGGTCACAATCTCGAACGGACGTCGTTCTGGAAAGAATATTGTGCTGCGGCGAAGCGCTAGACATTTAAGGGCTCGAAAGTCAGATAGTGAGAGCGATACATATGCCCCCAGAGGCGTTCGGTTCTCGACCAGAACAAGGAAATCCCTAAAGAAAAACCTAAGAGAGAGGCTAGAGAGTGACATTTCTGAGAACGAGGCTGTCCCAACAGAGAAGAGGTACATAGGTGCCAAAGAGGTCTTTTTTAAGGTTCCAACCCATGACCCATTCAGACAACGTCATCGAAATGTGTGTGACACTTGCTCCGTGCTTGGTGACGATAAGGAAAAAGGTCCTCTTGTATTTTGCCAGGGCTGTACAAGTGCTTTTCATAGCGTCTGCCTGGGACCGCGGGGTTCTCGAGAACATATCGTTACGAAGGTCGGCCATGACAAATTCGTTCTTCAGTGCCGCCGGTGCATTGGAATTGCTCATAAGAAGGACTCCACCGCCCCCCATCTAGGCCATTGCACCGAGTGCAAAGCCGAAAGTCCTTTGGCCAAGCCTTTTAAAGAGCGTCTCAACTCTCGCCAGGAGCAAAAACAACGAGAGAAAAACGGTGGGGTTGACCCGATTACTACCGTTGACAAGTCACTCGTGGATAATGTGGATAACGTTCTCTTCCGTTGCATAAATTGCACCAGAGCATACCACTTTGAGCATCTTCCCCCCAGGTCGGAAGATAGCCATGCCTCGCAGACGGAAGGTCTTTCGTCCACAGATATAGCTAATATGCGGTTCAAGGAATACGGTCGAAGGTGGATGTGCTACGACTGTGTGACGGCACCTGGAGAAATTGAAGCTATTATCGCGTGGCGACCAGTCGATGTCGATAGTTATACTCCGGGCTTTACCGCGGATGTTTTGGACGAGGCAGAGAAAGAGTATCTTATTAAATGGAAGCGCAAATCTTACTACCGCACGACGTGGATGCCAGGCACCTGGGTCTGGGGAGTGGCTGCACCCGTCATGCGGAAAGCATTCTTGAAATCCCCGAAGGCTCTTAAGCCACAGATGACCGCGGAGGATGCGATACCGGAGGATTATCTCCGGGTCGACATCGTATTTGATGTCCGCTATACGAACATTGTGAGCAATTGCACCAAGGAAATTGATATGGCGCGGGTTAAGGAGGTGAAAGAAGCGTATGTGAAGTTCAAGGGCCTTCTCTATGAGGATGCTGTGTGGGAAGCAGTGCCCAATCCGGAAGACACAGAAAGGTGGAATGATTTTAAGGCTGCTTATGAAGATTGGGTCCTTCGTGACTACGTTCGCATTCCAAAGTCTGGAGCTCTCAAGAAGCACCTTGCTCACGTTCGCGCTCAAGACTTCAAGTCAACTCTGGTCAAGAAAAGTCAGCCCAGCTGTTTGACCGGCGGTAAACTCATGGAGTACCAACTGGACGGCCTCAATTGGCTGTATTACATGTGGTACAAGCAGCAAAATGCGATTCTCGCCGACGAGATGGGACTTGGGAAGACAATCCAAGTCATCGCATTTCTGGCAACACTGATTCAAGACCATCGATGCTGGCCTTTCCTCGTCGTGGTTCCCAATTCGACATGTCCGAATTGGCGACGTGAAGTCAAGAAATGGGCGCCATCCCTCCGTGTGGTCTCGTATTATGGCAGTTCCGCCGCACGCAAGATCGCCCACGATTACGAGATGTTCCCCAATGGTGCTACAGACCTACGGTGCCATATCGTCGTCACCTCGTACGAAACAATGATCGACGAAAAAGCCCGGAGGGTCTTGTCAGGCATACCATGGGCAGGCCTCGTTGTTGACGAGGGACAGCGCTTGAAGAATGAAAAGAATCTGCTTTACGAGTCTCTTTCACGGATCTCGTTCCCCTTCAAAGTGCTCCTCACGGGCACTCCGTTGCAGAATAATACTCTGGAGCTTTTCAATCTCCTCCAGTTCTGCGATCCGAAAATCAATGCGCAGGAGTTGGAAGAGAAATATGAGACCTTGACCAAGGAGAATGTGCCTGAACTTCATGACCTGATCCGGCCTTTCTTCTTGCGCCGCACGAAAGCTCAGGTTCTCACATTCCTTCCTCCGATGGCACAGATCATCGTTCCTGTGTCGATGTCAATCGTACAGAAGAAATTATACAAGTCCATCCTCGCTAAGAATAGCAAGTTGATCAAATCGATCTTCCAGAACAATCAGGATCAGAATCTCAAACAGACTGAGCGGCATAGCCTCAGCAATATTCTCATGCAGCTCCGAAAATGTCTGTGTCATCCATTTGTGTACAGCAAAGCAATAGAGGAACGGACTTTCAACGCTGCGGTCTCTCACCGCAACTTGGTGGAGGCATCAGGCAAGCTGAAACTGCTTGAATTGATGTTGCCTAAACTTAAAGAGCGCGGACACCGCGTCCTGCTCTTCAGTCAGTTCCTGGATAATCTGGATATCGTGGAAGATTTTCTAGACGGACTCGGTCTGCTCCATCGCCGACTTGATGGTTCCATGAGCTCCCACGAAAAACAGAAACGGATCGACGATTTCAATGCCCCGAATTCGCCATACTTTGCCTTCCTCTTGTCGACTAGGTCTGGAGGGGTTGGTATCAATCTCGCAACTGCTGATACCGTTATCATCATGGATCCGGACTTTAATCCCCATCAGGACATTCAGGCTTTGTCCCGTGCTCATCGAATCGGTCAGCAGAAAAAGGTTCTGGTCTTTCAACTGATGACGCGTGCCAGTGCCGAAGAGAAGATCATGCAAATAGGCAAGAAGAAAATGGCTCTCGATCATGTGCTCATTGAGAAAATGGACGCAGACGATGAGTCTGCTCTCGACCTTGAATCTATTCTTCGACATGGTGCCGAAGCTTTATTTGAGAATGACGACACGGGTGACATTCATTATGATTCCGACTCTGTCGACAGGCTCCTCGATCGTAGCCAGGCTGAAAACACGCAGGTCGGCAATGATGCGTCTGCCGAATCGCAATTCAGTTTTGCTCGGGTTTGGGCAAATGACACTGCGGCTCTGGAAGACCGTCTAGGTGACTCGGACGCCCCCACTCCCCCTAGTAATACACTGTGGGAGAAGATTCTGCAGGAGCGTGAAAGAGCTGCTGCGGAGGAAGCTGCTGCCCAAGCCCAAGCGTTGGGCCGGGGAAAGCGGAAGCGGAATGTTGTCGATTATGCGATCAATGAAGTCGCTGGCGAACCGAGCCCAACTGGCCCTGCCAAAAAGTCGGGTCGACGAGCCGAGAGCGATGCCGAGTTTACTGCCGAAGACGAGGGATCTGATGATGTCGATAGTGATGACGTCGAACCAGAGTCTGGTGAGTTGACGCCTTTGAACAAAAAGCCCGTTCAAAAAGGTACGAGACTTCACGTTCCTTTTCATATCCATATAGCCATCGTGCGTCTGTCTAACTATCTACTGTTAAATAGGACGTCCATTAAAGCGTGTCGACCCTGATAAGGTCGAAATTCCGTCTCTGGATGGCAATTCTGATCGACCTCCTGCAGGTCCCAGTCGGCCCTTCCCGTGTCTGGCATGCAATCAGCCCCATCCTGTTGGATACTGTCCTCTCAAGCTGGCCGGAGTTGAGCATTGTGGTCTTTGCGGAATCGCCCATTTCGGATATCAGCGGACATGCCCACATCTCAATTCTGAAGCACAGATAACAGTGATGCTCCAATCTTTAAAACAAAGCACGGAGCCGAGATATCTAGTCGACCAGGCAAAACAATATCTGCGCAATATCAAAGGAGATCTGGTGTGGCGTAGGAGAAGGGCTGAAAAACTCAACAGCACCAACAACGGCAGTACTAACAACGTCAGTACCAACAACGGCAGCACCAATAACGGCAATACGGCTGAATCTTTTCCACCGGGTGGAGCTTCGAGACCTGGTCAAACAGTATTAGATCTGACACAAACGTCTGGTCCTCAGCAAGTCCCTTCGTCTGTTCCTCCACCTCAAGCCCCATCACAAGCACCACGCCCGAACGCCGCCCCAAATTACCAGGGCTTTACGCAGGGTCCATCTGGGGCCAAGCAATATCCTCATTCAATGCCTTCTTCTGGCCCTCCTCCTGGCGCTTTCCAGCCTCAGTTTGGCTCCCAGATGCCACAGCCACCACCAAACGCAAACTATCATGGCTCCATGCCGGGCGGTCCGGGCAATACTCATCATGCACATCCTCCTGCTAATCCTATCCCGCCGCCTGCGTGGCGAAATCCCTCTGACCGTCCACAATAGACCATGGTCCATACCGAAGTGGAGGCCGACTTCAGATGTTTCGCTGCTGTTTCGTTCATTTCGATGAATGGGACAACTGCATTCTCTTACATTCTGTTTTTTTTTCTTGCTATATTAGCTGGGGTTAATAATAGGGAAGCGGTGTCATGGTTCTTTATGGCGTTTTGGGGATTTCTGGGAAAGGTTGGTTTGGCTGCTCTTTCCATCTGGATTCCATTCAGGCTTGTTTCATGCTGTGTTTATACTACCAGCAGACATACAGTACATAATTCAGGAATGGAAATAGAGGATGAAAGAAATTAATTAATTAATATTCACTCTGACAAGCAACGAGTCATGAAAATACATGATAGATTCACCCTCAGCAATTCTGAGTAGTAATCCTGTTATGCATCCAACTCATGGAGCGAGTCTGGGCCATTTATCACATGATTTATGACCTCCAAATACAATCAGTAAGGTGTCTTGGTGGTAGTAATTTTTTTTGCGGGTATCACCGTATATACCTAGCGTCTTTCTCTTTGTTCCTGAAGCCTGAGCTCAAAAGTTTGGACTAATACTCTCAGATCCGGTTAGGCCCGCTTCTCAAGACCTTGACGCGAATATCCCCCAGTTTCGTGATGCAATTAGCTGAACTTCGCGAGTCAGCTCGTTGACACGGAGACTGTTTGTTATGAAATGTGATGTATCTCATCCTCCAAACGGTCTCTATCGACCAACCACTTACGAACTGACTATACACGACATTGTTGTACAAAATGCTTCGGTTCCTTGCTTCGATCCTTGGTCATGGAATGCTCTGTATAAAGCGAATATGCCTACAATCAGTCGAGGTCCCTGCCAGGGGTTAGAGGGCTGGTGCAACACTTCGACCAGGTTTTGTGATGAATCATAAAAACTGTCAGTGACTCGTTGACAGCCGTCGAAAGTTGCACTATATCCGAAAACTATAAGAAGACGCGATTGACTCGAGTTGAATCTGGTCATCGTTGCTTGTGAGTCAACCATACTCCGTATAAATTCTTCAAACTGAATCAGCTCTCGCTACTACTTGATTTTAACATCTCTCTGTGCCTTAGTTCCTTTCCAAGTCAACTCTTACTATAAGCAAATATGAAGCTCTTCAACCTTGTGCTTCCTTTTGTCGCTCTCTTCACGGCTGTCTCAGCTGTTCCCACTGCTTCTGCTAAGGAAGATGATCTCCGTCCTATTATCAGTGGCTTCCTGACAACCGTTAAGCAGCAGACTGCTGTCATCAGTGAGTCCATACAATCTGGCATCTATCGCGTTCCCTTGATCTCTCCTTGGAGGAAGAGGGCCCATTCATTGACCTCTGCAATTAATCTAACCAATCTTCATCTTTCTACAGACAATACTGCCGCTGAAGTTTCGCCTTCTTCGCCCGAAGCTGCCCGAAGAATTGCCATCCAGACCATCAGCGCTGCCGTCGGCGACCTCAACGCTGCCCTCGTCGATGTCATCAACCAGGTTTCCCACGCATCCCCTTCTCCCCAAAGCCCACATGATCTGGCGGACCTGGTCACCGAGGTCCTGGAGGAAATCAACGGCTCCCTGAACAAGGTCGTCTCCTGCTTGGGTTTGCAGACCACTCTGTCCTTCCTGGGACCGTTGGTCCCGCATCTCAATCAGCTGCTGCAGGGTCTGCAGGCGGTCGTGCCCAACCTTTTGGCGCTCGTCAAGCAGCTCCTGGGTGGCCTGAGTCAAGTTCTGTCAGGGCTCAACCTCTAATTTTTCATACCTTGCATGTCATCCGAGACAGTCGTTGTAGAGCTGTGGAAACTGGGTCGCATCGCACACCTTTTGGTTTTGGATACTCCGGTTGCGATCAATATAGGAAATACGGTACCTGGTGGAAGCGTTCCTTTCTCTTACACGACTGATTCGATATTAATTTAAGGAAACGAGCGAGGATTTTTGGAAGTCTAGTTTATGACTGATGGGATTTTTCTTGCCTTGTCTCCTCCACAAACAGTCATGTAACTTAGATAACCAATTCATTCCTTTTGGTCTCCATGTCATGCAGAACGACTTGTGTGCGAGTATGCAGACCAATAAAACAAAACTTCGCCTTGGCGAGACAACAAGTCCCTTCCCCCTTCTCCCTTCTTCTCCTTTTATTTTTCTTTATCGTTATAAAATTATGTTCCGATACTAGGAGGTATAGATGGGCAATATCCTGGTTTAGAAATGATCCACATACGTAGATCGCCAGTAGAAATAGTCTCGTGCTATTAGTCTTTTTGGAATCTTGGCGGAACAACCTTAAATCAATCGCAATCCCTAACGTCGCTCCTTCTTAGAGAAGAACTCCAAGGACGACCTGTAATAAATCTGGCCACAAAAAGGATTTCATTCTTGCTTCTGTGGTTGATACGTTCTCTGTCTTTTCTATACTGCGGTGTTGATTGTTCTCTCTCTCTGCATTGGATCTCAAGGAGCCCTCTTCCTATGCCAAGAAGCCCTGAAACAGTGTATTATGCTTATGTTCTTTCTCTGATGGGCGTTCGATGAGTTAAGCATATGAAGTTGATGCAATTGAACACTTTGTTTAGTCCACGATGTGAAATGTATACCCTGAGGTTCTTCCTCGGCAGCGGCAATATCAGACAGCAACGTTGAGTTGATGGACCTGTATATCTTATATCTGTCGATTCAAGATGGCATTGAGATCAATTCCCTTTATATATTTGCTTTGTGGTGATTTGAATGCAGGATTGAGCTTAAGGATTCCGGACGTCGAGGTCTACTAGCACCATGGATCGTGTCAGTTTGGAGTCATTCATTTGAGATAACTTTGGGGGGAGACGACGTGTCTCGCAAGGTGTTTACAGTATTTCCAACTCAATTCCTCCAGGCAGCTCTCTGTTTATGAAGCTTTTGCGTTGCGGAGGAATTATCCGCCATCTGCAGCCATCCGAGCCAGATCTCCCGCTGCGAAACCATCGGCTGGCAGACATCGTCAGGGAAAAATCTCCGATCCCCAACCTGGCGGGCGGGCTCCATCTGACAAACAGAGGAGGCTGGGGATATATAAAAGCCAGATGACTCACTTGGGTGGATTTTCTTCTGAATTTTCTGCCAGTCATTTGGCAGGACCTCTGTGCGTTACTGGGCATCTGCCATCCTTCACTGGCAGGCTCCGCATCCAGTTCCCTTTTGGGCTTCGGACTCTGTCGCTTCATTCACCAGATATCTCGGTTGGGCCAATCAGACCGTCTATAATCACGATCAATTATCTTGTTTTTTCTTTTGCGCTTTCTTTTTTCTTTGTTCCAGGGCATTGACCGTGACGATCTCAGTGTGGACTCAGACCCGCATCACGGTATCTGCCGTCTCTCTGGCCTATTATTGCACGTCTCGACTGTCGCAGCAGTGAATGATATCTGCTTCTTGAGACTAGTCGCCCAAGGCCTACCTGGTAGTCGCTAGTATATTTCGCGAGTATAAATTCTCCTCCCCTGCCTCCCTGACCTCGCTGTCCTTCTCTCTCTTCTCTTCTTCTCTCATCCACCAACTCTCACATCTCTCTTTACCATCATTCTCTCAAAATCGATCGTTTCCAACACCATTCTTCTTCAAACCCAACGCTTTTATCAAACTCGCCTGTTTTCATCTCATTCTCGTTCCTTACTGGTTTAAGGATACTCGTCCTTGTGTGATCCAAGTCCATATCGCTTGTTTTCTCGTGTTTCTGCAAAATGTCAACTCCTTTGCGTCCGCAGTTTTTCTGTTCTCGTCCCAATGGGACTCTCACTCCTTTGATTGCTCTTGATGAGCTTCCCTCCCACATCTCGATTCGTGGAATTCCTCGTACTCTGTCCCCCGGTGACACTATCGGTATGACCAGTCTGGGTACCGTGATCCCCAGAGCTCATTTCTACATCGTCGACGGCATCCAGCCTGCCCCAATTGGCACTGCGCCCATGGGCGTGACCAATGCAGTTCGTGACTCTGACGCTCAGACGGCCGTTTACACTATTGCCTCGGATGACACCGTTGTTTTCAACCCTCAGATGGCCCTCCAGCCTGTGAACCAGCAGCATCCTCCTCAGAACTGGATGGCTTCGGCTCCCGCGGTTACTGGCTCTGCCAACCAGGTCAATGCAACTCGTTCTGGCCGTTCGAACGGAAAGCATGTGAGTACAAACTGACCATTCCTCTCTTTCTCATGAAGAGAACGAAATTCTGATGTCGTTTTCCCGGGTTAGGACCGCCGTGATCGCAGCCACTCGGGTGAGCGCCGCAAAGTCTTCTGTTCTTTTTGGCTTCGCAAGGGTGAATGCGACTACACTCAACAGGGTCAGTATAACTACCAACAAAATACTTTATCCTTATACAACTAACGTTGAAACACATAGGATGTAAATTCAAGCACGAAATGCCCATGGACGCTCTCACCCTCTCAAGATGCGGTCTTCGTGATATTCCTCAGTGGTATCGCGAGAAATTCGGCGTCTCCAGCATTCACACCCGCGAGAACAACAACACTCGTGCCCAGATCAATTCAGGGCAACCCTGGAGACCTAATATGCGCAACAACAACAACAACAACAACAACAACAACAACAACACTCAGTCGACCCCGACAAAGTCGATTTCGTATCCGCCCCGCATGGAGATCGCTGCGGCGAACACCGATGTCCCTCAAGAACGGTCTGTGGGTTTGACTGAGTCCAACAACAAGAACATTCCTGGTCCGCAGCCGAAGGGCTCCAAGAAGATTGATTTGATGTCATTCGATCCAATACCGGATTATGCTGCTCTGAACGCGGGACGCGACTCTTCCAGCGATGACACTATGTCTCCCACCGACAAGTTTTCTTCTCCTGCCAGAGGAGCGGATTTTGAGCGCACTCAGAATGCGGCGGATTGGATGTACAAATTTGGCCCAATGCTTCATGGATCTGAGGAACGTCCGGAGTCGCCGGTTAAAAACATGTCCAACAAGAACCGCACGAAGAAACCTTCGAGATCGCGTCGTCTCTACGAACCTCGTACTACTGAGTCTACCGGTCAACACAAGGGAGGTGTTCCGGCTGATAACTCACTCACTCCTTTGAAAACCAACTTCGGCAACGCCAATCGCTCCAGTGAGCCTGCTTCAACGTCAACTACGAGTCCTGAACGTATGAAAACCCCTGAACTCATTCCTTCGACTCGCGACTCATCACCGTATCATAGTGACGAATCGCCATCCAAGCTCGCAATTCGCGTGCCGCTCCTCTCTTTTTCGGAGCAATCCATGAAAAGCCCATGTGCGTTCGCGAAAGCGGTTATCAACGGGGAAAAGATCGACACACTGGACTATCTTGAGAGAGCGTTGATTAGTTTCAGGGCGGTTGGCCTCAACGATGACAAGGTCAACAGCGAGTGAAGACAGTGATCTGTTGAGTCGAGACTTTCACTGTCAGAAAACATGTCTACATTCATTCATCGATATCATTTCGCATCGGCGAATCTGTCCGGGAGGACACAACTCTTTTTTTTTTTACTTACTCTTCATTGATTTCGTTGATTGACACTGGGTGTCTTTCGTCGAACGGCACATCTGGGTGTTGTCTACATGTGAGAAGAAACGTCATCATCGAGTTCAAGAGTCAAAGTGGAAAGTTGACGTTTTGGTTGGTGATGGAAAAATTGAAAGTCGAGGTTGGAGACGAGGGGGTGTTTATGACGTCTGAAGTGGGTGTGATGGTTGATGAAGCCTTTTTTTACTTCTTTCTTGTCTTTTTTTCTTCACCATCCCTGCACTGTGTGTTGGTTTTTTAAACACCCCCATTCCCCCTAATTATTTATTTAAATCCCTTCCCCTTGTTTTGTTTGGTCTTGTTTTTTCTTTGCTTTCGTCTTATCTTTTCTTCTTGTGTGTCGTTTCTATCAGCGAGCGGCTAATAATCCTTTCCCCCATCTCCCGCTTCGCTTCGTGTCTTCCTTTTTTAATTGATTTCAATTTCATGTCATCTTCCTTGATTCTTGTTTTGAATTTCATTTTCCATCTAAGTTCAGTTCTGCTCAGTTCAGTTCAGTTTAGTTCCGCGTGCAGGTCTCCTTTTTTTTTCTTTCCCCGTCACGATGTTACGATCACACCCCTCGACCGGAGGAAAAAGGAAAACCCTCACAAAAAGATTGAAAAAAGAAAAACCTCGAAAAAATCTTGTACTCTACTACCTCAGTTCAGTTCAATTTGTTTTCGATAGCTTTAGCTCAGCTTAGTTCAGTTCAGTTTAGTTTAATCCAGTTCAGTTGAGCACAGTTTATCTATCTATCTATCGGTTTACTTCGTATCATCTTGTTCTCAGAGGATTGAGATTGAAGCGAAGAGAAGTGAAGCATTCATTTCTTGCTTTACCTGCTTTCTAGTTACCTTCCTAGTAACCAACGATCATGACTTTGATTTGAGAGGATTGTCAATCGACATTTCACTCAGTTTCAGCAGCTTCCTCTGTCTTTCTCTCTTTCATATCAAGTCGATTTCTAGGAGATCGAGGATCGAGGTGCTAAATTTGCCACGACGAGGAAGGGTACATTACGCAGAAGAAGCTGAGATACCAAAATGATCTTTTAGGGAGGTTATGTTATTGCTATATATGATATGGTACAGGGAGATAGAAGACAAACACACACACACACAAAGGTAGTATCCTGTCTACAGTACATGAGAGCCTTTCTCGAATCGAAGACCCCTGGTTAAGTTCAATTCAGTTCTGACCGAACTGACCCTCGATAGAGAAGACAATGTGATATCGTTGTGTTTTATCTTAACTTCTGAGTGGCCTTCTTGTTGTTGGCGGCCACTTTGACAGCCACCTTCTGTCGTTCCTCTGCCCCCTTTGCGTGTGGAGATGCGCTTAGCCCAGGGAGAGTCCGGACGGCGTGGGCGATCACCTCTCTGCCGTCCACGATCTCTCCACGCTCGCGCTCCGCACGCTGTCTCTCCTGCCGGTTCGCCTCGAGCTGTTTCTTCCGGGCATCCGTCATCTTCCACTCTTCTGGGAAGAAAACCTTGCGCTTGGGCTTGTGGTGCCGCAAGTCGAGGGGAATGTCCGCAAAGGAATCGCCCTCCTTGGCCTCCTTGATCAACTTGTTGACCAGATCAGCCAGGTACCGTTTGTTCTGGGCCCGAGTCGTGTATTTCTCCGTAGACATCTTCACGATATCCGTGTCCGGGTTGTATCGTGGTCCCACCAGCTTCAGAAAGGTCTGACGCTGCTCCTCGGTGAGGTACTTCGGGACGAGATCCTTCGAGCAGAGTTCCACCACCACCTTGTTCTCGGCAGGATGCTGTTCGCCCATGTATGTCGTGTAGCGGAAGCGAAGGAGGTGCGTTTCAGGGGGTAACGAAAATGGCTTTGCCAATTCTGCGAGTCCAGTCAGTCAACGAGTATTAAAAAATCTTTAATAACTTCGGTCAGTTCCATACTGCTTAATAGCGGCATATCCCACGCCGCAATTCGCGCATATTCTCTCATCTCACGATGCAATTCCAGCTCTGCATGAGCCATAGATGTGATCTCGTCATCGTTGAAATCGTCGTCGCCGTCCTCGACCTGGGCAAACTCGTCGTCTTCATCCTCCGCCCAGAATCCTCGAGGCTTCTCCTTCACGTCCTCGAATCGCATGGGTTCCTCTCGTTCGACTTGGGCGGCATACTTGTCGATTTCTGCAAAGGCCTCGGCCCGCTTGTCCATGTCGTTGAATTCCTCGATGAATCGGCGGTTTTCCTCATCGAAGATCGCCCGTTCCTCCGGGGACATCATCTCGTACATCGTCTTTTCCTCTTTCGTGAAATTCTCCGGCGAGTACTCCGGCAGCTGCTCGATATCCTCCGGCCCCAGGTCTTTGGAAGGAGGAGGCACTGGCGGGTCTTCTGGCAGGTAGGTCAAGGGTGACGGTGAAAAGAACCGGGACTGTTGACCGATTGCCGGCCGCTGGAACGCGATCATTTGCGGACGACGCGCTGGGCGTCTCCGAGAGAGAAAGATAGCCGTACGGCTCAGCGCTCGTGTTGTGCTGGCCATGGCTGCTGGGCCAGACGGTCGTCAATGCCTTTTTCACTGTCCTGCGCTGGCTTGGTCAATGAATTATTATGATTCTGCTCCGACGGAGATCGCTCATTAGTCTGGCGCTAGCCGTATTGGGTTAGGTCTGTTTCCGCCCCGGGCCCCCGGCATCCGCGAATCGTCGATAAGCAAGCCAAAACCAAAGACGACTCTATTCTACGTTCGCTTGCTGAAATAGATGATTACTGGAAAGAATCTCAAAGATTTTTAAATTCGCATTAAGAAAATACAAAAGCCTACTACCATGATGTATTACCCAAAGTCATTGGCGCTCAGAAGCATGATCGTTGGATATGAGGGCCTGATGGTCGCCCTGCTTTGACCTTTCTAAAGACATCATCACCGATATGTCTCTTGTCCTGCTGTTTGTGGTGTTGATGAACTTATCTCTTCTAGTCTCGGAAAAGCTACTGCTTAATGCCGGAGCACACTAATCACAATATTCCAAAAGAAACCATGCTTGATATTTAAAGGTCTCTGCACTCGCGGGATGACACTGATCTTGCACCGTGTTCTACTAGAAGTTTGGCAATTCTGAAATAGCCACTCTGTGTTGCATACCATAATGGTGTCCGGAAAAACGTGTTACAGGAATCCACCTCCACGCCCCGATCTAGCAGCATACTTACAAAAATTCATTATTGTATAGAATCGCTGCGTGCAGAGGAGTCTTCTCTTCGCAAATAACTACTCGCATTTGGATCAACAGTAGGGCATTTTAGGAGTATCTGCACAGTCTGAACTTGTCCCAAGGAAAACGACGCCGGATATCGGGCTCGCTCCTCTCCAGAAGCAATTCGACAATACCTTCATTGCCTACAACCGCCATCGCTTGGCAAAGAGCAGTTCTGCCATCTCCATTATGGAAATTAATGTCGATGTCGTTCCTCTCCAAAAGTAGCCGAACTACTCCAGTGTGTCTCTTTTTAACCGCGACCAAAAGTGGTGTCTGATTCTGCAAGTTTTTGGAATTTACGTCGATATCTCGCTGCTTCAATAGCAGTCGCACAGCTTCTTCGTGGCCTTTCATGGCGGCAGCATGTAGTGGACTGTTTCCACATCCGCTGTTGACATCTGCCCCATTGTCCAAGAGCAGCTGAATCATATCTGTATTCCCACGATGGGCAGCTGCATGCAAAGCGTTGCCAAGGTACTTATCAGATGAGTTCACATCCACGCCATCTTTCAAGATCTTTTCGACAACTGACTTGTTTCCATAGTATGCCGCCATCGGGAGGATGTAAAGATATTGGAGCCCTTCAGTCACGTGGAAACTGGTGTTTGAAACATCGCTATATGCTGCTAGAAGTTGGTCTGCCACCCAGATTTTGCCCTTATAAGTCGTCACGAGCATACATGCTGCTTTCCAATAACGTTCATCCTCAGTGCTGGATCCAAGATTCCACTCGACTATGGCCTGCACAGCACAGCTCACTGCTTTTGTGAGGTCTTCTGGAACTGTCCCTCCATTGATGCTTCTGAGGATCTCATGCATGAGCCACCATACCACGGCATCGTCGTTCGGCAGTGAGGGGAATCTTAGCCCATCATAGTTAAGTTTGCGGAGGAGACTATTTGAGACAATGCGATCAAATAACTCTGCCAAGAACAAGAGACATCAGCAACAGAGTTGCTTCCAACGCTGGTAGTATGGTCAGATGGGACTCACTGCAAACATATCTTAGATTCAGGAACCATTGTTTCTCAAATAGTAAGCGCGTATTCCAATCATCCAGAACGATGGGATCAATGATGAGTTCTAGGAGCTCGTTAGGTAAATCGAGGAGACCAGTCTGGCTAACTCCTCGGGCCATCTTCTTTTATTTCAACATTTCTTGCGGATGACCTCAGATGAAGAGTAGATGAAAGAACTTCTTAGGATATGTCAAGTGAGATCAGTCGATGTCCCAGACAACGAGTCTATGTATACCCGGGAAATCTGAAACGCTGAAAGGTAGGGAGATACTGATCGACCGCCTCTCAGTGGACTCTTGAAGAGCTATCACACGTCATCTTCGAAGGACCATGAGATGCCTCGCTGTTGTGGCAAGTAAGGGAATGGTCACTGAAATCGCCGAAAAGAACTACTCTTTATTCGGAATAAACAGAACAAGGATAATCGATATGATTCCTAGGATAAAATGTAGTTACCTAGGTGTTGAGTAGCATGACATGGATGTTATCAGAATCGATTCCATGACAGAATTTTTTGCGAAATTTGCAGTTTACACTGGTCATCTAATTCACATGACATCAATTATCGCTTCATAAATCCTCGTAAGTTGGTCTCCTAAGCGAAGATGTCCGTGTAATAGACACAAGTTGGCAGGAGCACTTCCTCAAAGTGGGTTAGTCCCAATCAGGAGCATATGTTCCTAACCTAATTAGGCTTAGTATGAATATGACGCCTAAACTCTAAAATGACTGCGGGATTCCATTGTTCCATCACGTGATAATACATTATCTATCACGTGCTGCTATTGTGTTGGGTGTCTCCCGCCAGGAAGCTCAAGGCAACATGCCACTGTTTGGAAAAGATGCCATGTTGTTATATGTATAACCATAAAGATGTCCTGCTATGGTAGCCTGAATGGTCTTATGAAGTTCTTGCACTGCACACCTTGATCGTTGTACTACACAAGTTAACAAAATCCAATCATGGCCCACAAATACAAAAGCTCTGATGACAAGCCAAGAAAGCGATGTTTCGTGACGATCGGGGCCACTGCTCCCTTTGATGCCCTGCTATCAAATGTCCTGGACAAGCCATTCCTGGAGGCTCTGAGCCAGTGTGGCTATACAGAACTCCTCATTCAATATGGCAAAGAAGGCCGGATTATCTTCGAGAAATTCGTCCAGGATCATCCCCCCGGAAGTGAGGGACGCTATGGGCTTGATATTTACGGATTCGATTTCAATAAGATGGGACTTTTGCAAGAAATGAAATCTACCAAGGCTGATGAGAAAATGGGATACTCAGAGGGCATGATTCTTAGCCATGCTGGTAAGATCCTACGGTCATGGAGGCTTCCCCGATTCTTCTCATGCTGACTGTTCTCCTTTACTCCTTCAGGCTCGGGGTCTATCCTCGAAGCGCTCAGAATCGGAGTGCCTCTAGTGGTAGTACCCAATCCAGCGCTTCAAGACAACCACCAGGAGGAGCTCGCCAAAGAACTTTCGAAACAGGGCTATGTGGTTGCTAGCAAAGTAATGTGAGTGCTGCGACTTGTGTTGATGAAGCGACTGTGCATCTAACATTATTCTAGGGATATTGCCAATTCAGTTAAGAAGGCTGAAAGCCTTCGTAATCGTCTTCACAGCTGGCCGCCGGTTAACAGTGGTGAGGGGAAATACAAGCGTGGCCTGGCTGGAGTTATGGACGACGAAATGGGCTTCATGGACTAATAAGGGCACACATCTCATTATCATTTCCAGCACAACTTTTAAGACCGCGACATTCACCAATGTCTATTCACGCCCTTGTCCTACCGATCTTTATACAGCAGACAGGATTGTCCTGCTGTCATGGACCACTGGCCCACGACGCGCTCGATTTTTTTTGTTCGAATTTCTCGGGAAATTTTGCTCGATGCCATAGCCCTAGACACTTGGCCTCTGACCTGCATTTCGGGCATGATTGTGTCATTAGGTTGATGGAGAATATTGCGCAGGTTATGTTCCATGATATTTTGCCCAGGAGCTGAACTCGCCATACCACAACGACGGTTGGTACGTCTCAGTTTGTTGGAGTTTTCTGCTACAAAGAGTCTATGATGAAAAAAAAAGCATACTATTCGGGAATGGATTGTTGATGTACGCCCCTTTTGGGTAGAATGGTGGCTTGAGAATGAGTTGGTAAGGATGAATTGACTGTATGCTCGTCGAGCCAGGCACGACGATTCTATTGTGGCATACTCCTATCTGAATAGCAGCCATCTAAATCTCTAGAAATTCTGTCGTGTAAATAAAGAGTTCCATGGGCCATGGTCGAATCCAGGTACAGTCGCGCGTTGCAGCGGGAAGCATCCCGGTTGGCCCAAGCTCCTTGTTGACGGCGCGGAAAGAGTTGGGCAGGGAGAGCGAGCCGCGAATCCTCTCCGCAGTCAGGATTCTCCGATCCCCCACGCTGTACGAGCCTCTGTCACGCCGTTGATGTCTTCGCTTGCGAGCTAACCTTTCTACGATCTTTTCGCTTCTTTCTCTCCTTTCTTTTGGTCTTTCTGCCCTGCCCTTGACGTGTCGCGGCGGTTTCGCGAACAACAGGCCCGCCGCGCATCTGCCACCCTGTCTCTGCCGCCAACACCTTCAATCCCCACAATCCGGTCATTATGGCGGAAGCGAGCCTTCACAATGTTCCGATCGTTATAGACAACGGCAGTGGCACCATTCGGGCCGGGTTCGCCGGTGAAGAAGTCCCATCATGCTACTTCCCATCCTTTGTCGGTCGACCGAAGCACCCCCGGGTGATGGCCGGAGGTCTGGAAGGCGACGTGTTCATCGGACAAAAGGCCCAGGAACTGCGCGGACTGCTGAAGATTCGGTACCCTCTTGAACACGGCATTGTGACCGATTGGGATGACATGGAGAAGATATGGCATCACGTCTACGAGAGCGAGTTGAAGACGCTGCCCGAGGAACATCCCGTCCTATTAACGGAGCCGCCGCTCAATCCCCGGAAGAACAGGGACATTGCCGCTCAGATCATGTTTGAGACGTTCAATATACCCGCTCTTTACACCTCCATCCAGGCCGTGCTCTCTCTCTACGCGTCGGGGCGGACAACAGGTGTCGTCTTGGACTCTGGAGACGGAGTTTCACACGCCGTACCAGTGTATGAGGGATTCGCCGTGCCTAACAGCATCCGAAGAATTGATGTCGCTGGACGAGACGTGACAGAACAACTGCAACTGTTGTTGAGAAAGAACGGACATGTTCTGCACACTAGCGCAGAGAAAGAGGTTGTGCGCATGATCAAGGAAAAAGTGTGCTACGTGTCATTAGATCCGAAGAGAGAAGAGAAGGAGTGGATCAACAGCTACCACAAGTCCGAATCCAAGACAGTTGATTACGTCCTGCCTGACGGACACAAAATCAAGGTACGTCCAGACAGGCTCAAGCCTGTTGGCCACAGCTGACTGACGATGGTCTTGCAGATCGGCCAAGAACGTTACCGCGCGCCCGAAATTCTCTTCGATCCGGAAATCATTGGCCTTGAATACCCCGGTGTTCACCAGATCGTGCAGGATGCCATTGCCCGCACCGACCTCGATCTCCGCAAGGCGCTATATCTGAATATCGTTCTCTCGGGTGGCTCAACGCTGTGTAAGAACTTCCCGGATCGACTGATGCGGGAGATAAAGAAACTTGCTGTGGAGGACATGAAGATCCGAATCTCAGCGCCTGCGGAGCGGAAATACACCACGTGGATCGGAGGAGGTATCCTTGCAGGATTGAGCACATTCCGAAAGGTAAGCAGAGTCCATCTGTATTTGTCAGATTACCCAGTTGCACAAGCTGATATCTTTCTTTTGTAGATGTGGGTCAGTGCAGATGAATGGCACGAAGATCCCGAAGTGATCCACAGGAAGTTCGCCTAAAGACTCAATCAACTGGATAACATTTGAAGGGATATATTTGCAAACAAAATTTTTCTTCTTTTCTTCCTTTGGATCCCCAATCACTTCTGATGGAACTGAGCCTAGAAATGCCGTGACTTGGTACGAACAGCAGCAGATACAAGGCAAGGAAAATAAACGGGCAGATACGCCCAGTATACAGACTATTTCGTTAATGGGAAGGGGAGCAGCAAATCACCCCTGCAGGCTTCTTTTTGATACCCCCTGGAGTGACTTATTTTTTGTCTATAAACCATTCAGTTCAACAATGTAAATTTACGCTTTTCTTCATTTTCTTATTTTATTTTTTTCGTCTTACGCCTCTTAACTGGTGTATTTGAGGGGCTTGGTGTCGTCGAGGAGAGACATGAAGTACTCTATTTCTGCAGAGGAAATGTTGGGAAAGCTCTCAACTGGACAATGCATACGATGTCATGGTCTACTTGCTTGATGACAGCGCGGTATGGAAGTAGAAGAAGGACCGGATAGGACTATGGCATAGGTGAATGAGTTTGCGTCACGGGAAACATTCAGTCCTGGTTATTGTTTGGAACCTCCAGTCTATCTATCTACGGAGTGTACAGATGAGCGATTTACTCGAGTCTTTACATATAATTATTATAGCAAATATGTTGCATATGTGAATCTCGTAGGTACCGCACCACCTCCAGTATAAGAAACCTAGGTTAGGTAAGTAGGTAGTTAATTTTAGCTGCCTAAGGTAACTTCTACGAAGGCAAAACGCCTATATGCTTACCCTGTGGTAAGTGGGGCAAAGAGGGCAAGCGGGGACGTAGATATGTACAGAGCAATTATCTCCGCAAGCAAGTAGGATAGATGGATAAATAGATATGAATTCGTTATCTTGTGTATATACTCTTTGATTTTGGTTACATTTGCCTCCTTTTTTTTTTCTTTTCCCCTGGTATCATTCTTGATCGTCATGTCGAATCCTAACCTGCGCATTGCCGTCATCGGCTCCGGGACCATTGGCCTGTCCTTCGCCGCGCTGCATCTGTCGCATCCAAGCAACAATCGTCCTGGGAGAACGGTTCAGGTCGTAATCTATGACCCTCGTCCAGACCTGAAGGAGTATATTGAGACAACTTTGCCTGGTTAGTGAACAATCGTTATTTTCAATCAACCAGCGTTGGTACCAGTTATGTAACTTCTATACTGTACTGTACATCGTATACGCAGCACTTGAACGATGTCTTGTCTAGTCGGGTATATTACGAGGCATGTAATTGACGAAATGCACAGGGTATTTGGATTCAGACAATGCAGAGGAACGGGGTGCTTCCGGAATGACGGTTTCATCATTGCTGTCGACCAACCGTCTTATCATTGCATCGTCGCTCTCATCTGCGGTAGAATCTGCAGACATCGTTCAAGAGCAAGGCCCCGAGAATGTCTCCTTTAAGCAGAATCTGTGGCCGCAGATTGAGTCTTCCGCGCCGGAGAGGGCCCTTTTCTGGTCGAGCACGTCAGGGATCCCGGCGTCAGTGCAAGGGAAGAATATGCGAGACCCGTCCCGACTGTTGGTCGTGCATCCGTTCAATCCACCACATATCATGCCGCTGTTGGAGATCGTGCCGCCTGGAGGGAAAAATGCGGATTCCTCCTCCGTCTCCGCACATGTGGCGCGGACAATCGAGTATTGGAAGAGCCTGGGCCGGTCGCCTGTTGTGCTGAAAGAGGAAATCACGGGCTTCGTGGCCAACAGGCTTTCATTCGCGCTGTTCCGCGAAGCAGTCCATCTCGTCAACACGGGTGTTGTCACTGCCGAGGAAGTCGATCGCGTCGTGGAGGAGAGCATGGGGCCCAGATGGGCCGTGAAAGGGCCGTTTTGGAGCTATCATGCCGGCGGAGGCAAGGAGAAAGGGCTGCGAGGTTTTCTAGAAAAGATCGGAGACACTGTGCAGGCGTGTTGGGATGATTCTGGCAGTCCCAATCTGCGGAGAAAGCTGGAAGAAGAATCCCCCTCGTCACAGGGTTGGGAGGACAGCCTGTGCGAGCAGGTGGAGCAGGCATATGGCCAGTTGGGCGATAAGGACTTGAAAGACAGAGACCAGAAGACGAGGAAGGTGTTGGACATTACAAGAAAGTAGGAAAATCTGTAAGCAGGCATTTCGCTAGTGAGACAACAGGAAGTAGAGGAAAGAAAAAGAAAATATTATAGAACAGTACATACATCGTACTGTAGACCTCAAACCCTCTGTCGCGAAGACGCAAGAAATTCCGCAGCCATGCATGCAGCGCGCTTTATCAACTGAATAAATGTCTCGAGAAACTCAGATCATCACGAGCTGATTGACGTATGTGTGTATTCCAACACACAATCTCTCATGTTTGTCCCGTTCGTATAGTTAGATAGATAGTATCTACCGGACGAGTAATAAGCGCGCTGCCAAGTTCGCGTCCTGCAGAAATGGACAGACATGCATGCAAGGGTACGATGGTGCATTTATCATTGAAAATGCAACAATGCATGCCTAGCCGCGATTTGATTTTGGCGATGCAACTCGATCGGGTCGAGTGCATCGGGTGGGGGAACGCCATGCTCGTTTGCCGCTTGATCGATTCCTGACTTGCAGCCACACTCCAACGTGTCACGCACTCAGTGAGCGCGAGCGAAGACGTGCTAGATTCTAAGTTGGCAGCTGAATGAGTCGATCAACTGTATGACCTAGTTAGATAACGAGTTTCCAGAGGCAGGAAAAAGGAAGCCCGACGGGCTTTTCCCCCTATGCCTATGCCCGTGCCATCTCTTGTCATAATAGATAGGCGATAAAATATCACAACAGGGGGCTTGATTTTGGAGGGGGACAATCCTAGTCACGGCGGCCATTCGTGGTATGCCACATCACAAGCAGTCCTTCCTTCAACAAGAAATGGCCTCTAAAGTCCGTGGGGGATTTGGCGCAGTATAGAAGATTGAACCAAATGAAAGCCTCGTATTGGACTAGGAATAGAGGGAGAATATGTCGATAATTGCTAGCAGTGTTCTGCTTGTTATACTCACGTTGCGCGCTTTGGCTATTTTCAAAAGATTGAATCCTGTATCCAAAATTGCAGAAGTTGAATGGTTCACGATTGTGTTCCGTCACAATGGCCTCCGAGGACCAGCCAGCTTCCTCGCCCACTGCGGCCGCTCAGCCGGGCACCTCACAAACAGCCGATTTCGAGGCCATAAAAAACTTCATAGAGACTATAAAGACCCTCTCCTCAGACGCCAGCTTCAAGGGAGCTTCAGCAGTCGTCGAACAAACCACCAAGTTACAGAAGCAGGTCGAATCCAAGGATGAAGAGATCGTCAAGCTCAACGCGAAGATCAAAGATCTGGAGGCGACCAAGGAGACAGCATACAACGAGATGTTTGAAATGAACCAAAAAGAAAACGTAAGCAAGCCGAAATTTTAAATCAGGTGGCATCTCTGGAATCGTCCGTACAGGAGAAGGAGAATGCTCTCACAGAGCAAAAGAAAACAATAGATGATCTCAAAAGCCAGCTTCAGAACCTTGAAAAATCGTACGAGGAGGAAAAGGCCAAAGTCACACAGAGCCACAAGGACATTGATGAGCTGCAGAAGAAGCTGAAAGAGAGAAACGAGTTCATCGAGAAGATGAAAAAGGCGGGATCAGCGATAAAACAGAAATTGACTGCGGCAGAAACGAAAGTAACAGAGTTGGAGACAGCCAACTCGTCTTTGCAAGAGCAGCTGCAAGCCAAGTCTGAGAAACTCCACGAACTGGAAGGGTTTGCGGCCGAATATAACGAGGAAGAGGAAGATTCCTTGTACGTCGTCATCTTCACAACAAAGGACTGACAAATAAAAGCCACTTACTGACCGTATTGTCAGGGTGGAAAAATTTTTCAACCTTTGGGGATCTGCAAGCAAGGCAGTGATTCAATATCTAGCGGAGGATCTTTCGACTGAAGCTCTTCAGGTAAGGATATAGATGTCGTGTCCCGCAAGTTAAATGATAGCTCACCTGGTTAATATGAAAATCTTAGAATCACCAAGCTTGGAGGAACTTGAGAGTACCTGGCAAACTACCTCACCAGGTCACTTTCAGTCACCAGGTCCCTCTGCCGCAGTCAAACTCGGATGCAGCAAAACAGATGCGCATTGCAGTCATATCAGCCATATTAGCAAGAGAGATCGACAAGCATATCTTCCAGCCTTCGTATATCTTGCCTGAAGACAGCGGAATCCGAGAGCTGCTGGCTGATCTGGCTATGAAAAACAGCAAGAAGGAGTCTTTCTGCCGTGCCCTGCTCCTGTCAATCGATCCAGACACACAAGCGAAAAATCTTGAGAAGAGGATGAAACAAGTCGTCACGAATGTGGGCTCGTACCTTGATGGATTGCTCTCAGAGACGCAATATACTGCATTTTGCCGTAGCCTGGAGGAGGTGGTGAAGGACGCTGCAGATTTGTGGAAGACTATCCAGCATTCCAGGGCAAAGTATGAACCAGATTTCGACCCGCTGGAGTGGGGAGACACTGAACTCGATCCCTTTCCATATGCTGAGGCGAGTACGGCAAGCGATCAAGACATGAATGGAGGAGGAAATAATGACGAGAATCTGCTCTTCGTGTTCCCGCGTCTCTGTCAAGTGCAGAATAATGAACGCAATCCGTGCAATTTCGCCACTTCACTGAGAAGATGGCAGTGCTTGGCTGCAGAGCGAGAGCTGAAAAAAAGGGAGCCGTCCAGCCCTACCATCGGACGGGTGGCATCGGGTCGTCGGCGATCACGGGGGATGTCGCTTTCCCTGAACAGTCCGAATGGCCAAAACGGCCATTTTTTAGGCAAAGCGAGTCCGTCAGGCGTAAATTCAGGAGGATGAGGGAGTTGTTGAGGATGTGATCCAGGCAGTCCTGTTGCTTATGTGTACGCGTCTGGCAAAGTCGATTCTGTGTACGTGTATTAAATAGGTGTATGAGATAGGAACGTAGTGAATGCGAAGGCAGGGCAGCGTCATCACAATTCGAAATCTTCAATATGAAGAAAAAAAAAGAAGTGAATTAGCGTTCCCAAGAAAGAAAAATACTCTAAAGCAACATATTTCCTCAGAAATATCCTTCTTTTAAAGATGAAATGCGACAACGAAAAAAAGAAGAAAAAACAGGTATAGAAATGGAACTGTAGGAATGAAATTTCACTCCCAATTTTCATTGCGGAAAAGACAGCACATTTCCATTGGAAAAGGATGAAGAAATGTTTGAGATAATTCATATAGCAGGAAATTATATCCAAGCTGCATACCTGATTCTTAGAAAATGTTCACATGTGGAATGTGGCGGGTCGGAACCAACGTTGGAAAGACGCTGGACGGATGTACCCTAAGTACCAGAGTATGGACCAATAAGAATACCAGAAGACATATCAATATCAACGTCATGCTGCCAATATTGGTAATTCAGAATATTTACCTATATTTCAGGTTATAGACGTTTAGGGGCTCTGGTATCTGGCTGCGGAGCCTGCGACTACTCGTTACAACAACGGTGATGGAAATTTATCAAATATGGGGAGGTTTTGGCATATGAAAAAGGCGTAGCTCTGTTCTTCTCCCATCTTCTTATTCATTATCGTTACCCTGCCAGTATGAGTCTCTTCAGACTTTGATAAGTTTTGATTGAAGCTTTGCCACAGGTCATATATATCGAGACATTTGTATATATGTGCTGAGGCATTGAAAATGCTTCTTTTTAAAGATTAATGTGGGTATTGTCTTATTAGAAAAACCGGGCTGCAGGATTGAAATTTTTTTTCTAAAAATTGATAGCGATAAAGAAAGTAAAGAACTGCGAAGAGTTACAGATTTTGTAAGCCTCGTTCATTCATCCCAATTTGACGTACTTCATCCGCTGGATTCCTGCATGGTATCTTGAAGATATCATATTCGTCTGAAATCTCTGGTAAATAACTGATTTGAGACTTCAACGCATATAGAGGATTATACAGTTAAAACCAGACAAATGATATCTTCATAGTAGATATACAAGAACAGACACACACAATGCTCCCTTTTGTGTAAACATGGCCAGAGGATCTGATTCATTACACCTGAACTTATTAGCTCCTAATCCAAGGTTATGCCAGGAAACCATCCTGCTTTGGCAAACACTTCCTCACATATTTGCTGCTCAGACAAATATCTCTGAAAGCAGCAGCTAAACACTTGTTTTGGTCTCAGACACGTTCAAGGAGCGTGTCCTCTTGTCAACAAGCATCTGCCTAATGGGCGCCATGGAAACCAGCGTGGTGTTGTGATCGTGTTCCTCCCCGTCTGCCAAACATTATAAATTTCTCACACCTACCAAGATCCTCTTTACTCCTCACACCTTCCTTTTCCATCTCTTGTTCATATCCTGAGCACATCGATAAGCAGTATTGGGTGAGTAACTAGCTCCTGTGTGATTCACTCCACGAAGCTATCCAGCCATACAGACACCTGCTTATCTTCTGTCAGTTCCCGTTTTGGCGTTTGCACTGGAACCCCTCCACCTCCACACGTCAACAACACGTCTATTCTTGTCTCATCTCTGAACGGCTCCTCTAAGACTTTCTCTTTGACAAGCTTCCTTTCTCTAGGTGTGTAACCTCCACAGAACCTCTTCATTAACCCCACCATCCCCTCCAACTTGCTAACCTCCTGGCAACAGAGAAGTCATCGAGATGGCGGACGAGTGGGATACTGAAGGCGGTTGGGGCGGTCCTAGTACTGGTAAGTCTTCATTATCAGCATAAGTCAACTGGATGCCATCAACTACAAGCTCCTCTGGAGATGCCTTCGGTAGAAACAGACTGACTCTTGACTCTTCTTCTTACCTTCAGCAGCGGAAACCAACGGTTCCTCCGCCGGGCCTGCAAACGATTTTCCGCGTTTTGATGACCGCGAGCCACCCAGGACTCCTCGTTTCGATAACTTCGATGACGCGGCGCCTCGTGATGGCAAGCCTGACGACAAGACCTGCCGCAAGTATGACACTCACCATTCATATTGGCAGTCTAACTGTACACTAACAGAAGCGATAAAGTTGTGGCGAAGAAGGTCATTTTTCTCGCGAATGTCCCCAGCCTCGTCGGGGAGGTGGCGCGTGCTTCAACTGCGGAGAGGAAGGGTAAGTAGTCCTCTGGTTAAAAATAATCTCACTGAAGCTGAACATAAGGCATAGTCACACCAAGGCCGAGTGCACCAAGCCTCGTGTCTTCAAGGGCACCTGTCGTATCTGCAACCAAGAGGGGCATCCCGCAGCGGAGTGTCCAGAGAAACCAGCAGACGTCTGCAAGAATTGTAGAAAGGAAGGTATGCAACAAATAGCAGGGTCAAGCTTTTTCCAGAATGGGAATAACATGTTTTGCCAATATAAACAGGACACAAAACTCTGGACTGCAAGGAAAACCGCAAATTCGATCTGAACGATATCCCCGACAAGGTTCCTGAGGAGGCATGGGCCGACCTCAAGAAGGCTGACAAGGAGCGGGATCTTACGGACTTCCGTGAGGTGGGATAATGCTTCGATGGCGCTCACCTTCACTGTCGATGACAGCTGACGATATGACAGGCCCTGAAGGTGTATTCCAAGTCGGACCCAATGAAGACATTTGTCGACATTGAAAAGCGTCTTAGAACGGAGAAGTCCAATGTGTTCCTGATTGCTCTCGTATGATTCCCTTCGTGTGACATCAGCAGCCACTTGAAATTTGGGTTTATTGATCGAATTTGGTGTTATAGGAGAAAGAAGTTGGCGATACCCTCAGCCTTATCAACCTACAGGGAAAGCTCGATTGCAAGTATGTCGTCGGATTCTACTTCAGCCCGAAACCGCAGCGTGCCAACCTCAAAGAACGCTGGCCATCGAACCCTGAGGAGAACCTGGCCCGGCTCGAGGATGCGGGCTTTCCGTACGATCGTCAGGTTCCTAAATGTGGCAATTGCGGCGGTGAGTGAACAGTCATTCGGACAAAAGGGCTTCGTGCTGACGATCTCTCTGCAAGAAATGGGCCACACTGCTCGAGGCTGCAAGGCTGAACGCATGACCATTGACCGCATCGAGGTCAAGTGTGTCAACTGCAATGCAGTCGGTCATCGTGCCCGCGACTGCACCGAAGAACGTCGTGACAAATTCGCGTGTCGCAATTGCGGGTACGAATAAATATTTATCAAAAGCAAAAAGACATTACAGGCCACTGACGATCATATCTAGCTCTTCCGAGCATAAAGCTGCCGAATGTCCTGAGCCACGCAAGGCGGACGGAGTGGAGTGCCGGAAATGCAATGAAGGTATGTTGGCATCGAGACTGAGTGATCTTGTATCTATCGTCTGACTGGCATGATTAGTTGGTCATTTCGCGAAGGACTGTCCTCAGGCTGGACCCAAGTTTTCAAAGGCCTGCCGCAACTGCGGGTAAGTGGGGTGCTATGCTTCTACTAATGTAGGAAATATCTCATCGCTGATAACTGCAGGTCTGAGGATCATATTGCACGTGAGTGCGATCAACCGAAGAACCTTGAGAACGTGCAGTGCCGCAACTGCGATGTAAGTAAGTGGATAGAGGAACCCTGACGCTGCTTGTCTGATATCGGCTCTGACAACTGGAACTTCTAGTGGGCCATTACAGTCGTGACTGTCCGCAGAAGAAGGACTGGTCCCGAGTGAAATGCAACAACTGCGGCGAAAGTAAGTTTGGATGCGCGCATGCCGATCGGATCTATCATATCGTTGTGGGTTGCTAATCGATTGGCAGTGGGTCATACCGTGAAACGTTGCCCGAAGCCTGTGGAAGACGACGGCGACAAGCCCGAATTCGACTCCGGCGCAGGTCGAAGCGGCTGGGGCGCCGAGGACAGCGCGGTGGGTGACGATACTCAGAAAATGACGGACGGTTGGCAGTCGTCTGCTAACAATGACTGGAAGTCGGCCAACAATGGCGGTACTGAGGCATCAGAGTGGTAGAGGGTGGATGCATGTGTTGTCCAACGTAAGATATGCAATAAGCACTGTCTCATGGATGTTGCACATTGCACGTTGAACACTGGACGATACACCGCTCGTCAACCGTAATCCTGTGCGATGACTTTTATTTTATTTCTTTTGATTTCTAGGTGTTGCGTCGGCCTTTGGTTCTTCTATCCATAAATCAGTCTATCGAAGATCGGATTGATCAGGGAGGGAAAAAAAGGTGCGGACATGTCACCGAAGAGGTGTGATTATGCCAGATCAGAAGTTGTTGTCTGTACTACATTGATAGTCGATAGATCGATAGTTGGTTGAGCAGTGAACAACAATCCAAAAAGAAAAGAGTAGTCAACTCATTACACTTTCCAAATCCACATCTTTTATTTGTCGCGACACGAAATGACTACTAGTAAATCAAGAAACCATTCCAAATGAGGCTGATAGATCATCGTCTATGTAAGTCTTACAAACTAGAAAGACTTTAGTAATACTAAATCTTATCGGACTCATGACATATTTCATATCACTAATTAAAATCTACGGAGTATATATTCATATACTCACACTATAGGAAGAAAAGAGTATAAACACATCACAACCTACCTCCGAAAAGCGTTTTTCTGCGCCCGCTCGTTTGAACAGCTCAAGCTCTTCTGGGAAAGGCATCCAGGAAAAAAAAACGGAAAATTATCCCGTTTGTTTTGTGATTGAGATATATTTCACGATAGAGCCTGAGGCTCATTAGCTAAGCTTACGGCTGGAGGAGGCAGGAGAGTCTTGAAGAGTTCTAGAGGGATTTATATAAGGATAAGGATGGGAGAGGAGTAGTCTTCCCTGAGGAATCAATCCATGGCCCGACATGCTTGTTAGAATGTTATGTCTAGACAGTACGTACTACCGATACTACGGGTATATAGGTACCTAAATAGGTAGGTAGGTACCTAAGGCTCTCTAAGCGCTAAACCCTTTTCGCCAGATAATTCACAATTACCTGGTAGTTCCAGCACAGGAGAATCAGCGGGCTCCCTCTCCTCTCTCCACAATATTTAGATTTTATATTGATTGAATTGAACAGAGGATGCTACGTAGTAATTTTACTACTGGCTTTCACAGTTAATACTCCGTCGTACAGTACAAGATCCATTGATTATTGATCCACCAATTGGATTGGTTCCAGCCAGTGTCAGTAAGGGAAAAATTTTTTTCCCCTCTCAAGTCTCAAGTCATTTCATTATTGTTTTTGACTCGGTAGTTCGTAACTAGACTCAATTCAAGATTACTATTATTAAATCATTATTTCATTTTTGTTTTCGGTTCGATTTCCGATTTTCAGGGGCTATTATTCGGTAACAAACACAGTTAACTGGCCCTTCTGTAATAACCCAAAAAAAAAACTTTTGGTTTTCTTTTTCGGAGATCAGCGCGTGTCTCCATAAGGAAAGTTCTTCCTTAGTGCGCCATATTTAGATACCTGCCTACATAGGTAGCTGGCTAGGTGCTCTGTACTCCGTACTCCACTCCTAAAATAGGATGAGAGAGGATCGGTGTGTGTGACAGTTTGAGCGGTTTCTAAGTTATCTGCCTGAATATCGGAGATTTAGCAGCGAACGTCGACAAACCTGCCTTATACGGAGTGCTGTCTTACATCCTCCGCACTCTATCCAGAGTAGGCAAGTACCTCAGGCACGGACCGTACTCCGTGCTCGGTATGATTTCCTTCGAAAACTTAATTACGGAGTAAAATAGACGCGCGCATGAAGCGCAGAACACGGTCTGAGTGTAATCGGTTTCGGCCATTCAGATTCATTTCGTACTTTTGCCGATGCGCCACATCGTTCCTGCAAACATGGGCCAGGTACGCCGTCCTGGACACTCGTACTCCGTGCACTGTGCGATGCCCGATCCGTGGAACGGGCATATTGGGATCTGAAGCTACCTTCTTAGGCAGGCAGGTACTTGTGCAACCGCTCTGGGTCGCGCAGGCCAATCATGGCGGCGATCAGCCTTACGGCGATTGCGATTAGTTAACGAGATCCATATCGGCTCCTTCCACCGCTATCAGGTCGATTGCCGGTGGTTGGATGTGGAGCACCTTCCGGCTGCGCTCGCTGCAAACAGTGCTTCTAGAAGGATGCTGGAATGCCTGCAAGGTAGCTGCGGAATCAAGCAATCCATCGTGCAGCTCCGTGTGAATTCAACTTGATGCCCGATCAGATCGAATCGACTGCGTTGTGCTCGTGTGCGGGAAAGACTTAGCTCTGTGCTGCGGAGAGTGGCGCAACTCCACCGCGCTGCCCCAGACGGGCGGGCTGCCCAAACAGGCAGTTCCGCGAAAGGGTGGCTCTTGCCAACGCCGGCGTGCGCCACGCGCGCAGATCAGCCTTCGGGCTGCCGAGCTGACCGTCGCGAATCACCGCTTCCGAATCCGTCCAGCATCCATCGACGGACTACGCCGTCCCCAGCTCATGTCGTTGCAGGCTGTTGGCTTGTGTGTCCTGAATCGATGCTCTTATCGGCGGCTGTTTATCGATTGGACTTGCCAGTGTGTCCTCCACAGGGCCACCGCTCTTGCGGTCACAATGTCGTCGGTGAAAGGAGGCCTCAACGTCCAGCGGTTTCCCGATCTGTGTGTGAATCAATCGCTCGCCAATGTTGCCCTCGGGATCGATCGGGAGCGTTAACTCAGGCCGTCAGATCCTGAGCTGCAGACGCGTTTTTTCTCTTCCCGTCGGCCATTGCCCGATTGCCTGTTGTCAAAGCGGACGCCAAGCAATCAGGAATGCGGATTGTCACTCCGTCTTCCTCACTCGATTTAGGTGAGAGACGAGCCTGCCAATGACGTTGTCCTCTCCACCGCGCCTGGTGCCACACCCTGGCCCAATGCAACATTCGCCAAGAGGCTGAGCCATGCGACAAAAGCGTGCCTGGCAGCATCGTGCGATTGGCTTCACATGCGATTGAAGATGGAGCTCCGATGATGCCAGACATCGTTTGTCAGCAGGTGCGAACGCGTCAACGGGCATCTACATCGATCGAAAAACAGGCCGTTATTTGCCAATTTGATTCCACTGTGTTCAGAAGATCAGATACGAGGGTACAGGCTTGCTGCCTGAGGCCGACAGTGGCCCGGGGCAGCGTGCTCCGCCGAATGGGCCGGGCTGGCTCCATCGAGTCGGAGAGGACCCGTAATCGAAACAGACCCGTACGACTAAGGCCACCAAAACAAAACCTGGAGTCCCCGTTGTTCTGCCCCGGACATTCTCCATGGGGCCCTGCTGTTCCTACGGGGACTGCCCCTCTTCTCCGCGACTTCCCTGCCACGCGCCCGGTCTGTGTGCTGCCCCCAGATCCAATCGAGTCAAGCCTCCGAACCCTGTCAGAAAACACGCGAGAAAAAAAAATCTTTTTTTTGCGCGAGGCCGGGTTCGCCAGAAGAGGTTAACCGCCCTGCGATGCTGGGCGCGCGCTGCACGATGCCGTCATCGGTGGAGCCCGCTGCGTTTTCTTTTCCCGGCCTTCTCTCCACACTCGTCCTGCCCCGAACTGCCTCCATTCAACGACAGTCGACGCATGCAAGACATGGCCTCCACTGGCCCTTTACCTCCCAGTCTGCCGTCCCCACCCTCCCCGTGTGTTGCCCGCTTCGTGCGGCCTGACTGGCTTGGTGGAGGCGACCTGGGGGCAGGCACTGCGGCGGACTTCTCCACTCCCCATCTGGAGATTCTTTGACAGGACGGGCTTAGCCCACCGCACGATAACGTCTCACGCACTGTCGCTGCGCGGCGGCACAGGTTCGGCCTCGACTTTTAAGAAGACTCGCCCCCAGTGCGTCATGGACCCGGTTCTTTTCCTTTTTCCCTTTTCCAACTCGCATGCGCGCTATTACCGGCCTGCGGACTTAGAGGAGGTTCATTGTCCCCCAAGAGAACCGCGTCAGGGCTCCTTCTGCATCCGCTGCCCCGTCTCTGCCTCTGCGAGGAGCTTCGTCTCTTCCTAGGTCCCTTGGGTATTGTCCGCTGGTCAGGACAGAGGAGATATCCCTCCTCCCGCCATCATGGCTCGCAGATTTCTCGGGCTTCGTGGAACGAAGCTCAACATCGCCATCGGCGTGATCGCCGGTCTGGACTTCTTGTACGCTCTTACCGTGAACAAGATGAAATGAATCACAAGACTGACAAGTGCTTTTTTTTTCCCCCTTTAGGCTTTTCGGTTATGACCAGTATGGCAGCCTCGAAATCGGCTTCTAAACAATTGATAGACTAACTCTAGTCCAGGGGTGTCATGGGAGGTCTCTTGACCTTGGATTCTTTCATCAAGACATTCCCCGAAATCGATACCTCGTCTCCTGCATACCATGCGCTTTCTCAATCTGAACAGAACCACCAATCGACTATCCAAGGTAAGTCAATAAAAACAGACCACGCAATTGCACGAGAAAAGAGGAATTGTATTAACTGCGCCAAGGTATCTCTGTCGCGTCGTACAATGTCGGCTGTTTCCTCGGTTCGATCTTGTGTATCTTCATCGGTGATATCCTCGGCCGTCGCAGGACCATCTTCCTGGGCTCGTCCATCATGGTCGTCGGAGCTACCCTTCAGACGACGGCATTCGGTCTGCCCCACTTCATCGTCGGCCGTATTGTCACTGGTATCGGCAACGGTTTGAATACGTCGACGGTCCCGACATGGCAATCCGAGTGCTCCAAGTCTCACCGTCGCGGTCCGCTCGTCATGGTCGAAGGCGCTTTAATCACGGGTGGTATCTGTATCAGTTACTGGCTGGACCTGGCTTTCTCCTTCCTCGACCCGAGCACGGTCTCGTGGCGGTTCCCCATCGCGTTCCAGATCGTCTTCGCGCTCATCATCTTGGCCTTTGTCATGCTTCTCCCCGAGTCTCCTCGCTGGCTCATTCTCAAGGGCCGTGAGGACGAGGCGACGGACGTCCTGCAGGCGCTGCTGGACATCCCCGCGGATGACCCTCTGATGGTGAACGAATTGACAGCCATCAAGGAATCGGTTCTGGAAAGCCAGTCGGCGGGCTACAAGGATCTCTTCACCATGGGCGAAGACCGTCACTTCCACCGGGTGGTGCTCGCCTATGTCAACCAGATGTTCCAGCAGATCTCCGGAATCAACCTTATCACCTACTATGCCGCCACCATCTACCAGAACAACATCCACCTGTCTGGACTGGTGTCTCGTATCCTTGCGGCCTGCAACGGCACCGAGTATTTCCTTGCGTCCTGGCTGCCTGTCTTCATTTGTGAGAAGGTTGGCCGTCGGCCCCTGATGCTGATCGGTGCCGCTGGCATGTCGCTCTCTATGGTTGTCTTGGCTGTCACCACTAGCTTTCAGGGACAGACCGGCCCCGGTGTTGTGGCGGCAATTTTCCTGTTCGTCTTCAACACCTTCTTCGCCTGGGGTTGGCTGGGCATGACTTGGCTGTATCCGGCCGAGATTGTACGTTAAGTCCGCATCCGTTTGCATCCTGTGTGACCCCCCAGAAGCTGACTTGGCTCTGTCATAGGTTCCTCTCCGTATCCGTGCTCCGGCAAACGCTCTGTCCACGTCGGCGAACTGGGCCTTCAACTTCATGGTCGTCATGATCACCCCGGTTGCCTTTAGTTCGATTGGTTACAAGACGTACATCATCTTTGCCGCTATGTGAGTCATTTCCGCCTTTTCTTCTTTGGTCTTGGATTTGGCTAATCTGGTTTGTTCTGCAGCAACGCGGCCATCTTCCCCGTCGTGTACTTCTTCTACCCTGAAACGGCGTACCGCTCCCTGGAGGAGATGGACACCATCTTCCGCAAGACCAAGTCGATCTTCTCTGTGGTCTGGATTGCCCGCGAAGAGCCTCGTCGGTATGGCAAGAACGGTGAGCTGCTCATCGACTATACCCAGACCGAGGATCACCTGCGCCGCGCCAGCTACATCTCTCACGAGAAAGCTACGGTGCACAACAAGGACCACGCGAACCCCGACTACCATGCGGAGAATGGCCACGCATCGGAGTCGAGCTAGATTTCGGATCTTTTCCGTGTTTTATTTCACCCGACGCCAGCACTGTGATCTCGGTGATGTGGTGGGATTTTGTTTTCATCCCTTTTTTTTTTCATGACTGAGCATGTTCCTTTAATATTAGAGACGTGGCTCTGTCAATTTTGTCTTTTCTTCCTGCACCGAAAGCTCAGCGGGTCTGGCAGCGCTAGACTGGGTCTCTTTCGTTCATGCAGGGTTGCTGATGCACTGATTGACGCGGTGTGCCATTGCCAGTGCCGCTGACTTGGATTCTTTCCCTGTGTCATATACCCTTGATCATTTTGAGATGTTGCTGCTTGGCGGCCTTCAATTCTAGAATCAACTCATCGAAATCAACTCATCGAAATTCTAATTGATTCTAACCAGTAGAAGGCATGATATGACTTTTTTTTTCCTGCTACATTCGCCAAGTCCAGACCGTCCGCCAGGTACAGTACATACAGCCAGCGGTGTACGGAGTACTCCTAGTTCAGTAGCTTATTCAGGCGCTCGTGACCTGTCGAGATCTAGACTCGAGTCTAGACTCTAGATTACGGAGTATGCGTGTTTGATTCGGACGCTCTCCGGGTATCGACATAGAAAGAAGTAATCACCTCGGCTGCACGCATCCAGGCGGTCGGACAAACAGCCGTCTTTCGGTCCGACTACCGCGGAGTAAGCGGTCCGTGCAGAGGACGGAGGACATATACATATACTCCGTACTGCGTACCTGTATCTGGTCAAATTTACCTGCTAAGGAGGCTCTAAGGAGATTAGGTTCACTGAATGTGTGTAGATGGCACGTAGGCCGTATATACACCAGGTATAAGTGACGACCGTGTCCAGATTCATGACAGTAGGAAGCAGCATTGGTATTACCATTCTTCTTCTTCTTCTCGGAAGGAATCCCTCGTTCTGCTCTGTCCTACCCTACCTAAGTAAGTATGTACAGTACAGTATGAATGTACACACCATCGTAGGCTACTTACTTACCTGCGAGTCAGTAGTAGTAGTAGTACAGTCCTATGAGCTATATATATTTAGGTGTCATCAAGTACGGAGTAATCGATTTTCAGGTCCGTGTAATGTACTCCGTACTGGAGGACCATGTGACACACTTTCTATCTTGATTTTTCTCCAGAGAGGAGGAAAAAAGGAGATTTTTGTGCAACCCTACATAACTGCTAACCTATCGTAGGTGTGTGGGTGTTGTACCTCAGCATGCGCAGCTTCCCGAAGGAGGGAGAGAGGGTATAATATTTAATGGACTCTCCAAAATTAATTAATTAGTTGATCGTCTCCCGTTTCTGTTTTTGTTTTCTTTCTTTCTTTCTGTTGAGAGCCCTAACTACCTAATTTCTGAGCACTGGACAGACGACAGTTCCGTGGAACCAATTTTTTTACCCCCACAACTCACCAGAACCAGAAATCGTCGGAGAATCGAGTTCGAGTCGGCCAAGCTGTGTGACTCAGTCGTCGACTTAAGTACAAAGACTCGACTACCTAGCTTCGAGAACAAAGACCCCCCCTGCCTTGCCTTGCATTGCATAGCATAGCATAGCATTGCGTGAACGCCAATGACGATGAGCTAGCTCGCTAGCTACCGAACTACTTCACGAACAGTGAGTGGGTTGGTTGGTTGCTTGTGGTAATCAATCAATCAATCCAATCGTCTGGTGGAATCACATAACTGGGTGGCTTTTTCATCTGTTCTACGTCTTGTTCTTTTTTTTTTTGTTTCGTTTCATATGTATTTGACATCGACATAATTGTTGTGGGGTGAACAAAAAAAAAGTTATCAATCAGATGGACAGGTGAATGCGGAGTATATTATTTATTACTTCCACAGTCTCTCATCCGATCGATCTCCATTCCGTCCAATTCTCCAAGTCTTCTTCCTTTTTTTTTCTTTCCTCGTCGCCATCCTCGCACAATTAATTGAACACAGCTGTCCGTTGCGTCTTGCGACAGGGGACCTCCTCCAGGAGGACCCCTACGCGGAATAATTCAATTCGTGATGGCGGATCAAACAGAAGTATCTATACCTGTGCCAGTACCTGTCAAAGACGGAATGGTGAATGTGAATGAGAATGCCGTCCAAGGAAGCAGTCGCGATACCACGCGAGACTTTGTCAGGAATAATGACCACGACGACAACGACGGTCATGTCGAGAATGGCCCGGAGCCGGACCTGGCCACCATCGACCGCATTTACCGGTGCGTTATGCTATCACAAACTCTGTCTGTGCGACGATCGCTGACACTGCTTAGCAAACTCGATCGACGCATCATCCCCGCCTTCTGGGTGCTCTACTTCCTCTGCTCCGCCGTCCGGTCCAACGTCGGGCTGGCCCAGACCATGAACGCGGACGTCCACCACGACCTGGGCTCGATCCTGCATCTCACGCCGCACGAGATCTCCACCGGCCTGGCGCTGTTCTACGTCTGCTACGTCGTCTTCGACTTCCCGTCCAATCTGATCATGACGCGGCTGAGTCCGCATGTCTGGATGAGTCGCATCGTCATCAGCGTCGGCATCATCGGCAGCTGTTTGGCGGCCATGAAGGCTGCCTGGAGTTTCTAGTCGGTCGAACCTTACATTCGTTTCAGTGCAGAAGGTTAATTGCTAACGATTCGTCTGTTGCCAGTCTCCTCCGCTTGCTCCTCGGGATCGTGATCGCCGGCATGTGGCCCGGGATGACATACTATCTGTCGCTATTCTACCCTCCGTCTCGAATGGGGAAGCGCATCGGGCAGTACTTCACCGCTGCGCAGGTCTCTGCCGCCGTGGTCGGCCTGGTTTCGGCCGGATTCCAGAAGATGGACGGCGACCGCGGTCTGGTCGGATTCCAGTGGATGTTCCTGGTCTACGGCATCGTCACCATCCTGCTCGGTATCGCCTTGCTCTGGTGGCTCCCGGACCGGCAAACTCCGCCGGGGGAGCCGACTCCCCAGAAGCGAAAATATCTGCGATGGCTGCCGCGAAGTCCGCCCGCGCTCACGGGCCGCGACGCAGAGATCCATTACCACAATCTGCGGCGCGTCTACCACCAGCCGTCGTGGACGCTGCGGGACCTGGGCCGCGTGCTGCTGGACTGGCGAATCTGGCCGCTGCTGATCATGTACTTTGGCGTCGTCGGAGTCGGCAACAGCACAGAGTATTACGGCACCGTGATCATCGAGGCGACGAACCCGTCGCTGAGCGACATTGACGTGAGCCTGCTCTTTGCTCCGATCTGGATTGTAAGGCCGTCAACCTGTAGTCGGTTGATTAAATTGATTGATTTACTGACTGATTTGTTGCAGATGGACCTGATCGCCATCCTGCTCGTGACCCCCCTATCCGACAGATTCCACCGGCACCGCGCGCTCTTCTTCTGCGTCCCGACCTGTCTGCAGATCCTAGGCCTGCTGCTGACGACCTACGCGGGAACAGAAACCAACCCGTGGCCGCGGTACGGCGGGCTGCTGATCGTGGGGTTCGGGCTAGGGCCGACGGTGCCCATCACCATGGCGTGGACGACGGAGATCTTCCAGCCGCGACACGGCGAGGTCGGGGTGGCGGCGGCATCGGCGCTGGTTTCGGGTCTGGGAAACCTGGGCACCATCCTGACGACGTACGCGCTGTACGCGGGCTGGCCGAGCGACTACGAGGCGCCCGGCAGGGCCAAGTACCGCAAGAGCAACCTGGTCATGGTGGGCATCCTGTGCGCCAGCGTCCTGGCGGCGGTGGTCATGCAGTTGCTGGTCCATTTTGTAGACGGGTCGTCGTCCTCCTCACCCTCGTCCAGAGCGATGATCAATAATGCCAGCAGCGCAGGAGATAGAAACACCCTCGACGGCGCCGCAAAGAGGGAAGCCGAACAGCGCGGATTATTCACCTTGCCGTTGTCGTGGAGGAAGAAATCAGATTCGTCATAAACACACACATAGACACGTGCACATACACAAGAAATCAAACTGATGAGATGACAAGACGAAAAGGAAAAGTAATGAGCATGAGCATCAGCATGAGCATGGCATGAGCATGAACCATCCAACCGCCACGTCAACATCACATATATGTTAGAAGGGAAAAAAAAAGAAAGAAAACAACAAGGCGGAGAGATACTCCATACACATAGAGATACATTAATGTATGTACATACATACATACACATATAGACAACAACAACAGAATAGATAGATAGATACGGTATACCTAGATATGTACTGTACATACCTATCTACCTATTTACCTCTCTCCCTCCCCCTTGCAGAAATTGCAGAATACATTCTAATAATTACTCAACAGATCGGAAGACAAAGTATGTGTCACAATCTGTGTGTTCATTCAATACATCTTGATACATACATACATAGGTCATAGATCATAGATCATAAATAGATAGATGCCAAACTAAACTAAATGAAACGAAGAGTTTCATAAATCAAGTAAGCAGTAATAGTATATGAGTGCTGAATGAGCAAAGTCACTTAGTTTAGTTTGTCTTCGCTAACTGCGCATCGTATTTATACCACACTACACATTATTGTTATTAATCTGTTCAGTAAGTAGATACCCATATATATCGAAGATAATTATCTACGAAGCATAGCTCTGTAGAACGACATGGCAGGAAATAATAAATTCCGAAACCAGGTTACCTATCTATGCTAGGGCATTACACATGAAAAAAGAAAAACATAACAACCCGACGACAACAAGGAGAACGAGTCGAACGAGTCTCGGCAGCAGACCAAGCGGAAAGCACTAAAGAAAAAAAAATCCCACAGGGATATATCGTAATCATAGCAGTTAAAAAAAGAAGAAGAAGAAAAAATCTCTCTACTCGCTGCTGTATCGATCCTCTTGTTCTACTCCCAGTAGACGCCGGTGGGTATATGGATAAGTGAATTTTTTTTTGTTTAACAAACAGCAAAGTCAACCCGTTTAGGCACCACCGCAGAGCTGCACCAAGTCAGTGATCATCCAGTCAGACGAGTATCGATCAAACTTACAGTCTCAACAATGATACCAGTGACCTGGTACGGGTCAGCATTGCTGGCCGGTCGTCGGTCCTCAAAGTAGCCCTTGCCATCCTTGGCCACCTGGCGAGGAATACGAACGCTGCCACCACGGTCCGCAACACCGTACGTGAACTTCTCAATGGAGCCGGTCTCGTGGCGGCCAGTAAGACGCTCCTCGTTGCCCTCACCGTACACAGCAATGTGCTCGTGGTGACGGGCCTCCAGCTTCTTCATAGCAGCCTCGATGGCCTTGAGACCACCCTCCTCGCGCATCTCCTGCGTCGAGACGTTGGTGTGCAGACCAGCACCGTTCCAGTCGCCAGGGATCGGCTTGGGAGCGAACGAGATCTTCACACCGAACTCCTCAGCAACACGGTGGAGAATGTAACGAGACATCCAGAGCTGGTCGCCCATCTCAATACCCTCGCACGGGCCGACCTGGTACTCCCACTGGGACGGCATCACCTCCGCGTTGATACCGGAGACCTTGATACCAGCGTACAGGCAGGCCTTGTAGTGAGCCTCGACGATGTCACGGCAGTAGACCTTGCCAGTGCCGACACCGCAGTAGTAAGGACCCTGAGGACCGGGGTAACCGCCCTTGGGCCAGCCGTAGGGCCAGCCGTCGGGGCCAAGGAGGGTGTATTCCTGCTCCAGACCGAACCAGAAGTGCTTGTCGGCGTGGGCCTCCATCAGCTTGGCGGCCTCGTGGCGGTAGTTGAACTTGTTAGGAGTGCCATCAGAGTCCCAGGTCTCGCAGAGGACGAGGATGTTGTCACCCTTGCGGAAGGGGTCAGGGAACATGGCAACAGGGCGGATGTAGACATCGGAGTTGTCACCGGGGGCCTGGCCGGTGGAGGAGCCGTCAAAGTTCCACTCGGGGAGTTCATCGACGGACTTGACAGGCTTGGGGAGGGTCTGCCAAAGGAATCAGGGCGTCAGCAGGCTTGTTTCACATGGCAAATGGAACCCTTCCTGAAAGCCAAGAAGGCATGGTCCCGCGCGGCACCGCCAAGCAACGCCAGGGCACCGCAGCAGGGGCCTGCCCTGCCAATCCAAGGCTTATCGGAGGGTTAAATGGATCGAAGAATGAAAGAGATAAGAGAACACGCCAACTGCAGGAGCCAGCCACGATTGGCCTGACACCTACTTGGGGCGCGCAACCCTCACTCTGGGAGAATCCACGTGGGAAGAAGGGGCGAGGTAAAGCCAATGCCTACCTTGGTCTTGGAACGGACACCACCGACGGAGTCGATCCAGACATACTCAGCCATGACCTTGCCCTTCTGGTCAAGGCTCATGTACTTCATGAGCTGTTGTTGCGAATGGCGGGTCAGTATCTTCACATCAGGTGAGCGCTTTCCTCAACCGGGGTCGGATGCACGCACGTTTTCCGTGTTGGAGATGATGGTCGAGTCAGCCTGTTGCAGTTGCGACGTCAGCGACCAGATCCCACAATGCCGTTGCAGAGAGCCATCATGACAGTGGAAAGGAACGCGCAACTTACCATGGTGACTGTGTATGTGTGTGTGCGATGCAGATACGGAGCAGATAATGAGTCGAAGTGGGTGGAATGCAACGAGCGCACCAGCTTAAGAGTGCTCGAGCAGCAGACAGAGGGGGCAATGAAAGAAGGGACCTGGAGAGAGGAGAGAAGGTCCGGGAGGACACTGAGCGCAGATATTAATAGCGTATGGGGGAGGACCGCAGCAAGCGAGAACTGGGAGAAGACAAGGGAAATTTTGGAGGGGAACGCAGGCCTGATGAATGAGCGACGGGCAGGGCAGGGTGGGGGGGGGGCCCGGCGACGGCGCCATGCAAACGATAAATTTTAAGCGCGGGCGTCTCGGGGCTAGTCCCCGGCAACGGCGCGTCCTGTCAATACGGTTCCGATGAGTTACTTTCCAGCATGTCGCGCCTTCGTTTTCTAAATTCTGCCAGCCCTGTCTGCGCCCGGTCGAAGGTAACTGAGACAAGGACCGCCATTCCTGCGCCGCAGCACAGGACACGGCCTGCCGGAGCAACTGGGCTGGCATGCTCTCTCGTCCTTCTGCGTCATCAGGGCGCTCTGTTCTACGTCTGTCGCCTCCAGACGGTTCGATCACTCTGGAGTCCGGGGCCGCATGAGGGGTGCTGGTGCTGGCCACACGGATCAAAGCAATTGTCATGCCATTTACCTTATCAATATTATCATGACTCGATAGTCACAGTCACCGTAACTGGCGTTCGTGTAATTCTATTACCAGGCCGCCCAATGGCCATGTCGCTTTAGTAGGGTCGTCGCGCGATGTGCGCCGATAACGCTTGGCCTCGTCTGCCCAAGGGCGGGCTATCGGACGAGAGGCCAACCTCCGCCGTCGTTCCTGCGTTGGATCCCCCACGCCGGAGGTCTCCTCCAGACGTCACTACTACCGTCGACTTGCAGGGAGCCATCGTCGCGACGCTGCCAGCATTGACCGTACGATTACCGGCGTAATTTGGGGGATTCTGCGACGGCGTCCGCGAGAGGACAGGCACCCCGCCATCGCCCTCCTGTCGCGTGGTACAGCGTCCTTTGGGCGGCGTATGGCTGGCTTTCTGGAAGCCTGGATGACTCCACCGACGCCCCCATTGGTCGACAGCCATACCGCATGTTGTGGGAGACCCGGAAGCATGCTCTCTGTCCAGATCTGCGACGATTCTCCCGCCCAACCCTGCGAAACAAAGTGCCCGGAAATAGAAATACTTTGACACATCGATTCGAGAGCACAGCGTGGCGGCAAGAATTCTTCTGTCTGCTGTGGCGACCCCGGCCGATCATCTCGTAATGGACCCAGGAATTGCTGGCAGGCACGGGGCGGTTGCCGTCATTTTGCCGGAAACACATACGTAACGACGCCCAGGCAGGACAGCGGCCATTGGGCGTGGCGACCCGAACCGCGGGCGCACACGGAGGCGCTGGCAGCCTCAGGGCTGAAAGGCCCCGACACCGGCGCGACGATCCACAGGCGCGCACGGAACAGGAAGCACGGTTGTCAGCACGAAAATGAATTTATCCTCGAGGGAAGTCGTAGACTCGTACAGAGTAGTGGCGGCAGTTGGTTCTTAGCGTCCGATCTGGGATCGTTCGGGAGAGCCAGCCACTCACAGTGGAGCCCAGCCCGTTGGGAGCTGCCCGGCTCGGAAGACGATCTGCTGCGCCTCATCCAGCCCTGCGAGCATACTGGTGGGAGAATTATGTCTCATAGCAATCCATCACAGAAATGATGGACGTGCATGCCATGGCATCCAGCAAGAAATCGCGCATCGCAAATGGCAGTGGAATCGGGATGGGGGTGGTCCGGAATGGGGTGGACGGTGAGCCGGAGAGGCTCTAGCCCGGGTCGGTTAGGGAGCATGCCTGCCAGAATCGGCAGCCGCACCTGCCATCCAGCTCCAGCCTACAGCAAGGAAGGAGCGCACACGCGACCCGTCTGCTTACAATAAGTGATGATTACGACGACTCACCGCACCGACAAAAGCAGCTAGAAAATCGAGTGCGGAGAAAGCGTAGCATCTCCTAATCAAAACAATTCCTAATTTCAATTGAAAAGAGTAAAAAAAAAAAGGGCGCAGATTGGGCTGCAGAGCTGCAGAAGCCAGAAGCCTCTTTCTGAGCTGACGATTCGGTCGGTGTGCAGGCGCTCCCACCCCGGTTGCCGCGGCACTTGGCTCGCCCCGATCGCGCCTTCCTGCAGCCTGCAACGCCGGCTCAAAGCCAAGACAGTTCCTTATCGCCGCCCGCTCATTGGCCGGCCCGACTTCGATGACACATTGCGCTGACTGACGCCGGGCCGATGCAGACAGCGCTTAGGTAAGCATCTGCGTGGCTAAAAAAAGATCATCCCAGAAGGGAAGGCGATGGGAGAAGTACGGAGTATACTCCGTACAGTATGCTGTTTTGTAGGCTGTCGAATCTATCATCCAGCTCTCATGCCATTCCACTGTATACTCAATTCGCGAACTGAACGACCATTTTATATCATGGAGTTTACCTTCAAAATGACACCAGCAACCACATTCCGACTCAAATCGATCAGCTACATGCAGACATTGAGGTACTCATTTCTCTCATCATCATTGCTACTTCAGAATGAGAAGAAAAAAGCAGGATCTGCGCGATATGTAGTTGAATACTTTATTTCTTTTTGGGTTATTATTAACCCTCGCCCCAAAAATCTTTGGTACGCAACGACCGTATGAGAAGATGGTCGATCAAAGACATATCAATTCATAGAATGCATGTACACACTTGCATACTGTAGAAGATGCGCCATTTACATTCAGACACTCCAATCCGCAGTACAAATAGGACAGATAAAAACAGTAATCTGGGGCAATGCTACGATACCGCCCTATGCAAGGGATACGAATACCGTGGTATCATACCTAGCTAGCATTTGGCAAGCAAGTGGACAGGCAAAATTCTCGATATGTTTTCAAAATGACAGCAGTCGACGAAATAGCATGTCCGTGGCCAAACAAAACACCAAGGGGGCGTAATAGCATATAAAGTCGACTACGGCTGACTGACCCATCCAGAGATTACCGAGATGGCTCGAGCGCTGGTCATGCCTGTCATATCTAGGGCTGACTACGTAGTACAAACAAGGCCTTACCCCTGATGATCACCGTCCGGGATCGACGGTGCAGCCCGGACACGCCGGCTCGACCCCGGATGTTGATTAGATTAGTTAGATAAGATCGTAGACTTATCGACCGATGTCGTCTGCGGGCTGTCCGATCACGTCAGCCCAGGTACCGACTACCTACACGGCAAGCTGGAAGCTGTGAATCCATCAGGCGGTTTCCGGCCCAATAGTAACAGCGGTAGGAACGTGGAAGCCTCGCGTCTCGGATTATGACAGTTTCCACTCCACCGTTTCCGGGTCTGATACGCTGAATGTATCAACCCCTCGTCACGGCTCAGGTCCACTGAATTTCAAGGTTTCTCGATCATGTCTAAAACAACAGATCTTATTGGCAATGTGCAAACAGTGTTGTCATAACCATTTCCCGGAAAGGATCGCCTTTTTCACGTGCGATGCTTCTTTTGTAACTGCCCCAGCACCCATTCCACGAGCACTCCAAGATCTTCAGACGTCTCAAGAACTCGACTCAGCTTGTTTTGCATTTCTCGCGCCTCAGTTCTGTCATCTTGACTATCTTCACTGCCCGCAGACTCTCCATCCAGCCCGGTAAGCTGGGCGACGGTGACACGGCCATTCAGCCCGATCTCCAAGTTGATCGCGATTTTCTTGACATTCAAGCCACTCGACGATGCTTCCGAGGGACGAGCCTCGGTGTCATCAATGGCCGTGAACAGCAGCATTATGAGTGGTGCTTGTCCGATCTGCGTTCGTAGAGTAATATCCACCCTAACATCGTTACTGAGTGGAGATCCGAAGCGTGAGCTTCTGCCAAGTGTGCCTGCACTTCGTAGTGTCTCGTCCGAAAAAATCTCCGACGCATCGCGGTCGGCAGGTGCATTAAGTAGAAAGTTGAGAAGATCTTCATTGGGATCGTCGTTGCTGAGCACAGTGATATGATCATCCTTGGAACGTGAGGACCCAGAAGCGGACGAGTTCACTTCCTTGGGCGTTCTCGACCTGTGTTTTGACGTCTGCTTAGCAGCATCATCACTGTGACTGCTGGGAGGAGGGAAGATCTTTTGGATGAGGGTTGCGAGCAGTCCATATTGACGAAGAATCTGGATGAAACGGAATGTTAGTCAACCTGCCATGCCTCCTAGGCCGCGAAAAAACATACCGGGAAAATGTCGGCGAGTTGCCGTGGGTGTGAGAATGGGAGATCGCGCAGCGTGCGGCCAGCCACCGCCTCAAACGCCTGAAACGTATAGCTATGATGTTTACGAACCGGTCGCCCTTCCGAATCGAAGACTAAGACCGATTTCCTGCGTCTTCTCCCACCAACTTGCGGAGAACCTGCAGACTCGGCAGAGCCCTCTTCTGCGGCATTAGGCACCAGCAACCCATCGTAAGTCACCGTCTTGAATTCCTGAGGCAACTGCAGTCCCAAATGTCGATAGATATCCGATGCTGCTAAGATCGGAACATCGACAGGCGGCTCCAACTTGGCAACGAAACGACGGTTAGGTGTCCCGGATCCTACCATACCAGAATCCACTGCCATAGGGTCGGCCTGGTTACCATTGACAGATGAAACCAAGGTCGGCGGGGGATCGGCCCAGTTAACAAGCGCAATGTCCGACTCAGTGGACTCTGTCAATACTTCGGCTCCAACCCAATCCTTTGACACGCGAAGGGACGGAAACCCTGTTTCGCACTCAATTGTAACGCTTCGCACCTTTAGTTGATCTTCTTGGTTGTCTTCTAAGACATCTTGACGGTCTTGGTGGCCAGCATCTGAGGGCTTCTTCTGTTGCTTCGCATCCAGGAGCCGATGTTGCTCCACCCAGTATTCTAAACCCATGCCAACCCGTCCGTCTTTGTGCATAGTAGGCCGCCCAGTCCATCCCCTGCACAGATGCTCATAAGTTCCTCGATATATCCCACGCCTGCTTTCTTCTTCCCATATCCTTCGAAGGCTTTCATAGAGACCCTCCACGGCTTCAAAGCAGTTGACTTCTTGACTGAGTTTATCAAGCCTCGCCAGCCTTTCAAGGTTTGCATGGAAGCCGCTTAACGATTTCCAGACTCCACGTTCCCGTTCCTCCGGCGATAGAATTAAGTCTTGTTTTAAGACAGCGGTAGCCTCTTCCCGTCGTTCACCCTCCTGCGCCTCCGGTGTGGCGTATTTGAGGCTCACGTCCTTCACATTGTCTTCACCTGGGTAGAATTCTATTTCGAGGTCGACAGAATTGCCGGCGATGCTGAGACTGTCCTCTTGCCATATCGATTCGAAGCCTTCTAATTGACCCAGCCGCTCGACGGCTTCCCTGCTCACGCCTCTGCCTGCAACTCGCGTACGAAGAAGCTGAACCACTTCCTCGATGTTCTTCCTCCTCTCTTCGTTGTGGTCGCGTGGACCTCCCAGCCCAAGAGCCTGCATCCCTAAAGCGTGGATGTCACCTTCATTCATCCCAGGGCCCACAATACCATCCTGGTTGGCAGGAGACGGGCTGATTCCTGCAAAACTACCGAGAGCTAGAAGCGCTGAAGGTGAACTAAACGTGACTGGGTCGTCTAGAGAGGTGTTTGCAGCGAGCGGAGTAGCATATTGATGGGAAGAGGTGCTTTGCTGCTGACCGTGCGCATGCCCAGAAGCAGATGGGGTCCTGATTGATGGCGACTTATGTGACAGAGGCCGGCCCATCGGCACTGCAGAAGGGCGAGGTGACGAAGTCAGGTGCGTGGGAGTCGCCCCAGGGTTGGGCTTGGAGGATGGAGTGGCCATGGTATTGGTCCTTCAAGTGTGACTAGTACACAAAAACAATATGTATTCAAGTCGAAACAACAGGGGTATCACAAAAGCAAAAAAGGAAGAGAAAATTCACATGTATGGAAATTGGAGCTAACAGAAAAGCCAGGTACTTCTGGAGTCGTTGACAGTCACAGCAGCAACAGGTAAAGGATCCGCCTACGGCTTGCAACTGAACTCCATGTCTGAATGTAACTTTTATAAAATGGGAAAAGTAAACAGAAATATAAGAGGTATTATGCAAAGCCTTGCAAGAATAGGCCCGCCGCTGTCTCTTTGAAATTGATTAATGCCCTTCGACTGGCAAGTACATGTAGCTCTAGACGCCTAGAACAAAACGCGAATAAGCTAGCCGCGAATTCGATTACGGGAGTTTGCTCTGTTTGTCTCCGCTCCACCCGTCATATCGTGCATTCAGAGAGATTACTCTAATTCAGCGATTTCACAACAGCTTCAACTACCTGTTTTTCTACCTTTTTTAGTTGTTTTATTGGTACTACTATTGTCAATCGTCTACGATGGCAACAATATTATCACGAAGTCATCCAGCGCTCAGGGCCGCAAGATGGACTCGGGTCCGCTTTGTATCTACCCTCGAAGGACGCCCTGACATAGTAAGAACAAAACAAACCAACTTCAACTCAGCAGGACAATAGCTAAGGAGCAATTATTAATTATTTTTAAACAGTATACATTCCCCAATGCCTCACCTTCAGGCGGCTACCTTCTCTCCCTATTACCTTCCGAACCTCCAAAACCAGAACTGGCGATCGGCACAACAACCAAACTCCCACCCACGCCCGACTCATTCCAAGAAAACCCGTCGTTTCTGAAGATACTACAGGAGGTCCTCTCGGAGCATGCGCACGAGGACCCCGAAGTTAAGGCCGAAGCGAAGGTCATGATCTCGACTTCGGGCGCCAACCTGGGCTCCGGAGGAGTGTTCTTTGCGCCTCAGCGCGGCAAAAAGCGACCCGGGTATGGAGGCGGAGGCGGTGCTGGAGGTGATTCCGCCGGTGGTGCGAGTGCCCAGGGAGGCTTTGGGTCTGGTGGAAGGGGTGGCTGGATTCACGTATCGGACAGCCGGAGGCGCCCGGAGTATGGCCGGATTGCATGGTTGGTCACGAACCGTGTGCAGGATTCTGATTGCTGCCGTTTGCTGACTCGATGAAAGGCCGGAGGATATTTTCGGGAGTTTGGAAGTTGACAACCAGGGAGAATTCGTTGGAAAGAATGGCAATTATCAGCCTAGCGGTAAGCTTGGGCTCCTATAACTGCATGAAGAGCTGCCGATCTGACACACACCAGGCACGTACAGAATTGTAACTCTCAATGGAATGTGAGTATCTCAAACGCTCCTTTTTTTTTGTGGAGAAAGCTAATACCACACAGACTCGGCTTAAGCCCATTTTTGAGGGAGAAACTCGTGCAGAAACTCCGCGAACTGGAGCGTTAAGACGACTATTTCCTGCAAATATCATGGAGAGGTTTCTGTGATATTGTATCATATGAGCACAGATCTGGACTTCGAATGTTTAATTTCATGTGCGCGGCGTGGACTATTGTCCAGGTAAGCAACGGTCAGGCCTGCCTTTTATACTCGAACCTGACGGAGGAACAGACCGAGTGATAGACAGCATCTCCATGCCGGCTCCTTTGGTTGTTATCCGGGACTTGGTCACACTTGAGTTCTCGATACCCATCCAGTGTATATTAGTGTATATTACGATAACCTTTATTTTTAATGATCCACCTGTTTTTTTTTTCTATCACAAGCTTATGACTGTTATGTGTACGACTCTCGATCTGAGGAATCTGCATTTCGTTGAAGAAATGAGTATAGACTACATATCACTATGAATTCTCAACCTGATGACATAAAAGATGGGAGCAAACTACGAGGTTTAACTGCGAAGATTGGTGCCACCAAGCTTATTGTGACCATTTTTCCCATTCTGGAGATGGACTCGCTGCCAATGACTTTAAGTTATCTTAGACGATGTCGCCAGAAAAACTGAAAAGAAAAAAAGAATAATTGAGAACATAACCTGCGCCCTATCCAGAAAGGATATCACACATAACCTCAAACCGTACCTCATAGCAGGGCTAATATACAAGTAGACGAATAATCGGTTGAACCAAAAATAAAACAATAGTCAGAAAAGAAAGAAAGAAAAAGGACAATAGAACATTGGAAAGACGCCTGCCAGCGACAGCATGATCACTTTTTGAAAAAGTTCGTTATCGGCTGTGAACCATCGCTGCTGGCCTTCTTCTTGGTAGCATTCATCGCTTTCCCGCTCGGCAACTTTAGTCCGCTTTTAATTGGGGAAGACCCCGTTGGTACCTCTTTCTTCTCTTTAATAGGCGAAAAAGGGCTGGTGGAGGTTTCCTCCGTCTTGACTGCTTTCGAGGCTGCTGCTACTTCGGCCGCATCTTCCGGCAAGCGTTCCCGCTTGATGCCTCGTGGGGATTTCAGCTGCTCATCGACTTCTTCCTCTTTGGGAACCGGTTTGGGAGCATTGTCTTCACTCCACTCGTGGTCTTTGGTCTCTCGAAGATCGGCTTTGGCATGGAGTCCCTTCGATTGAAGCTCGTCCTCCTTGTCCTTCTGTTCGCCCTTCTTCCCCACATTGGCGAAGAAATTGGCGATACTCCCCTTCTTCTGCTTGCCGTCGATCGGGAGTATAAAGTCTGGAGAGTCGTTTCCCACTTTCCCCACCTCTTTCGGGACGGGATAGCACTCCAGCTCGCCCTCGTACGGCTTCAGGATAGACTGCAGCTCCTCGGTCCACGTCGTCCGCTGGGGATCGAGCCATTTCATCATTGCATCGCTTCCCGGTTCAAGGATAACGGGCATCCTGTCATGGAGGAATTTCAGGTATGAATTTGAGGACGTGGTGATGATGGTGTAGGTATAGAGCTTCTCGTCAGAACCTGTGACGATAAGACAGTCAGCCAACTACCCTTCAGTCGTTCACTTCAGACAAACAAAAAGAAAAACGGATATTGCAAACCTTCATATGTGACGCAATCCCACAGACCCGCAAAGCACATCAGATCGCCGTCCTTCCGCTTGACGAAATGCGGAATCTTCTCCTTCCCACCGGGACCCTTCTTCAGCCATTCGTAAAAACCTTGGCAGACGACGACGCAGCGCTTCCGTTTCTTCATCGTCGTCCACATGCCTCGATTGTCGATCAGTGAGTCATCGCGACAATTGATTGTCCTCATCATCGATCCGTAGTCCGGCTGGCGTTTGGTCCAGAACGGGATCAGACCCCATCTCATCTTCTGCAGCTTGTATTTGATTCTCTTGTCCTCATGCTCTTTATAATCTGCCCGCTCGTCCCCCTTGGTCTCTTGTTGCTGCGCGTTTTCGTCCTTAGTGGCGTCATCATGTCGCTCGTCGCCGGCATCAGCACGGTAGACCACGCCATAATTACCCGGAGCAAAGTTGTAGGTCTCCCTTATCTCCTCGTCGTCCGGCGCCTCATCCACTTGCATTCCATTCTGCTGGAGACGGTTGCGAATGTAGGCTAAACGCTAGCAGACATGTCAGTCAGGACGCGTCGAGCGCGAATGAACAGAACATACAACGCCTAAAACATATCGACCACACATTTCGGGGAAGTAATCGCATACAAATTAGCGACGAGCATGTCAAAAGAAAAAATTATTAGGAAGAATTGTTCCAATCGCAGGATTATGGTTATTCGCGTCGCGTTAAACTTACCCAGCACCCCGCTGCGATTGGACGCCGACGTCATGCGGAGACATCCTCGGAGCTTGGACCAGTTAGATTGGCGCTTCTCCTGGCCAAGTCAACTGCGATTGACTTCACTTGCATTCACCTTTAATTCAATACACGGCGCAAGTCGCCCATCGTCACCTCTTTTTCTTCCCCGTGAACTACATTATACGGGGTAAGGCTATGGGATCAAATTAGTCTATGATTGCTGAATAACGGGAACCTCCAGCCATGCTCAGTCGAGCGTCGAGGCGCTTCTGCGCCTTCAACGCTCCCACGATCAGGGTCCCTCAGAACCCCCCTTGTCGATCATTCTTCAGTGGCACACGTCCATCAATACGAAGCAGTAATAATAAGTACGACCGGCCACACGCGACACGGGTTTTCATCGCATATCCTCGCACGCACGCCCGCTCATTGACCTTCGTCCAGCGTTTCCGCCTGGGATTCCGCGAAGCCTCGAAAGGGATATGGCGCAAGAACCCGATCCTCTTCCCGCTGGCCATCATCTCGCTCATTGGAACCAGCGCGCTGTTTGCATATATTGTCTACGTCCAGATCACGGAGGTGAACCCACAGTACCAGAATTTCCCTCCCAAGGTCCGGCAAGCGCTGAAGGTGGCTATCTACTACACGGATGTCAAACTTAAACCTTCCACGGCGCTGAAATTGTACAAGGAGGCGCTGCGGCTTGCCGCGGAGGAGGGAATGCATCCATACTCGGATGAAGTGTTGGGCATCAAGCTTAAAGTCGCTGACATGTTGGAGAAGGCTGGACTCATCGAAAAGGCCGTCAAGGTTCTTGAGCAGACGAAGAAAGAAGCATTGGCGTGGGTGGAGGAAGGCCGACGACGAAAAGATTTGAAGGACCAGCAAGCCGCTGGCAAGACGGACTCGATCGCCGTGACCGACCCTGACGCATTGGAAGTGGAGCAGGCGGCAAAAGCGGCGGAAGAGGATGAAGAGCGGCAGCGGAGCAAGGTATTGAGAAAAGTGATAGGGATGGAGTTGGCGCTTGCGACGTTCTATGACAGCGAGCAGATACAAGACAAGAAGAAGGCGGAAGCGGCGCAGGTGGCGGCGGTCGAACTGTGTCTCAAGGAGATGCAACGGCGGCAAGGCCTTGGTCTTCCCGTCGTGGTCGACGAGGCGGACGGGACGTGGCTGAGTTCGACGGAGGTTGCGAGCGTCATGAACGATCTGGGCCAGACGTACCTGCTGCGGGAGAAGGCGCAACTAGCGCTGCCGCTGTTCATGCAGGCGCTTGCGATGATCCGGGAAGCGGAGGGGACGACGCCGACGTGCAAGCAAGTGGTGCTGCTGAGTCTCATCGCATCCTCGATGTTCAACCACCCCCACAGGCTGGAGCTGCTGAAAGACTCCAAGAAGGGTACGGCGAAGCAGTCGCTCGAGCAGATCAACGACGCGACCAGCCAGTGGGCGACGAAGACGCTCGAGGTCGCGGCCAGGGTGCAGCCACCAGTCCGGGACGAGAGCTGCGACAAGGGCTGCGCCTCGGCGGCCACCTACCTGGGCGACCTGGCGCAGTTGCGGCACCAGTGGGACGAGGCGAAGGGGCGATATCTCGAAGCAAAGAAATTCGCCTTGGAGAGCGGGGATGACGAAGCCATTAAAGTGGCTAACGATTCCTTGGCAAAGTTGGAGGAGGATCGGAAGAAGCACGACAAGAATTAAGGAGGAAAACGAAAAATCGATCCTTTTATTTTTTGTTTATTTGTCTTTGCTATGAAATGAAATGGGTATAGAACGTGTTCATCATGTACTGTACAGTATGGGAACAATATAGAGAGGTATGTATGTATGTACGATACATGCAGGAGAGAAAAAAAGAAAAAGAAATAAAAAATGCAATACCATTCACGCATCACAGTACAGGTCCAGGACTACTACTTCTCTGACTAATGTGACTATAATGTCAGCAACCTTGGAACAAGATAATAAGGTAAAGTTGCCTTTACCTTAGTAAGAACCACTCTATTGGCAGGCCACATCCATGGTGCCTCTACAGTACCTGCATATATACAGTACCAGATCTATATGAATATATCTATATTCATATATTTTAACGATGGCCCTTCGCTCTCTGTCTTTCTCTATCAATCCATACTGAAACGATTTAGAGCCTCGTATCATCTGCTTTTTTTTTCGGTCAGAGGATGTGTAGGAATATAAAATTTTTAGATGCTTTTTTTTTAGGTGTATAGTAATTAGAACATCACATGGCGTTCCCTGGTCACTCCGGATTTTTGATGACAGATCGAGTAGTAACGTTTAAGCTAGACATGTCATGGAAAGGGAAAAACCTGAATCTGATGGAACTCCGGAAAACATCGACCTCACTCAGATCAGTCCCCGGTCACCGGTCCCCCCCAGATGTCCAATCCAATTCAAATCAGTCAATTGGCTTTCATTTGCTCATCGCTCATCCATCTCCAGTCAGTCAATCAATTTGACAGATTTTTCTTTTCCTTTGTTTTTGGTTCGTTCCCTTTGTTCAAACTCCCCGCTCCTGTTTATGCCCGCGACATCACACCCCAAGCGCGAATCTTGTTGTCAGTGTAACCAGCAAACAGAGTCTGGCCGTCCGCACTCCAGGCCAAGCTGACACACTCGGGCTCCCGGCTCTTCTTGCCCTTCTCAACGTACTCCGGCTTGAGCTCGTCCACCTTGCTCTTCTTCTCGAGGTCGAAGATGGTGATGCTGCTGCTGGTGGCAGCGCACAGCCAGTACCGGTTGGGAGAGAAGACGAGCGCGTGGATCTCGTCACCGGCCTGGAGGGAGTACAGGTGCTTGGACTCGTTGAGGTCCCAGAGCATGGTGGTACCGTCCTTACCACCGGAGGCGCAGAGAGAACCATCGGGAGAGATGGTGACGGCGTTGATGTAGCCAGTGTGGCCGATGTGGTCGGTCTGCAGGCGGCAGGACGCGAGCTCCCAGACCTAGACAATTCAATCAGCTCATGGCCAAAGCCTCTCAATTCCTTCAACACAACAGAAAATGGCAGTAAAAAAAAAAGTCCATCAGGGCATGTGGTGATTTTTGTCTCATGGCCGCGAAGGGCTCTGAAGTAGCAAATACGTAATATGCAAACATCCTCTGGACTGAATAAAGAAAAACACAATTCCCGCCTTGAATTTCGACAGGTGCGTACCTTCACGAGCTTGTCCCAACCAGCGGACACGATAACGGGGTTCTGAGGGTTGGGGCTGAATCGCACGCACGACACCCAGTCGGTGTGGCCCTTGTCGGTGATGGTGTACTTGCAGTCGCCCAGGGTGTTCCACAGCTTGATCGTTCGGTCACGAGAGCTAGAGACGATCTGGCGGTTGTCGGCGGAGAAAGAGACGGACAGCACGTCGCTGGTGTGGCCGACGAAGGTCCGGGTGGTCGTTCCGGTCGAGAGCTCCCACAAACGCAGCGTCTTGTCCCAGGAGGCAGACAGCGCATAGGCACCGTCGGACGAGATGACCTAGCAGCCAGTCAGCCGGGAAGAATTCCTTCCGTTTTGCCAGACTCTTCGCTTCAAACACAGGTTCACGTACACAGTCGGAGACGATGTGGGAGTGGCCGACGAGGCTTCGCTTCGGGTAACCGTAGGCCTGCTCGTCACGGGTGAGGTTCCAGATGATCAGGGTCTTGTCGCGACTGCCCGAGAGCAGCATGTTGGGGCTATCGTCGCACGGCAGTCAGAAAAGAATCCATTCAGTTGGCGATCATGGCGAGCTTACTTCTCAAGCGAGGTAGCCAAGCTGGTAACCCAGCCATTGTGGCCCTCGAGGACGCCACGGAGGATCAGCTGCTCAGCCATGATCAAGGTCGGGGAACAATCAGGGAACCTTGAGACGGACAAGGGAGGAGGAAGGGTTGGAAGGGCTGGAGCGATGTCGTTGGACTCTTGCCGGCTGGGATAACGATTATTTTCACGGAGGGGACGGACGGCGACGAAAGAGCGAACAGGGCAAGCCCTAAGCGCACTTTGCTCGGCCTTTGTGTGGCTCCGCCGTGCCCTAACAGCCGAGCGTGCTGACTAAGCGCGAGACAAACACGCCGAATTGGGCAGCTGACAAACAATCATACTCCGTAGATGGTAAATCAGAAGCCTACTGTCAAATGCACGCTGAAATCAAAAGAAAAATCAGTTCGTGCACATCCATCATGCGTCTAATCATCCAACCGTTTTTCTTTAAGTATATATCCAAAATATCTCGTTCTACTGAATAACAACATCTACCACGGCGGAGATCTTCTCTTCCAGGACGACCCGTTTGCCCTCCGTCAGCGCTCCCTCGAGATCTGCCGCGCGCGTTACTCGCGTGGTCCACAGGTGCCCGTTCGCTGCCGCCTTGGCGACTTCGCCGTAGTTGGGCCCGTCCGCTTCGAGGGAGATGCCCAGGTCTTCGTTCGACGTTGCGTGAGCAATGCCCTGCGGATGGACGTCGACGATGCACTGCCGCGTGGCCCGCCATCCGCCGTTGTTGAGAATGACCGTCAGGAAGGGGCAGCCGTGTCGGTGGCTGGCCCAGTAGACAGCCGTCGGCACTGAGAAGACAAAGCTGCCGTCGCCGGTGATCATGCAGACGAAGGGACTATCGTCATTGTCTGCAGATTTACGGCGAATATTAGGCCGGTCTGTCACGTCGTACAGTGCCGTGGCAAGCTTGACGCCAATTGCAGCTCCCCCAGCCCAGCCCAGACCGCTGCCACCTTTGGTGAGGTGGGATCCCGGGCGAGTGAACTGGAGCTGCTCGCTGACGGCAACCTGGTTGGTGACTGAGTCGGTAACGAAGATGGTGTTTGAGGGCACCACCGAACGGATCGTGTGACAGAGAAAATCGACACTCGAAGGCGCATCCGGTGTCTCCAGGATTTTCAGCGCTCGGTTCAGGACGAGCTGTCTGCCTTCGGCGAAGGACTGTTTCAGGGACTCCCATCGCGCGTCGAAGATATCCTTCCTGGAGAGGAATATCTCCGACTGGGAGATGAAGTGGTGAAGCTGCGACAATGCGGAGGCACTGTCCGCCAAGAAGGTGGCGGTAGCACCAATGTCGAACAGGTTCATCTTTTCCTTCCGGGGATCGAGGTCGATATGGAAGATCTGGGCAGCTGGCGACGGCCGGACTCTGGTCGGGATCCATGGCACGTCCGAGTCCAGGACGAGAATGACATCGGCATTCTGCACCGCCTTGGCCGCCCCTGTTCCACGCGTCACCCAGGCAGGATGATCGGCTGGAAAGCACACTTCACGGATCTCCGAGTCAAACACCCTGATCCCTTTGACCAGATCGGCCAGGGCCACCAGATTCTTCACAGCTTGGTGGTTCCGCCCCAGGTATCCTGTGATGACGAGGGGCGCCTTAGCTTCGATGAGAGCATTGCCGATCAGTTCAACGGCGTCTGGAGGGAGACCTCCCAGTCTGCATGATGGAATGGGCCTTGGACGAGGCTCCAGGGAGTCGATCGGCTGGGCCAGAATCTCCCGGGTGGCCGTCAGGTAGACAGGGCCCGGAGAACCGGTGGTGGCCATCAGCACGGCCCGATGGACAACGGTCTGGACATGCTGGGCGGACTTGATCTCGGCACTGTACCGGCTGTAGGGCACAACCAGGGCGGCCTGGTTCGGAACGTCCTGATACCACTGGACATGCTCGGATCGAGAGCCGACAGCCTCACCGTGCAGGGTTGATGGCGCCACACCGGCAAAGATGATGACAGGGGCACGCCCACTGGAGGCGTTATGCAGACCCTGACCCAGGGCGGCGGTGCCAACGTCGACATGGGCAATGACGCAGGCTGGCCGGTGGGTGATTCGCGCGTAGCCGTCGGCAGCAGACATGGCCGCAAACTATGACGGTGTCGGTGTGGGTCAGCACGTTCTTTTCGAACAAAAAGAGCGCACTACTCCGTACTTACTTCATGCTGAAACAGGACCATGCGGGGGAATTCCCGCTTCAGGACTTTCTGTCTTCGCACGTAGGCCTCGATGATACTGGGGTGGTCGGAGCCCAGGACGGTAAACAGGTAGTCGACGCCGGCCTGTGTCGTATCAACGTTACATGTGAGCGAAAGGGGGAAGACAGGTGCCGACTGGACGCACCTCGGCCAGAGCCTCGAGGAAGGCATCGGCGACGACATATGGCGGTGCTGCCTCTGACGGCTGGGCAGGGACAGACATGTTGTCACTGAATTCTGTGTCTGTCTATGAATGAATGGATGGATGGATGATCTATGGATTATCTGATTGATGATCAATTAGATATATCCAAGAGTAGAATTCATTCGAGGGAGGAACAACGGAAAGAAAGCTTAGTAGCTTACATGTAGAGTGTCTCAGCTGGGAGAACAGTAGTCAATATTAATCTCCTGCATAAGAAGAGTTATTATTATTATCCGATCAGAGCTGTAGACATTAAATGTCTTCCAAACAAAACGGAGATAGACTTGTTTAGTTGACATCGGAGATATACATACTCTACGTAGGTAGGTAGTTGACCGTTGTGCCGACTATCCGAAAAGCACGTGCCCTCAATTCAGTTTACATACGTCGTCGACATGTCAGTAGTAGTAACGGCAATTCTAACGGAACTGTCTATCTGTTTGTTAGGTAGGTAGTTAGTCGGGGAGATAATAGCGGGGATAGCTATGTCTGTCTGTCTACCAGCAAGGGGGAGGAGTCATGCTGTGCGCAGTAATCATTACTCGTACCTGACTCCTGACTGAGCTGAGACATTATTATTGACCACTGACCATTAAGATGCCATAGTCGAGAAGAGGGTGTGATCAGATAGCAACAGCAATTGTAACATCGGATACAGAACTCATGCCCCACCAAGCTGGCAGGCCGCAGATCAGGGCTGGGTACGTACGTTTCCATTTTAGGAATAGTCCTGCCGCCCTGCGCGTCAACAAAAATACCGCAATTGTACGGAGTATTCCACCTCGTGCTTTTCGATAGTACAGAGTAAATTTTGCACGTATTTACATGATTCCCTCTGTGGATCTCACAGACTCAACAGTCCCCGCTGGTCGTCTAGTTGGTTATGGCATTGGACTGTAATATCCCCCCATATTGTAATCCAGGTGTCGTCGGTTCGAATCCGACCCAGCGGAGGGTTTGTGCTTTGAATCTTCATACTCGGATCTGTCGGCCCTGTTGTCTGGCCTGTTCTTGTGTTACTCTGCTACTCGGACAGGATTGATGACAGAGCTGATGGATCCGAGTATGAAGTCCCTTTTCTTTTTTTTTAAAAAAAAAACTTTAGGATTATTATGATTTTATTTCCCTAGGTAAAATATCTTCTTCACTAACTAGGGACCGTCTCTTAATTGGTTAGCATCTCGTGCGTATGTGCGGCCTAAACATGTCTCTCAACATTAGGTAGATAATATATCAAATTCAATTCCCTTCGTAATTTTTTCAAAGCCATTGAGAAACTATGCCTTTACTATTACCATACTCGTTAAGACCTGACAATAATATGGAGGCAAAAAAAAACAAAGCAGACGCTTTTCTCTTTTTTTTTTAAAAAAAAATAAGATCCGTCCGTATGTATACAATATTTATTGTGCATGAAAAAATATTTATTTATTCGGCTAACAGCTAAGAGTTCCCCATTGCGTGCTAAATCCAGGTACTTCCTGACTTCCCCATACCAGGGTACCTTACCACAGTAAGTTTAGGTATGTGCCTCATCCAAACTTCCGTGTGGAGACCAATCAACAATACAAACCCGTTACAGTGGCATTACCAATATTACTTGTATGTATTTGTAAGGCTGTAAGGCTTCACGGAGTAACCTACTAGTCTGCGACAATCAGGAAGAAATAAAGTGTGATTTGTCTCTGCTTCCTGGCTGGCTGGTAATAAATGATTTCTCATCTAGCGAATCGCAACTGTAATTGGGAAACCTGTTTGTTGCTCATAGAGTAATAATAAACTCTACCAGAGTCTAGGTGTCTAGGGGTCCAGACTGCAGGACAAAGGATACCTCGTATCAAGTTATTCAGTCATATCGATTATAATGATTTTTTTTTCTTTGGCTATCATTTTCCATCTCGATCGTTACGCAAACTAGATACTGTACTATTGTGTAGTTAGTGCTTACTCGCAGAGTGGGTTAAGCACTACCTGGATATATATATATATCTAGGTATCATCAAGGATATGAATATATCTGGCTTGTGGCAAAACATAGGTAGTTATAGTTACAGCACTAATTGATCATCAAGAATAAACTAAACTATAGGGCATTTTTTCCGGGAGAGAAAAAAAAAGAGCTAAACTGGATGTATTATTCCGTGCTCTGGCGGGTATCGTGTAAACTACCTGTCTTGGTATCTTGTAGAGCCTATTTGCATTATGGGTATATACAATAATGATAGAGACGAAGAAATGTTAATGACAGTAGCGACAGTACGTGCTCGAATCGATCCCTCCTCTTTCCTTTTAACTCCAAAGATCGTAAAACGTAAGACCATAAGACAATGCCCCTTCCCAACATAAATAAATTAAATACAGACGGATATCAGACTGTAAGAAAAGGAAAAGGAAAAAAAAAAGAGTGACTATATATCTGTATCACACCCCCGCCATAGGCCGGTGGAGCGGCTCGGCCGAATCAACGTAGTCCGTCTTCAAAGAGATGTCCGTCTTCATCACGATCTGATTCGGCGCGATCGGCTCGTGGCTGCGCACGCTGTCACTCTCCAGGTTCGTCCACTGGCCCGCGGTGCCCCGGCTCCTGGTGCCTCCGCCGTGGCTGGAGAAGGCGCTGAGTTTGTATGTCGGTTTGCTGCGCGACCTCCGGCTGGCGCTGAAGGACGGGAACAGCTTCGGGAAGGCGTACTTGATCGGGTGCTTGAGGTAGGGCAAACACGCGCAGATGATGCCGCAGCTGGCCTCGACGGAGCTCCAGAGCAGCGCGTCGAACGAGCCCCAGGTCGGGTCCTTGGTCGTGGTGCTCTCGACCAGGGCGTGCATCCGGATGATGCTGGTGATGCAGACGAACAGACCCAGCGCGAACATCAGCATGACGCCGATCTTGCGCGCCAGGTCGAGCTGCAGCCGCGCCAGCAGCGGCATCGGCATCAGGAACACCCACAGGTCAGTAACGGTGTTGTAGCCGGCCCACCACCACCGGAACCACGAGTTGTTGATGCAGTGTCTGTGGACTTTCCTATTCCACGAGCCCTCGATGGGCACGCACTGGAAGACGGTCGCGAACACGAAACCGAGAACGCCGCACACGATGACCGCCATCGTCACGTAACAGATGTGGTGGAATTTCTTGCTGGGGAAAATGCGCAGGTAGAAGACGACGAAGGACAGTTTGGTCAGGCAGAGAACTAGCTTGTAGAACACTTGGAAGAGCCAGAAGTACTGCCGCCGTCAGCATACTTCTTCAAGCAGACGTAATAGTCACCTACCTTGAGCGAAAGAATGATGTTTCCACCCGATCGACTGATATCCTGTCTATGTCGGCCGAAACCGTAGTGAACGGCTGTCATTGATGTCAGCGAGGAAGGTGACACAGCGAAGATAATCCTTGTCGGCAGCTTACCCAAGTCACCGATCAAAGTGGTAATAATTTGTGTAGTCTGTACCACATTCTGCCGTTAGCTGATTTGACGCAGGCATATATTTCGACCAGTATAACCGACCATTGAAAGTGCAATCACGATATCATCTGCGCTGAGAGTCTTTCTCATCGTCCACCCGTATATCAATCTGTAGACCACCAGCGCGAAGGCAATGGCGAGCAGGATGCTTGTCACAATGAAGAATTCCGGCGCCTTGTTTGGGACGGGAGTTCGTGATTCCTCCATCATGTTGATGTTCTGCTGTTATTTTGATTTCTGTTGGGGGTAAAATAAAGGAAAGAATTATATATTATTATTAACAAAATGCCAACGCATGAGAGTCAGAAAAACGACAAGATCAATGGGATCAGTATTGATATTTTTCAGTCGGTCGGCACACCCGACCTGCTGTAGAAGAGAGTGAGATGATAATCGTCAACCTTCCCTGCGCATATCCATAGAGATTAGAGGAGCAGGGAATGAAGATTGCATAACTGACGAGCATGGGACCGCGATTGCACGGAGCGACTCTTGTTTTCGAGAAATACACTCCGCAGTGGTGGTACCTGTGTGACCAGTGTGTTACTCCATCGGATGTCATGGAGGTGTCGTATCTAGATCACCAGGACTTCGACCCCTGTCACGCATAAACTGGAGGATGAGAGGTCCCGCCAGGGCCCAGCCAGAAAAAAGTCACCCAAATTTTACGTTCTCGTCCTGTAGGAGCTGTACATAGGGTGGAGGACATAGTGACCAATAGACCACCTAGGTAGGCACATTATTGTATTCCGGATGGCCAATTCGTCTGTCCTGAAGACACCATTCGCCACAGGACCAACAGTATCTGGTGTTCGTAGATCGTAATTATGATCGAGAGCAATGACTGGACAATCCGGTATTCAATACAATTGACGTACTAAATCCATTCGGAGTCCTCCGTGCTCGGAATACTACTTGCACGCAACAGTAGCACGCGAGTTCTCCACGTCAACAGGGACATAATTCACGCTAGCGATTTTTTCCCTCATGGCGGGAGATTCCTAATCCCAAGAATGCCGACGTCAGGATTTTCGGCAGCGATGGAAGTCGTCACGATTGAGTTCACTAGTGAGTCGACGCCTCACGCACGTCCTTTGTCACATATTGACAGGCAAGCCGCAGCACCCGTGGAAGGTCAAGTTGAAGCAAGGGATAGGACTAAGCACATCCTTTGCAGCAGCCACTGTGACCACACTAAGCCCTAAGGTGATATGACCAGACAGGAATCGAACGTGTCCACAACTCCACCCTATCGTCGATGCTAGTCGGATCACGATCTCCTCCTTCACGGGCGACGATCCGCAGCGGTGAGGGGAAGGTTGGTAGGCAGAGATTGGCCCATCAGGTGGAGATAGCAATTGAATTCATCGATCACGGATCGAACATCCGTTCACTGCCAGCTGGGTTTCTGATCGAACGGAGAGATTCGAGACGAGAGCGCCAGCCTGCAGCTCGATTGAGAATTGTCGTCTCGTGTTGCTCGTCGGATTCGATTTGCGCGTCTGCTTCCGGGCCCCGGACCAATCATCGAAGAGGATATGCTTCGACAGGAGAGCACGGTATATTGGGGCTGGCTGGTCTCTGTCGACTGTGCAGCTGAAGGCTGTAGCCATTGGCACGAACTCAGAAGAGTAAAGGCTCCGAGTGAGGGAGTATTCTGCGAATTTGCCGCATACTAAGCTCAAGACCTGGTTTGGCGTTAGCCTGTCAATCCGTCAGTGATTTATTTTAGGCCAGGATACTCGATACTAAGCACTTAGCACCTACCTGTCTTAGTAGGATCCTGGCATTAGCGCCAGGAACAGTCTCAGCCTCTCAGGGCTGGTAATGTTGGTAATTTTATGGACAATGCAACGACGGCCAAGGCGATCGACAAGGATGGCGTTTAGCGCCAACCTTACTGACGCTGGCCACTGCATAGCTAAAAAAGACTCTCGAGGCACGCAGTGTGATTACGACTGTGATTGATAGTGCTTCTAATCCTGTCTTGTCCCCTCATTTCCGTCCTCTGCCAACCATCGCTCTCGGATCGGGTCCTCGACATCACGCTCCATTCTCTCCAGAGTCTCCACTCGTATATCTATACTATGAAGATGTGGAAAAAAAAGTAAAAAAAAAAGAAAGAAAGAAAACCAACAACACCCAACAAATTATGTCCTCAATTGAGTTAAAGCCAACACCTTACTATCAATTGAGTCACCCTCACCAGACATCGAGACGGGACCATGCGGCGCAGCACACGCAGTAGTCCTAAGTCGATCTAGCCGTGGAGGCACAGCTACCCACCGGTTTCCAGACTTGAGTCAGTACAGTCCAGAGTACGGAGTAATTCCGGAGTATTTAATCCCTCACAGTGCCAGAATCTCAGACGAGACATGGTGACATCGCTCAGTGATGTGCGCGTCAAGTCTGGTGCCGGCGTCAATTAGTTAGGAGCTGTCAGTAGTAAGCTCTGCAGATCGTCTGTCTAGTCTAGACCCGATCAGAGCGGGGTACCTGGGTACATTACATGCATACATGGTCAGAGACGTAATCTGTGGGAACTCAAAATCCAGTGCAGGACGCAAGGTATGAATCGTGTCTGTAGCGTGGATTTGTGCTACAGTCATGACAGTCTAGATATTTTTCCCAAGTCAAGAGGATAATCTCGATGAAGAGGAGTAAACGTTAAGACGGGATTGGTTTCCTCAATTGAAGACAGATATTTTGCATGACATAGCATATACTGTACATACATAGGTATCTCAATTATATAATAAGCTCGCACAGCAAGCAGAAACAAACGAAACAACGAGGACTCTCTACTCGTTACAGCTGGAATCGGAAATCCGGGTGCGCCTCACCCAGGTCCTGCAGCTTTTCCAGGTCTTTCCGGCCGTAATTCCTGGCCCCCGTGCTCTGCACCCGGTCCCGTCGCCGGTTCTCCGCCTGCAAGGAGAAATAGTAGATCGACACGGCGATGCCCGACACGATGCCAAACGCCAGGCCCACGCCAAACCCGACAGGGTACCGTGGACTCTGGCTCGTGATGAACACGTTGCCCGACACCAAGGCACCACAGTTGCCGAACCCGGTCAGCAGGCCCATCGCCACCGTCCGCTTGACGCCCTTTCCCATGTTGACGCACAACCACACCACGATCGTCGACATGTTGATGAAGGCGCCGGACGCGACGAAGAACATGCCCATGTACAGCACGCCGGCGTGGGGTACCTGCGCCAGCTCGATCGCCCACCCGATCACGATCAGGATGGACCCCAGCACGGTGAAGGCATACCGATGGCTCAGATGGTCGCTCAGCCAGGCGCTGACCAGCGTCAGCACAAACGCCGTCGCGTAGATGGGAATCGTATGCCATTGCGCCGACGCCGCCGTCCATCCCAGGTTGCTCAGGATGGTCGGCTGGAAGGCTACCAGCGAGCTGGCCGTTTCTTCGGCGGCCATGTATGCTAGGACGCTGCAGACATGTCAGCAAGAATAATGACCACAGATCCAGAAGAAAAGGGAAAGACTACCAGATCCAGATCTTCCAGTCCGCAATCATCGGCAGAACTCGACCCAAGGTGATTCGGTCGTGACGCACGCTGCCGCCATCCTCTTCAAGACGGGCCAGCAGCAGGGCCTTCTCCTCCGCAGTCAGGAACTTCGCGTCCTCCGGAAATGGGACGATGATGAAGAAGCCAATCGTGCTGACGACCAAGGTGATGATGGCTTCCATTATGAAGATCCTACGCAATTAGCCTGAGACAAGCGAAGGCAATACACACACTCTCCTACTCACCACTGCCATGAACCATAGCCGGCCTTGCCATTCATTTTCTCCAGCAGGCTGGAGAACAGCTACAAAGTAGCGTCAGTAAGAGAGTATCTACGCACACAGGAGGAGTTGACTTACGCCATTGAATGCGCCCGCGGCCATGTTCGCACTGAAAAAGACCGCATACCGACGGAGGAATTCGTTCCTTTTGTAATAGCATCCAATTAAGTACGCGCATCCTGATCAGGAAAAAGTCAGCATTGAAAATAGACGCTCGACTGGGTAGAGAAATCCATACCCGGAACGAAACCCGCCTCAAACATGCCCATCAAGAAACGACAGGCGATCAATCCAGCAGTGGTCTTGGTCAGACCCTGCCCCAGAGTAGTGAGGCCTAAGCATCACGTCAGCAATCAGCAGATAAGCGGGCTGACGGCCAGTGAACTCACCCCAGCAGAACATGAACACGGCCAAAATCTTAGGGCCAAACTTCTTGACGAGCAGGTTGGCGGGCATGCCAAAGACGATGTAGGCGACCGTGAAGATGGTGACGGCGATATTGTAGTCATTGCCCTTCATGTGCAGCGACTTGGTCATGCCCGCGATCTTGGCGTTGCCGATGTTGGAGCGGTCGAAGAAGGAGACCAGGAACAGCACCCAGAGGATGGGCACGACGCGCAGGTCCAGCTTCCAGAGCAGCTTCTTCTCCAGGGCTGGGTCAATTGGGGCCCGCGGGCTGTCGAGTTTGGAGGAGGAGGAGTCCATGCCGGAGGATTCCAGCACCAAGGGCTCAATGCTGGCGGGTTTGTCGACGGAGGGAGCCATGATTGCAGAAAAAAAGAAAGTATCAAGCGACAATCACTCAATGATAGATCATAAATCCGTTTCCTCACAGAAGAAAGCGAAAATAAATCACAAAGCAAACGAGGGACATGAGTATTTTAGAACTCAAATAGTATTCCTCCCTTGCAGAGTGGCAAACATGGACAGAGTATAAACGACTTGACAAGGAGAGCGGTGGGTGAAGAGATTGAAATTCTAGAACAGACAACTCTCAGCCGACAACTCTCAGCACTCATGCGTGGCTAAATCTAATTAGAGACAGGGGTGCCAACGTCTTTGTTCGGGCCCCTGGGATTAGTTGAATCATGGCCAATGGATTCATGTCTACGTCTCTGCGGCTGATTTGACTAGCTGGGCGGGGTGCATACAGCATACAGCCTTCAACCGTTTCTCGTGCAGGTTTGACACGACTGTCAGAAGCAACAGTCTGTCTAATGACATGATGGGCTGTGGCCAAATACAATTGCCGGAGCTACGGGAGTGGACTACGGCAGTTGATTGAAGGTGTTGTTGGCAAGCAAGGGCCTATTCATGCTTCTTTTCCGAAAAAGGCGATTTCATTCCTGTCAGGAGGGGCACGGATAAATGATAACTGCATTGTGTCTGTCGTACGGAGCAGAGAGGGGCATGCGAGTTGAAAGGAATGTGACGGTGCCATGCGATGCAATGCCATGCGATGCAGCGAGCCAGGATCGGAAGGATATGCTTGCATACAAAGACAGGGATAAAAAGCCAAATAAGAGACTCGGACTAGATCCATTCATCGCGCGATGGATCTCCTGGCTGACCCCGGAGGTTGGATCCGGCTCCACGGTTACAGCAATACAGCATTACCGCCCTGACAGCCCCCTGACAATACCGTACCAGCCCGTACAACTTTACAACAGTGACATCGGGCCAACTAGCACTTCGCTTCCAGACGACGATCATCAATCAAGACAGGTAGGTCTACGGAGTATTTTCCGTGAAACTGACCATCATGTCTTTCTTTATTGGACTCCATTGCAATGTAAAAATTATTCAGTACAATACTAACTAGCATTAAATCCAATCATTTCAACTGCAAACTCATCAGATAGAGTCCACAGGACAATGGAAAGCTACGTGTCTTCTCCTGGATAGTTGGCTCCAGCACCTAAAGACTTTTCGTTTTTCATTATCAACAAATCCCTTATGAAAAAGACCATACTCCTAATTCCCAGTAAATCTATTGCCTCTTCAGGTAAATACCTCTCTGTGGCGAGTTCTTTGTTTAACTTACCAGTATGTCATCAGCACCCACTGACACATGAAGCACTATCGACTGTTAAACGTAAGCCAGAGCAATATGTTTCAGTGATTTTAGATTAATTATCATTTTCTCTCTCTCTCCCTTCTTTTTTTTTTAAAAAAAATCACCAAACCAACTCGTGCAGAATGCACCTCCCTGCCGAGGTTGAATTAAGTAAGCGAGTTCTGGCCGATGCAAACACAACAAACAGCCTAAAAAAGATGATGTCAACCCTTGCCTCGATCAACAGAATATTCAGCTCAATGCTCCTTTCATCTGATCTAGCTGCAGCATCTTCCCGTCAATGGATAAGGCCATGTCGGCGTCTCGATTTGTGGTCCGCTGCCTGCGGCCCTCTGCTGCCTTCCACTCTTCCAAGCTGACGACGACGGCGTTCACGCAATCTCGTGCATTCGGTACCTCGGTTGTCCGTGCAAAAGACCTGAACGATCGCGCCCCTTCGACGGCACCTGAGCACCGCGAGTACCAGAAATCGAGACCGCTCAATCCTCATGTGACCGACTCGACGTCGACCCAGACCAATGACTACTCCAAAGTCGGGGAGAAGAATGCTCCTCCGGAGCTCCTTACCTCCATCGACCCGGATTACAAGCCAGCACAACCGTACACCGGTAAGGTTGAGCATTTCACCGGCGGCCTCCAGTCGTCCGGACCGCGGAAGCCCGAATTGGATGTAGGCGAGATGGAGGGGATTTCGTTCAAGGTCGAGCCGCTGCGACGGCAGGGTGAAGACCCCAGCACGATGCGGGCAAGGTTACTTTGTACGTCTTCCTCGTGTGGAGATGGATATGCGAACACAGCTGAACTATTCCAGACCAGAGTCGGAAGAGAGGCATTCTCGAGACAGATCTACTGCTCTCCACCTTCGCTGACGCACACCTGGCCGATATGACACCGAAGCAAATGGAGGAATACGACCGCTTCCTCGACGAGAACGACTGGGACATCTACTATTGGGCGACGCAGGAGCCCAAAGAGGCGGAGACAACGGCTTCGTCTGCCGCCGCAGACGCTGGCTCTGCCGTCAAGGACGAACCGACGGAGACGTGGAAGCAAGGAGCCGCCAAATCGGGCGAATGGGCGCAAACTGTCGGGGCGTTTAAGCCGGCTTACCGCCCTGTGCCGTCCAGATGGGCCAACTCAGAGATCTTAGCCATGCTGAGAAAGCATGTGAAGGACAAGAGCGCATCCGGATTCCAGGCCGCAAAGGACCGGAGAAACGGCGGCGGGCTGGGACGGATGCCCAATATCAAGATTTTTAACTCGTGAGGTCGCAGCTGACCTGCAGTCTTGTAATAGTCCCCTACCAAGTCTAGACCTGTATATACTCCGTATACATCTCACATGTGTGGGGGAGCGGTGCATAACCTCCGCAGTACGCCATGCTTTTCCGTCTGTATTCTATCTGGTCAGAGATATGCAGTGACACCGGTCATCATGCAGATTCAGGAATGTGACTCGAGTAATGGCAATGGCCATGCCTCTGCTGACATGTGAGCAAGAGACATGTGCCAGTAAGAAGACAACAGCCTTCCTGCATTTCCAATTGGCCATCAGGAGTGATCGTTCTCCATCTGCACTTTCTTGCCTAAGGTATTGATGTAGTCATTCAGGTGGTCACATCCAGGCAGTGAGCTGCGTAACGGGGGTCTGGGTACTCGCGCATTTGCCAACTCCAGTCAGTCAGCTGATCTCCGTTTACGCAGTCAATTCGCTTTGTACCTAGCTAAGTAAATCTGTGAAAAGAGAGCAATCTTCTTTCTGGAAGGAAGAGAAAAGAAAACATGGGGAGAACAATGGGAACTTCCCTTAATAAAGCGGTATTATACCCAACGCTGCCAATAGCCGACTTAGCCCCGGGGCCGCTCTTTCCCCCTTACAATTCAGGCGTTCTTTTCTTCCCGCGGCCAGGCCTTCAACTGACCGCTTCCAATTCACTCAACCTTGGGGCAAATGACTGATGACTGATACTGACAACTGATGGTTAAACAGCTACTCACACTGACAATTCAAGATGTTGGTCTCTCGACAGAATTATGGAACTCACCTTGGAAAATGGACGCTACTTCCAAAGTCAACACAGATGCAGGTGCATGAGGACAGTGCCATTCAATGATCAGTCAATTGCTCCAGAGGTGCATTCAACATGAATGGGCATTGGCAACAAGATACCCTCTCGCAATGTTCTTGGTCTGATGAGGGAAGTGCTCTGGACATTTCTCGTCTGGCGGACATGCTTGTCCTCTCCCTCTCTAATGGGGTTCTGGTCCTATCCTGTCTTGGGAACAAACGAATTGCCCTTCAATAGTGACAAGAGTTCCCTCTTTTCTGGACTTGCCTTGTTGTCTACATGACAGTCATTATCAGCCTCCTCGAACTCTCTGCTCTCGTGTGTTCATGTCCCGTCGTCTTGCCTCGTCAATTATGGCCGAACTGCAAGCCAATGCAGAACGCTTGTCCTATCAACGACTTATTCTTTTTTTTTCCCGCCTCGTGGATCAAGACTATTGCTTTATTAGATGAATTGTGCTGTGAAAGCGTTTGTTTTCTCTTTTCGGTCAATGTTGTCGACTTTCATCTCGGCTGTCTATCACCGGGGTTCGTTGCAACGAGTACATCCTGTCAGTCATTCTATGACGCGCCAAGCTAATGTCCAATTTATCAGATAAGTGTCTCTTCACGAAACAATTTGCAAGACTCACGAAGAAAAAGACTCACGGATATCGTTGTTTTCATTGTCGAATCAATATTTTGCGGTTCGATCTCATTGCAGTCAGCAAATCGCTCTCAAACGTTATTCGAAGCCAGACATTATCATCAAATCATCTCACTTATTGCAACAAATAATCAGAATGAGATGATCGATTACAAGCGTTTTAGCGGTTTTGAACTGGACTCGACAAGCCAAAAGATAGTGTCGTCCTCAGCTCTGCTATTTTTTTTTCGACGTGCGGCTGAATGGATTAAAGGGTGAGGGGGTGCTTGCTAGTGAGATATGCAGCTACTGCCAAACAGAACAACCACTTCAGCACGTCGAACTGATTCACCGATAATTGGCATGGATTTACGCGCTGCCTCGATGAAGACTGCACTGCAGACAACATGTCGAGGACACTACTATGTTATCGATGTGTGCAAGGCTATTGGAGACCTGCTGTATTATGTCTTTGGTCAGCATACTGATGCCTTACCATTGCCTGGCAGTACAATGTCTCCCAATCTCCTGATTGGACTGTCAGAGACTCAGAGCGGTCTTACTTGGCTGTGCCCGGGGTTGAAGAGGGAGGGCGTATGGCTCAAAGCTGTCGCGCCTTTTTTCCGCAACCAACTCTCCAGGCAGAACCTAGTCCATTAGCTAGCAGCTGCATTACTCCCTCCTCTCTGTTTAAAAACCTAGTCATTGCAAAGGGATCAGGGTTACTTTTTGGCCCCCGAGATGGACAGCCGACGTTCAGGTAAGATCACCCCTTGTCACAGACCTCAGCCTTGTTCAGGGGCTATTTTAGATGCTTCTTACCCCCGCAGAGTGCAAGCTCTTGTTGCATGCTGCGTGGATTTTTATCTGGGAATCTCACAAAGTTGCACATGTGCTGTGGTTCGACATCGACCTACTCGTTCAGAGCCTTTTGTAGCGCTTCTCCCTGCGAACAAGAGGCTTTGGATGAATGAGATCTATCACCTGCAGCTCTCCGTCTTTTATCAGTCAGATTTGGCCGTTGCTGCATGAGTCATGATCGACCATCGTGGCAAACGACCTGACTGATTTGCGTTTGCACTTTTCCCCTGAATCCATGAATTGCCACGACAGAATACAGAGTGGAGTTACGATTCTTATTGTGCTGATCAGAATGCTAATACATTTAAATCATTTGACCTGCAGTCAGGCAATCTCGTCGCAGCCGTCGCAACGCCCGAAGATTCCTCCGCTTCGGCGCCTACATCGGGTCCTGGGCGGATGAACATCTCGTCAGCGAACCTTTGTCGAAACCTGTCTTTCAAGAAATCGGAGATCTGATTCTCACCCACAGGCCGATAACGACCCGACCGTTACCGACGGGCTTGGAGCGGAGCTGGCAGAGCTGGCCAGTGCCCCGGTGGCATTCGTGCCACCACCCGATACAAACCGTCCTCTTCGTCGGTGGGCAAGATGCCCTGGTCTGAGGAACGCGATTATGAGGAGTTGTGCGTCTCTGATGCTGTTCACCGATCGAGGACGTCGCACTGACCTCGTCTCCAGTTCTTAGAGCTCTGATCACTTGTCGCCTGTTGCCCAGGGCTTCGCGACAGGCCAACGAGCTGGCCGCCCTGATCATGCTTGATTGGTTGGATGATATACACGGTAGGGGAGGTGTCGGGCTCAGCGTGGTCACTGAGTTGCGGCTGTTTATGCGAATCAACCGTCATGGTTAAGTATTCGCCTCCAGAGAAGGGATACTTATCCGCTTGCTTTCATGAATCCGCAATGCGATACAATTTGCTACTGCATGACGAAACGCTAATGGTTCTTCACCATGCTTCCAGATGAGAACGAGATAAATGAACAGAATGATCTTCAGAATGATCTACAAGCTACATTGTGTTCAGTTCGGGTCTCTTTCTTTGAACAAGATTCGGGCCCGCCACCAGAGTAGGTGAGAGACAGAAAAGGGAAAGAAAGCAGGTAAAGAGGAAAGAAGAAGAGGTTCATCAAGATAAATGGGCCGAAAAGAAACAAAAAAAAAGACAGGGAATATGGAGGGGAAAGAATGCTAGAAAGACAATACTGTCGCTACCTAGATAGTTTATGCAGCTTACAGCTTATACTCCGTAGTATGTAGCTTGCATTGCATTCCTCTGCAGCTGGCGTATTACATTCTTTTGTGCTCTCTTTCTCTCTTTTTGCCTCTTTCTCGCAACGAATACTTAAGAAACCAGGACAAAACTTGTTGGCGTTGGAGCAAGGGCATACGTAGATCGGCTAGTATCTACCTAACGTACTACGTACTACGTACTCAATTCAGTCTGACTGTTTAATAGTCGCCGATCAGCTCAGTTCAGCCCCAGGACTACGTCTACTAACCAATGGTTCGTTCCATGTTGTTGGCTGGTACTGTAGCCTAGCTAGTTAATAATTGTTAGGGTTAAAAGCAGTAAATAAATGGAGCTGATGAATGTCTTCCTTTTTGACTGACTGAAATCTGTTATTATGAATTATTACTTACTCAGTTCAAACGCAGTTTATTCAGGTTATTTTGAGGAAAAGCGATTGATTGATCGACTGATCGCACATCACTTCGAGTACCCGTTTCCTTGCTTGCTCGCTCGCTCGCTTGCTTGTTTATTAGTCTGTCAACTATGACTGGTTATTAGTTCGGCGAAATAACTGTCATCTGTTGATACTGACAGTCCCTGATTATGTGCTGATATTCATCGTTAATCATCATGTCTTCTCCTTCAGCTCCTCAGGTCTCTGGCCGCCCTGGCAGGAAAAGTCGTCGCTGCAGGCTATGTTGCTGCTGCTGCTGCTCCTGCATCTCCATCTGCTTCCTGCTCACCGTCATTCTGCCCGCGGCATCCGTCTTCCTCCTCACCGTGAGGCCCATGATCAGGGCCCTGCGCCACGAGGCCGAGTACTTCGGCGAACTCGAGGAACAACGCCGCCGCGACCGGGACTGGGACAAGGCCGCGACCAGGGGAAGGATGCCGTGGATGCTCGAGGTGCTGGAGGCCCCGGTCCCATGGAACGATCCGCGCCGCCGGCGGCCCCTGATCCACGACATCACGCAGCTGATGACCGGCGAGTGGAAGACGCAGATGCGGCTGAACGACGACGGCACGGCCGAGTTTCCGCAGCTGGAGTATTGGATCTATGTCGGGGGAACGAGTCGGGGTAGGTCATTGTGGTCCTTGTCTTTGGGAGATTGGCGGACCTACGTCAGGGATATCTACCCCTTTCCTGTCCCCTCGCCCCCCGGCCCTAGCTGTGCCGACGAACCTGCCATCTGCACCTCGTTCAACGCCGCCTTCGACCGCCTCCTCGAGCTGTACCATACCCACCGCGTCAACCAGACCGGACGCGGCGACCTCGTCTTTGCGGACTGCGACGTCAGTCCGATGCTGTGCGACGAGTTACGGCTCAGTCCGCTCATGCTGGTCCACGTGCAGACGCAGTCGCCCTGCGGGGGGGAGATGGAGCCCGAGTACCATTTCGTGTGCCCGGTCAAGTGGCGGTTCGTGTCGTTGCCGCTGAAGAAGATGCCGTTTCAGCGGACGGTGAGGCTGTCGGCGTTGCTGTCGTCGTCGTCTTCGCTGTCCATCAAACCGGCTAGCAAGGAGACGTCGCCTGGGGACAGTAATAACGACCATGTGGTACCTGTGTTCCCTAGCGCATTTGAGCAGCTGCATTCACTAGTCAGTTATGATGGGAGCGTTGAGGCGCTCGACGTTGAGGAGAACCAAGTGTGGGAGATTGTTGTCGATGGACCAACGCCTAAAATAGATTGAACAAGTCAGATAGATGACTGCAAGGAAGATCAGGACTGCATGATCGCATGTCAGACTCGCATTCGTGCTGTATTTCTGTATAGTGAAAGGAATAGAAATAGAAGTAAGAATCGCAGCCTGGGATGGAAACGAGATTTTCAGCGCTAGATTTGTTGGACATGATGAATTTCCAATATTCTTTCTAACCACACTAAACGCCACAGGTAATAAATCAAATTGGATCAATCCATCTAAAAAAATCACACACAAGCCCCAATATCCGCTTCGCTGGTTTCGGTATCATTCTGGCAGTAGCTTCTCCGATGATGTCTTTCGTTCGAGCGAGTTGACCACTACTGACGAGCCCAAAGAGAGCAGTGTTGTGCTGAGAACCTTTTTTTTGTGAAGACGTTATTAGAAGGCATGATAATGGAAAACGTGGGAGAAACAAAAAAAGGAGCTACTTACTAAGATGACAATTTTATGATAGAGATATTGCAGGCTTCTCTCCCTGTTGAGACTCTTCAATCCTAGAGAGTACTGCATGGCAATGGTCCTTTAGGGCCAATGTGAAGTTCGACCTCTGCTCTTGGAGCTGTGTCGGGAATTCCATGGCGACGCTTCGAAGTTCTGTAGATGACTCTGTACGCAGCTTTTCAAATTCGACGGCCATGTCTGCGCGAAGTTTTTCAAACCCGACTGACAGATCCGTACGCAATTCCTCAAAGTCTCTGCGGGATTGAGAAACGTTACGATTCAAGAGGACAGAACGGTTTGTCCTGAAGCATTTGATATTCTAATTCTAAATACAAACTGATCTTCTGCTCTTTAGATCGATCTATTGCAAGAGCATGGCTTGTTAAATTTTAACATGCCCTCCATTTGGAATGGTATTGCCCTTTGTGGGTTATGCCATCCAAATTTCGATTGTGCCCACAATCCTGGACTCGTCATTGTCCCATCAGACCTTGATTTCTTCATCAAATTCAAAAAGCATAACTATATCCAGAGATCTGATCGGGCAAGGAATGGGATCACAGAACCCAGGACTTGCCCAACTGTTGAACAGTACCGTGACTACCAAATCTCTCAGGGCAAAGTGGATGCGGATTCATGTGGTGGCCTTTATACGCGAATCTTCCTGAAAAAAAATTCCATCACCTGGTCCTGGTTAACCCGATTCACCTTTATGAGGCCAAGGTTTGGCACGGTTCCCCCATTGCGGCCATCCGCCGGGCCTTCACGGCCCTGGGCATGCCTCGGGTTGACCAAATCCCAGAAACAGTCCACTACAACGTAAGTGAATTGCAGAGGTTGTATGCACGTCCACCCCCTCAGTTGTCAATAATCAATGAGTCCAAGGAAAAGCCAGCTGAGGTGCCCACTATTGACAATTCTCCAACACATGTGTCCACAGAGAGACTCGGAGAATCCGCGGAGAGACCGAAAAAGCTGCTTCGTGCTGATAGGGCTCTTGATGTTTATTTGAATTAGATCAGGGGAAAGAAAAAAAAAATGGAAGCAAGCAAGCGGGTAGTAGTAAGAAGACCCATACCATACTGTACATACAGTACAAACAATACGAAGAATTCTGCTCTCGTTCGTCCCTGGACAAGTTCGAACCTGAATCTGAATCTATACGAGTTTGAAAGAGAACCACACACAAACCACGAACCCCATTAGATGTAATACGACAGACATGGTAATATAATAACATGGACATCAATTGCTTGTGGAAGCCATCCCTTGAATTCAATTCAATTCGTCTCATTGCTGGCATCAATCCCGGTCCGGGCCCATTTTTCACAATAATCAAGAAAACACCGAACGAACAAAAAGAAAAGTATACCCTCTAGATAAGATGCTTCGATCTGCGAGTAGGAAAAAAAAATATGTTAGTTCTCGCTTCATACGGAATGAAGAGCAGAGGAAAATGGACTGGGATAAAACGAGGCAGCATACCGGAAATAAGCCCTCAGGTAGATAACTTGCCAAACGCCCAGTCCCACCAGCATGCCCATGGTGCCGACCGCGAACCACTTCACCCGCTCATTCGTGCTCTCGTTCGTGTCGCGCAGCTTCTGCTCCCGCGCGCGCAGGTACTCCATCTCGTTGACGATCTCGGCCACCAGCTCCTCCATACGCCGGAGGTCCGTCTCCACCGGCTTGAGCTTCTCCTGCGCCTGGATGCTGGACCAGTCGCGCGCGTCGGCGCCAATATCGACGTCCAGCTCGACGTGTCGGGAGGGGTTCTGGATTCCTTCTGTTTGTCGGGCGGTCAGCAGGCACATTCACATCAAGCCTATATAAACTGATGCAATGCAATGGGATACGTACGCCGAGATACGAGTTTGTTCTCAAAGCAGACATCAAACGCCGTGTCTGCAGGAGCCATAAAGGTCTGTCGAGTTTCGCCCGCAATGTCCCTAGGACGGCCGTGTTCGTTGCCAAGTGCGTCCTTGATCTGTCCGCAGCTGAATTAGCTGTCGTTTCAAAACAACAAAGTTTCTACATACCACCATGTTAACGACCTGCCCGTCCCCCCGTTGGCCGCTCACAATCGCCGTCACGACGACCAGCTGGCCGTTGGACACAAAGTTCCGGATGCATCGCTCGGTCTTGTGCGTCGTGGCCGGGAGATCGAACTTCAGGGCCGACGTAAAGGGCAGGACGAAAAGCAGCGACAGGAGACCAAGAATGGTCTTCAGACTGAGCGTGGACGAAGGCCCCATTCTTGCTAGCAATTGGTGGTCGTCGTGTGACCGACGCGGAGAGGATTGCTGGACTCTGGACTTACTCCGGAGCAAGCAGATGCCACGCTTGCTGCTTGACTTGGTAGGCTAGCGGACGGGCCGTCAACATCGGCCGGATCATCGATGTTCCGGCAAGCCAACAACAGATACTACCTGAGGTATGTTCGTACAACGCACTTTACTGTCATGAGAAATCTCATTTATTTCAGAAATATCGCTGGGTGATCGTTTCGAATGATTGTCCTCGACAGGAAAAGAACTCCTTGAATCATTCACTGCATGCTGTGTTGGACACACCACACATCTACCTACGGAGTACGGAGTATAGACGGAATAAAGGTGACGAATTTGTGCACAGTCATAATAGCGTTTCGAAGAGAACACTTTTTAGTAGATGAAACAGCTGTGGTAACTGTCGTGAAGACTAAGCGAAATTAATCCCAAAAAAAAAAGAAATAGCTAAATGAACCCAAAACCCAAAGGGGAAAATAACAAGAAAAATCAGAGTACCCTCCTAGATGGCGGAAAGAAATATAGATATCATCTTCAAGAAAGTAAGAAAAAAATACATCCATCTAAATCGAAGCATGTATACATGGTATTCATAAAATGTATAAAAAAAATTCGGACGGACTGTTTGAAATCGCTCAAACCAGGACACGTCGTTAGAAGGAAATAAAGGGATGAAGGCACCCTGACAAAGAAAAGAAAAGAAAAGAAGAGAAAAAGGAGAGGAGGATGAAGAAGAGCGGAAAAGAAGTAGAAGAAGTAGAAGAAGAATTAAGATGAGAGACATGGCACGTGCCTGTGCTGTCATATCATGACAGATCGTTGCGCATTAATCAGTTGAATCTGTACGCCATTTTCTGTCTAAGCCTCAACCTTCTTGCCCCGCCTGAACAGCTTGGACAATCCAGATGCATCCTTTCGTTCCTCCGAGAGCGAAGATGACGTTCGCATAGGAGGCGGCTCCGGAGGGCCCGTGTTCCTCAGGAAATCGGCCAGTGCACTGGTTTCGGTCTGTCTCTGCGGCGGACGTGGGCCACCGGCCGGACCGTGAGGCAGCGAATTTGAACCTCCGGCTCGCTCCCGATTGACATGGACAGTGTAGCCAGAGCTTCCAGAAGCATTGTTGTCAAACTGGGCGTTCGCACTGGGCCGAGCAGAAGAACCGCCAGGTACGCTGGGAGAAGCTGGGACGGAAAACGCCACGCCTGCAGCCGAGGTAGAGTGGCTGGATTTGCGAGAACGAATCGAGGTCATCGACGGCTTCGGAACTGGCGTCTTGTCGACCGATGTGGTGCGCCTGAAGCGCGCTTTCATGGCCGATGCAGTCGAAAAGCCACCAGAACTCTTGGGAGGAGGCATGTTGATTAAAAAGGGCTCCGGAGGTCGATCATTTCCAGGAGGCGGAGGCACATTGTTCAAGAAATCGAGCAAACTTTCCTCCTCTCTCGGTGGCTTGGCCTTTGGAGTGTCTGGGAGCTCGTCGAGCTCGTCATCCGATTCAATGGCGTAGGGATCTCGCGCCCGGCGCTGCTTGCGGACAGGGCCAGAAGGAGCATTTGACCGATTTGAGGACTCGAGAAGTGGTGCGCGAGAATTCACCGAGGAGCGGAGGGAATCGGATTGCGTCGAACCATCCTGCGTACTGGCAGCGGAGGTTTGGGCAGCCGAGTCGTTCTCGATCCGGGCTATATCCAGTGAATTAAAATCGTCAGAATCCATGGTAGTCCGGAAAGGGGCGACAGTTCGGGGTATGCGGTGACCACCTGCAACCGGCGGGCCTTCCCGGATGAAGTCGATGAGCTCAGAAGTAGAATTACCTTCTGCTGATGCCACAGCGGCACGGGGTTGCAGACGTGGTCCAGTCTTCTTCTGCGATTCAGTCTCCTTCGGTTTTGCCGTTGCCCTGGACGAGTTCGACTGCGGTGTCTCTGATCGGACGCCGCTGACCACAGAGTCAGAGGCATCCCGATAATGGGTTCGCAGGCTTCCACTGGGTGGATTTGCTGGTCCTTGAGTGCTGCCTGGTGGACCGGTGGACCGGATAAAGTCGGCAAAGTCTCGAATGGATTCATTGGCCATTCTGGCATCACGCGCTTGATACATCTTGGGTTTGGCCGAAGATCGTTGACTAGTTGGACTCGAGGGCCGGATATCAACTGAATTCGCCTTGGAACTGGGTGGACTTGGCGGGTGGGCACGCAACCCGTTGATTCGGGGAGAAGGGCTGCCGATGATCTTGGGCTGCGGTGATGGCAATGGCACATCTCCAGGTGGTGCCGTATTCTTGAGGAAGTCGGCCAACTCGGCGGTCTCAGTTCGAGCTGCGTTCCATCGCGGCGACCCGGGTGCCTAGGCGGTGCAGATTTAATATGTAAGTTCTCGAGGCAGAGAAAGAAAGAACGAAAAAATGACAACAAACATACCTCTATCTCTCTCATGCTGCGCGGCGTCAAGGTGTAATGTATTGTTTCGTCGCTCTTGATCAACCTGTCTAGGTCAGACTTGTCATCCCCTCCTATCTCATCACTCGCCGAGGACTTCCTGCTGGCTTCAGAGGAAGCTCGCGCGCGTTGTGGAAGCGGGTTATCCCCCTCTGCTGGATGACGGCCGATCAGTCCTCTCAATTTACTGGAAATTGTCGAGGTGGTCGATCCAGCGGTCTGCGGACGCTTGGAACTGCCGATGCTCTCTGACCGGCGTGACTTGGAAATGCTCGACGGCTGCGATGATGACGGGCCGTGGATTCGTTGAACTGCGGCCCGTTCAGAGCCCGCAAGAGAATCGCCCTGAGCGTGACGGACCTGGCCACTGCCCGACGGAGGTTGGGAAGTTGACCGAGAGGGCGTCCGCGAGCGAGATACGGGTTCACTCTCGTCCGACGTAGACTGCGGAGCCCCAATGCTGTCCGAATAGTTAGAAGACGCGTGTCGGCTGGCGATCAAGGTATTTCGAGAACGGCCATCAGCAGTTTCGGCCCCTTCATGGGCGGGCGGCACAGACAGTGCAGAAGCGCCTTCAAGCTGCCGCGGATGCGATGTTGCAGATGATATACTCTCATCCTGAGCGCGCACGGAGCTTGAACGTAACCTGTCATCTTCCGTTTGTTGCGTGGGTGCGGAGGGATCGACCCCTTGCATGGGTGGCGCATGATCGCCAGGGATGCCAGCAGGAGAATCTCCAGTCTCGATTACATAGGCGGATCGATTGTCCCTCCGGGAGGTTTCTCTGCTGGATTTTCTCCTGGGTCGCTGCGCAGGTAAATTGGACAGCTTAGGTCTCTCATATGTGCCCTGGCCTTCAATAACCTCAACATCGTTGCCGCGATGGTCGCTCTCCACTTCTGCCAAAGGATCTTTACTATCGACTTTCGAAGGCCGCTGTTCCCGCCCAGTGTCTTCTGCACTGGCGGACTCGGGTGTGACCTCTCGGGGTTTGGAAGCTTCAGCAGGTTGTGCTGGTGCCGTCTCATTCTCTTCGCTCTCATACATGGTCTCTAAGGATGGGCGCTCTTCGGGCCGCCTGCCGGACTCGCCGCCGTTGGCGCTATCTTCATCACTCGAGGGCGTGGGGAGGGTATTTGGTGGAATCGGGAGAGACCTCGTCCGACTGTGACGGGAAAAGGCCGCATCGCTGGCAGAGGGTATCGTGTTTGGTGAGCTTCCGGTCGGGGAAGTTGGCGTGAGCAGCCCGGTATTCGACACCATCAGACTCCGAGGACGCACTTTCTGTGCCACGGTTGCCTGCATCGTCTCGACTTCTCCATCGACGTCCACTGGTGCCTCGATCTCTCTGGCATCGTTCTCCGTGACGGGCAGAGCAACCGAGACAGGGTCAACGTGCTCCTCTTCCTCTTCGACTGCGCGTGCGAGGGTGTGGTCTCGTTCATCACGTCCGTCGATTGTTGTTATGCTACTTTTCCTACTACCCGCAATCCCACGACGCGCAAAAGATTCTCTCGAAAGCGTCCTCGACAATGTCGGTCCCTTGACACGCTTTCTCCAGGTTCTCCACAGGCGACCCAGAGTTGCGTTCAGTGCCAATTTCTCCATGTCACTTTCCTCGACGACCAGTCGAACATTGGATTCGACTGCGGCTTCAGACTGGCCTTCACGGCCAGTACCCATTCGGGGCGAGCGGGAACGAGCATTCTCGCCGGCAAGGACCAAGGCGTGTTCACCGAGGTATTCGATGATAGAAGTGAGGAAAATCGCAGCTGCAGGAGTGATATTCCCGACATGACTCGCGAATCTACGAGGAGCACCGCCGGCCTCGTCTAGCCCTTCTCGCGCGATATACTCATCCTCCTCTTCCTCCTCCAGGTCGCCGAGCCGGGTGTAAACCATGCACCTCAAGCGGGTCAGTTTCCATGAGCGGATCAGATCGAATTCACCGCGTGGCTCCTGGCCGCCGTGAAAGTCCAATAGCTCCTCATCCTCTCCACCACCCATGTACTCGCTCAGCTCCTCATCTGCGGCAGAGATAACCTCCTTGGCCAGTCGGGGCTTCAGCACCTCCGCGATGGCCGGGCGCAGAGCGCTCAATTGGGTCGACTTGGCCACAGCCAGGATGTTAAATAACAAGTAGTCGAGGAAGCCGTTCAGCAACGCGAGGGAGCCTGGCGTGACCAGGGCACTGTCTCCATCGGCCGAAGAGATCAACCCATTCTGTTCCAGGTCGGCGGCAACGATCTGCGACGCCGCCGAAGCTGCGATAAATGCGGGACTCGGCTCAACGGCGGGAGGGGAGAGGACGCCCGCTACCGAGGGCTGTACATCGTTCGACAAGCTGACGCTTCGCGAGCGAGGCAACACGTCAGGTCGGTCCGATCGGGGATTGGGCGGCATATTTGAAAACTCAGGACTGAAGATTCTGTACCAACGGGTTCGAGAGGGTCTGAGATGGTTATGAAGCGAAGGAACGGTCTCACACACAAGATATTGGCCCTACAAGTGCTGCATCACACTCCTAGTCGGCCAGACCCTGCTCTAGGAGCTCAAACAGCGTCAGCATTGAGGTTTCCTGAGAACCAGAAGGAGTAGGAGAGAACGGTAAGCCAGGCATGAGTCAGGCGGCAGGACTCGGAAAGAACACTGAGCAGGTGAAGCAAGTCACGCTGTCGTAAGACTTGCCCGGCGGACTGAAGCTCGCAGAGAGAACGCAGGTCAAAGAGGAATCGATCAACGTACCCCATGTACTCCGTTAATCTAATCCACCTCACGCCATGGTGCGCCCATGGACTGTCGCACCGCGAAGAGTCGAGGGAGATAATTTGCAGTGCCTGCAAGCAAAGGGAAGCCAGGAGCAAGGCAGGCAAAAGAAGGCGTCAGGGCAGCGCGAGGCACAGGAGAGGTTGCGCTCGCTCAGGACTCAGGAGAAGGCTGAACTGCCGATACGGTTCCTAGCCGGGCCCGCTATCTAAAAGCGGCAGTGGTGAAGAATCGCCGGTGCCACGGGTATCGAGAGAATCCCCACAGAAAAAAGTTCGTGCCCTGGGAGAAGTCGAGCGCGGTCCACGGTATGCCGTAATGCGTGCAGGCAGAGAAGCAGACGGTTATTTGGGCCTCGTCCAAATAACGAACTCTCCCAGGCTTCTTGCAGAGGACTCGAGGGGCGAGACGAGCAGACCCCGGTCGATCGTCGCACCCCGTGTGGCTGCTCGTCAGGGGAGGCTGAAGGAGAACGCACTGGCCTGAGGCAAAAGGGGCGAGGCGAAACGCCAGTGGCCCAGCGTTTTCGCCCACAGGTTAGCGGGCTGTGAGGAAGAAAGGCCCCCCGTTGTTCCACGCGGCTTCGCCCACAGCCTAAATTTGAAGCTTCTTGGGGAGCCATTTCCAGCCCAATCGCGCCTGAACGAGTTCCTTCGCCGGTGGGCAGGCTCCACCGCCCCTCAGCGCGACTCGCGCCGGCAGCCGCCCCGCCGTCGCCACAGCAGAAGAGGCTCGTCGCGAATGATGAATCCTCCTCTATGCGCTGCGCTGACCATGCAGGCTGATCGGATTTCTGTCATCCGCCATGCATGCACTGCCCTCGCTAACGATGTTGTGCGACGTCTCTGTACTCAGGTCATCTGATGCGGGGGCCAAATTCCCGTCAGGCACTCAATTCATTCGACCAGCATCAATTCTAGATACTCGTTAGATTACAAATCCTTTGTGCAATCGTCGTCAGTGGCCAGTCTGGTTGAATCTTATCGCCTGCTCTTTCCGCGAGATCCGTGTCGACTGAAACAAAAGAGATAATCGATTCGGAAGACTATACTTGTGTTATCTGCGACGGTCCACACGACACTTGGCCACCAACAGGCAAAGCAGTCAAAACACCTCAAGAAGCTCCCTGTCAACAAGGATCCTGGAATCACGGTGGTTATTTAAACCTTGCGATTGCTGCGTTGCGATTAAACTTGAGAATCACCCCGTCTGGACCCCGGGGGAGCACCAGATTTAAGGGTGTCAGTCCTAGCTTGATGCATTCGCCTGAATCAAAAAGTCCTGGCGTCTGCGACCGTGTAGGGATTGGTTGCACTTGCAAGGTACGATGACTGCAGTCTACATTCGATGATCTTACTGGGACTTGGACGCAGGAACCTACAACACACTGTCCAGCTAAGTAGCACCTCATAGCTATGGACCACTTCGTATGGAGTACAGAGTACTCCGTACTCCGTACCAAGCTCGTGCGGAGTTCAGATTCCGTTCCCGAACCCGTGTGCCAGCCTGCAGATACAGTACCAAGCAGGGCCCGGTTCTCCTTTATTTTGGACAGTGGACCAGCCATGTAGCAACGGTTCAGCCCCTTAGTCCGTACTCTGTACTCCGTATTCGAGAAATCTGGCTGGCCGCAGTGCCCACTGCCCAATCTCGACGATCATATTATGAACTTAGTAATTACTCCATACGGAGAACGGAGTACGGGCTTCTTATGGAGGAGTACTAGGCCCACATGCCACGCCATGCCCTGTCAAAAGTCAAAATCTCCTAGCGGAGCTGTCAAAAAAACGGTCTTGACTCTTTTAAGTTTGAGAAGCAGTTTCTAGAGGACGTCCCTGGGCCACACGGAGAATTATTGACATTTGAGACAGAACAAGGGGGGCATCAGACCCGCTTTTTTCTTTTTTGGCGTGGTGGATTCATCAGATTTCGGTTCCCCTGGTTGTTTTCTCTATCTCTGTCTCGTGGCTCACATGGCAGGTTTATTGTTGTTTATTAGTAATAAAGCACAGAGTATGGAGTACTCAGTATAGAATGCTTATTGGCAGGTATTCCACACGGAATAAGGTGTAAACTGCTTGAGGTTTAAGATATCTCTGCCTGAATCGCAGTGTCCTTCATGGTATTATGTTTTGGCGTTGAAGCTTCACCATCATTCTGTTATATACTGAGTGACTGACTCAGTCCTGTCGTTGATCTTCTTCCTTTTATGACACAAGCTATCTTATCCTTGCTTAGAAGTTGGTTCTCTCCCATGCTCTATATCTTTTGTGATGTCTTTACTATGTCTCTCCCCAGCATAGGTCACTATCAATGACAGTCTTCCTCAACATGGCCGACAAAGTCTTCTTTGGCAAAGGTTTTAAGGAAAGAAGATTAACTTTACTAATTCTTACCCTCTTAGACTCTGGATCAGAAGATTCTTAAAAAGGCAAGTTCAAGATTTTATATAAGGCTGATTATAGGATTTATCAAGCTGCCTCTGCTATTACTTGCGCAATTTATATCTGCAAAAAACGTCAACGACCCCGCCAAGAGGCAATCATGAAAATATATGGAGTATATGGAGTATATGCAGTCAATACGTTTCCTACTTATTAAATTGGGTAACCACTCCGTACGGAGAATAAAATAAAATAATAACTGACGGGTGCTACTACTCCGTAGATAGAATAGCTACCTGAAGCGATTGTTTCAGGTTTTTTCCAGGTTCCACAGGTGTCAACCATGCTACCAGCGCCTTATGCTATACGGAGTAGAGATCAGGGAATTTTTCCCGAAAGTGCTGAAGCCCTAACGCCGCTGAGATTGGCGATCGACCACCCCCGGTGAACCCCCCTGGCCAAGCTGCGAGTCTGCGACAACAGAACTGCTGATCCTGGTCCTGAACTTGGCGGCGCGTAATTATTAAATTTAAAGTTCTGATGGAGAAGCTCTACTCCGCCAGAGCACTCCGTACGGAGTACGGAGTACATGTCGACTCGTCTGTACGGAAGATTCTCACATATGTGTATCTACATATGTATGGAGGCTTGAGGATTTATAGGATTTGGTATTAAGATGATTTTGAGCGCTTCATCAAATATTTGGTAAATTTCTTGCATTAAGAATTGGTTCGAGTTGACACCTAAATTTGTGGTGTAGAGTATTACTCCGTAGATGACTTAGGAATAGGGGCAGATATTGGTCACGTGGCCATTCAGATCAGGTGACCTCAACCAGCCAGGTCAGAGGAGAGTGAATGAATTATGCTCATGGGCTTGATATTGACTGTTGACCTCCCTGGAGGGAAGTGAAGCCATTGAGATGCTATCCTAACCACCCAAATCCTGTTTTCTGACATCTGAGCAGGAGGAGCTCTGGCCGGCGAGAATGTCTTCCAAGTTCTGCCTCACATGACCTGAGTACCAGGATCATGTGATTGATATGCAGGCTGGAAGACATTCTCGCCGACAAAATCTCCGCTTGCTGCAATGTCGGAAAACAGGATTTGAGTGTGTGAGACTGTATCTCAAAAGCTTCACTTTCTCCCTAGCAGAACAGTGAATACTTCACCATGCTATGAGCTGACCTGTCCGGTAACCCTGCCACAAATATTGTGGCTGGCACAAAGAAATAACTGGAAGACAGGGAATCATATTACTGTTATGTGACTCTTGAACTGTGATTCTTTGTGAATGTGTTAATAGCAAGATGAGCTGATAAGCTGATGATCTGATGGTCTGATGACCTCCAGGCTACCTCCCTGAGTGAATTGAAGCCATTGAGATACCACATCCCTACCCAAATCCTGTTTTCCAAGATTTCTGAGGCGTAGCAGTGATCCGGCAAAAATCCAGGCATGATTCTGCTCTCAGCCTCAGGCATCATCTTTCCTCCCTGGAGCAGATGTGGAGGTAGGTTAAGCTGGTGGCCTTTAGTTTCTTGGGTATTCACCCATCTGCCTCCCTGAGGAGACAGTGAAGCTATACAGATACTATCTCAGTCACTTAAATCTGCCTTTCCGAAATCTCACTGGCATAGCAGTGATCCGGCGAAAATCCAGGCATGAACCTCTCCTTA